CGAAGCGAGATGATCAGATACGTCATGGCAACTCTCCACATGCTGCACATGTCAGACATCTTGACGCCCCAATACAACCTGTCTTTGTACAAAAGAAAGCGCCCTGAGGGAGAGGCAACGATGCGTGATGTCTCACCAAAGATGGAGCATCTCCCAGTCAGGTTCGTGCAGGTCCTCACAGCTCTCCGCGAGAAGACGAACAAATCAACGCCGAGCGTTTCCAAGCCAGAAAGCTTGACGGCAGAAGAGCTGAGAGACCGCCCAACTGATGCTGGTGTCGCCGATGATGATGATGAAGAAGGCGACCCTTGGGATGCCCTGGATGCAAATGAGTTTGAGGGCCCATCGGTGGGAAAGGCAAAGGCCAGTCATGCTGCTCCTCCGGACCCCGCAGCGAAACCTCAGCCGACACAGGAAGACTCAACTCAGGCCACCTCAACTGGTGAGCCCATGCAGGAAAATGAGCTCAAAGGCACGATCATCCCGAAACATGCGCTTGGGCATGTTGACAAATATCGGATCACGCTGGGCGAGAACATTAATGCAGAAGTAGTTGAGCATTGTGTCGTTGATGCCCATCCCTATGAATTGATTGTCAAGACTTGTTGGGAGATGGACGGTGCCAAGGAGCTGAGGTACCCAGATCGCATGGACCGACACAAGACTAAGGTCAATGCTGTGACTCGTGGGCAACCTGGCCAGGACACCTCTGGATTTGATGAAAACATGTGGCTTGACCTTGATGATTTCTTTCGAATGTTCAACCAAATGCTGCCAGCCAAGTTACCCCGAATGACCGTTGAGGAGCTCATCTCCCTTCTCTACTGGGACAGCAAGTGTCGTTTTGAGTTCCAATGCATTGCAGGATACCAGAAGGCAACCCGTAAAGGGTTAGCCTACTGGCCTTTCAGGATTCGTGCAGTGCAGGGGCATACAAAGCGTGCAATGGAAGCTGCATCGGCTGATGATGCATTCAATGCGGTGGAGATCTATGCACTGTCCGGCGCGGCAGCCATCCAGAGGATGAACGCCAAGGGCAAGAAGATCACGACACCGCAGAAGTGCCCAGGTGTGGTCTATCACAGGACTACAAAAGGAAATTGGAAGGGGATCATCGAAAATGGGTTCTTGGCTGGAGGAGGGGAACGAAATTCATCAGGAAGAGCACACTCCTATTTTAGTGAAGTGCGTGTCGATGAGAAAGAGTACATCAGCGGCCTTCGTGCCGAGCGGCCCATCGAAATCCGTGTTGCGATGGCCGAGGCAGTCAGAGCTGGAATTGTGCTTTTCAGGACCGCCTCAGACGGCATTCTCACGAGCGATGTTGTGCCCGCACAGTACATCATTTCTGTCGATGACACCGTGAAGAAGGTGAATTTGTATCGTCGCCATGAGGAGGTGGCGCAGTCTGCAACAAGCAGTGGGGGAGAGATCGGAGTCCAAAAGCTCGTGGAGACCTTCGAGGCCAAGGCATCAAAAAGAGCTGGATCAAAATCTCCGGCCGCCTCAACTGGCGCGCCCACTGCAACAGCATTTTTCCCAGGGAAGGTGAAGCCTCCGCCACCAAACGTGGCTCAACTTGCCGGATTGCCTGGATATGCAAGTAGCAGATTGTTGCCTCCCCCTCCAAAAGGCGAAGCTCCGAAACCACCAGCAGCAAAGGTTGAAAGCCCAAAGACACCGCCAAAGACGCCTCCAAAACCACCATCGAAGGAAGGGACTTCTGCACCTCATGCACCAGAAGTTCCAAAAGCCGTGACCTCAGAAGTTGATACAGCAGCAGAAGGAGAACCTGCAAAGAAGAAGGCAGCCCTGACAAGCGTGCCCGCAGCTGTGCCTGCGGCATCATCAGCTGCGGCCTTCTTGGAGCCAGTGTCGAAGATAGCACCACCAAAGGCAGTGCCAAAAGATCCGAAAGCTCCAGTTGCAGAGTCGCCTTCAAAGACGCCGGCATCAACATCCAAGTCACTGGTGCCAAAGCAGAAGTCTCGCCCTAAAGGCGATGACCAACCTTCGAAGAAGGAGGACAAGAAGCCGGTGCCGATCAAAATCGAAGTCAAGCAATGTGAGCGATGTTTTGCTCAGACCTTCAAGGGGCAGATTGAGTGCGATGTTTGTGGTTTGATGCTCGAAGGGGTGAACAAGGCCGACCGGACCAAAATTGCAGAGAGAAGGAAGGCCGCTCTTCACAAGCTGGGCTTGTACTACGATTATCGTGGCGAGTACCTGCAGAGCATCACACACAATCAGCTGGAGTCTTTGGGTTTATTGGACGACCAGGCAAGGGGGAGCTCTAGCCCAGAAGCTGATTTGTTGAAGCGGGCAAAGAGCAGATTTGATCGAGCCCTGAGCTTAGGTTATGTGTCAGTGGCAGACAGATTCACCCAAGACGCCACATTCGCAGAGAGCGTGCTGAACGAGGGGGAGAATGAGTACGATTGTCATCGCTATGACCTTCTCAGGGCCGCTCACCTGCCGAAGCCGAGCAGAACAAAAGCTCAGGTCAAGATGGGTATTTCTGAGCAATCCCAACTGGAGCACAATGCAATGAGGATGGTTTTCTTGGATCTTGCAAGCCGTCTTGACATGCCCAGTTCGTTCAGGTACATTGACCAACCGTGGCTCTACATGTACAGGACTGAAATTTATTCTGAGGAAGAATACATCGATTATTTGAAAAGAAATCCTCAGCACAATTTGTTGCTATCATGCACAGGTGTCGACAACATTGCCGTCCATGACGCTGAACGACATCTGAAATGGATCAAGGGTCAAAATGAAGAACTCTAGAAGAGAAGAAGAAACAGTCTGACCGGGCACGCGAGCAGAATGAGGCAAAGCGCAAAGCCGAGCAGACTGGGGCTTATGGCCAAGGACCCTCAAAGAAAGGCACCACCAACCCGGTTGCCCGAACATCCAATGTAGAAGTAGCATCATCATCTACGTCGGCAAGTCAGTGGATCAATCGCCCTCAGCAAAGTCATTCCCAAGATGATCGCCATTTTACCAATGAATGGCAGAAGTGGCATTGGCGCTGGTACCAAAAGGTGATCAGGCATGGCCGAGTTGAATGGGAAGAGGGTTAAATTGTGAAGCTACTTGTGCGGACGATCGATTTTTGTATATAGCCGCGAAGTTTTGGGTTTCCTCAGGTCGTGCAAAGAGCCAGGAGCGGTAAGGCAGACCGAAATGGTCTCGCCCTGGTAAGTGGGCAGCCTTGCCGTGAACGGCTCACCTGAGGGGGGTGTATTTGCACTCCACCATAAACCCTATGTAAACTAGCATGTTACTACAGCTGTGCGGCTCAGTCAAAAAGGGTTTGGGCCGCGGTGCTTAACGGTTGTTTTACCCCCATTGTTATAGGTTTATCAGTCTAGTTGGGATAAGTAACATCCCCTGCTGAAACCTGTAAATACAGAACCAGCCACTATGGCTTAACAAACGCTGAACTGATGGTGGTGGCCTGGCTTTCCCATAAGGGTTTGTCACTATCAGGACCCGCGCAGGAATCCAAACCACACACACACAAAAACCAGAGGATAGCTACAATAAATCCTGGTTACCCCATCTACTGTAAATCGTAATAGTAAACACAACGTAATATATTACTCATAGATATTGGATTGACAGTTAGTAATTAAAACAAATCTACAAATAGACAACGCTTAAAAAGTTGACCCCATCAGTATACTCTACAAATAGACAAGAAATTGTTCATGGCCTCACCCCATCAGCAAAAACTGTAAACTGTATTACCCTATGGATCCATGGCCACTGTCTGAGAAGGTACGGCTAACCCTCCAAATTAGAGTAAATTATACCCTAGTCCCATTTCCTTTCAGAAGCTACGACTGGATCCATAGGGATATATAAACCAAAAATCAACGATCCCCAATCCACTGAACCACCGGTAGGATTTATGGTGGTTGCCGCAATTCTCCAGTGGGATGATAGTAGATTTCAGCGCCATAAACCATGGTGAATCTGAACAAAACCTGTCAAAAGACCTGATGGACCTAGCTGGTCAGGACGAATTTTACCATTGATAGCAAAAGATGAGACTACTAAAGTATTTAACCAAGGTTGGAATCACACCCATTGATGAAATAAAAAACAGTGAAGGTTCTGACAGTGCGACAAACCCCCGGGGAAACTGGAAAGAAACTTTTGACTGTTGGATCGAGCAGGCAATGCCCAAAAGCTCGAGTGCTGTGTCTAGGGCGTTGTGCCCAACAGCTTAAAGTCTTCTGCAAAAATCTTGGCAAAGATGATGGAGCGGCAATGCAAACGGTCGGATGCTGGCTCATGCCTCTGGATCTGCAAGATCTTCGGGGCGAAGCACCAACCCAAGTTCTCGTGCCATGCCTTCGTCCCTCGCGCCCAAAGACTCGACCACGCGGCCCAGGAGGGCTCTGGTGTCTCGGAGCTGTTGTTCCAAGGTTCTGAGTTCAACTTGCTGGTGGTGGATACTATTTTTTGAAGGAACCGGCGCCACATCGGAAATTCGCCGAGATCATGGTTTCGTCCCAAAGTTGAAAGGAAAGGAACATCATCCGACATTTTAAGTCGACTAATTTGGCTCTCTACATGCATATATATAATGGATACACTATATATATATATAATATACAATATATATATATATATATATTATTATTATTATTAAATATTATGTACTGTAATGTAATGTAATGTAATGTAATGGAATGGAATGGAATGGAATGGAATGTACGTATGTATGTCATGTATGTATGTACGCATGCGTGCGTGCGTGCATGCATGCATGTATAAATATAATGTATGTATGTATATATATATATACACACTAGTATTTATAGTGACTTCATGTGACTTCTAAATTCTAAATTAATGTGTATATATATATATATACAGTAATATACACATATTTATATGGAGATTTCCTAAAATGAGGATACCCGGATACCCCATTTATCATCAGTTTTCATGGAATTTTCAACCTCCAAGTCTCAGGCGCTGGCCTTTTTTAAGGAGCCCTTCCTCCTGCAGGGCTCGAATACATCCTCGGCGTTTCAGCGGAGCTTTTTTTTCGCCAAGTTCTGGCCGAGAATTCCCGACATGTTCATGGCCAAAATCTACCAACACTCCCAGCATCTCCCAGCCAAACTCAATAAAATCTGGCTTCATGTTAACATCATGTTCTTGGTATTTGATGTATTTGAGGGTCCATATTTCCTACCCTCTGGTAAACTAACATAGGTATGGAAAATCACCATGTTTAATGGGAAAATCCACTATAAATGGTCATTTTCAATAGCTATGTTAAATTACCAGAGGGTAACTTGACCATGGACCATGCAGAGACGCCAAGACGTGACCCCATGATCAAGGTTTCACAACTTCAAACATACGGCTGCTCCGGACATACCTTCCACACTCAACAACCAAATGCAAATGGAATCAACGGACAATTTCACCGGAAATACCTCCCACGCTCCCAAAACGCGTTTTGCGAACGGAGAATTTTGGGGATCCGTCCCCCGTGCCCCCCCAACGGAGCTGACAAGGCCGTCCCAGCATCTGGCGCGTTCGTGCTTCGTGGCGGAATCAATCAACATTTGGAAGGACAGGACCTGTGCACCGTGGAAAATGCAAAAAGCTAGGCGGGTCGCGTAGTTAGTACATTTAAAGCACACATTTAGTACATTTGAAGCAAACATCCATAGTAATTTAATTGGATTTTTATGGGTTTAGTGAGATTTCTGGGGATTATAGTGGGATTATATTGGAATTATAATTGGAAATGATGACTATTGAACATAGCGAACTGGAAAGTCACCAATAACTAGGTAAATCATATTAAATTATCATGTTTATAATACATGTTACTGGTTGGTGGTTTCAACCCCTCTGAAAAATATTTGTCAGTTGGGATGATTCTTCCCAATATATGGCAAAATAAAAAATGGTCCAAACCACCAACCAGGTTATCATCTATTTCCATGGACCATTTTCCATATGTTAAATAACAAGAGCGTACTACTAGATCTAAGTATCGAGAAATATCTTTTGGCATATAATATATACAAGTTTTAAATTACCCTCTGGTAAACTAACATTACTATTGAAAATGACCATAGAAATAGTGGATTTACCCATTGATAGCATGGTGATTTTCCATAGCTTTTTGTTAACGTTTACCAGAGGGTATATGCCTCATATATAGCTGAGGGTATCCCATGTTACAAGTGAGTTGGAACTTACAGGGCTTACAGGGCGTGGCATGCACGTCTATGGCTTGGTGCGGCTTGTTGATCTCCCTTGGATAGTGACCAGATGGGTATGGCGGAATTAAGCAACCGAAACAGGGATTGATTCAACCAATCATCTGTTGTAATTTACCAAGAAGAGTGAGTCAATAAATTTTTGAGCCAACCAAAATCAGAAGTGAATGCTGTTCTTCTGAAACCTGATCTTCCTCTTCAGGTGCCGAATGCTCAGATCAATGGAGTGCGGGGAATAACAGCGCCTGGATCAGTCGGTGGATATGGGGCTGCTCGCCTACGGGCCTTATATGATTTACGCCTACCAGCTGTAGCTGTGGTCCGCAAGTGCTCTTGGCGCAGACACCCTGGGCTCGGGTTCCGTTTCTTCTTGAATTCCCCCGGGTGGCTGTGTGATCGGCAAGACTTGGGTTCGAGATGATGTCACCAATGCAGTGTTGCTTGCAACAAGTGAAGGGTCTCCCCAAACGGAATCAGGGAAATATAATAGTTATCTAAAATTATATCGAACATAAGCCATAGTTAAACATACTTAAACCATTTATATGTCAACTTGGATATCTTGGGGGCCCCATCCTGTATGATACTGGGAATTTGGCTTTGGGCAGCCTGGCAGTATCAACTGGCGTCGCATCATCCACCGGTTGTCGTCACTAACGTAACCACAGTTCGGTCACCGATGAGATAAGCCCACTGGGGAACTTACTAAGTAAGCTTATAAAACTGGCTGGTGGTTTTTCGCCTACCCCTCTGAAAAATATGACGAATCGTCAGTTGGGATGATGAAATTCCCAATATGTGGAAGTCATAAAATTCATGTTGCAAACCACCAACCAGATAAGCTTATGAACGACTTCTGGCATAGTGGGATCCTCCAAGTACCAACAAACCAAAAAAGGTTCCATCGTGGTTCCATCGTGCATTCTGCCCCTCCCCGTGTCACCTTTCTGTTCGCTATCTGCCCATTGTTGTTTCATATTTAACTGTGGCTATCAAAATGGCATGGCCAACCTGAGATGCCCAACAAAGAGCTTGGTTTCAAGGCCCTACAGCATGGGGCCCCCAAGATAGCGTTCAGTTGCCTTATAAGTGGCTTAACTATGGTTTATGGTAGATATAACTGTAGTTAATGGGGGTTATAATGCTTTATAAACCAACTTTTAACTGGGGGGGCCCATCCTGTAAACAATTAAAATATATCTAAATATATGACAGTCAACAGGAATCATCCTCCATCCTCGAATGTTTTCTGTTTGGTGGCTTCAACCCCTCTGAAAAATATGAGTTCGTCAGTTGGGATGATGACATTCCCAATATATGGACAGTCACAAAATTCATGTTCCAAACCACCAACGAGTATAGCTATAAATATCATACACCATAGTTCTTGGATTTATAAACCAACTTAATGATCCATTCCATGGTTCCAGTCACCACCAATCAGTTTTAATGGTTGAAGGGCTTTAAAAAAAAACATCAAACATCCACCATCGTCCGCTGAAGTTGGATCCCAGGTGCAGATGCCAGCAATCCGCCCACAATCCTGGGTTCGTCGTTTTGGGCGATTTTGGGCGATTTGAATGAACTGATGGTGGGATTTCCCCAGTTATCATTGGAGTATACCATTTATAGTCGTTGATATCCATCAATAGTGATTTCTAGATCTGTCAATGGTAATTTCAGGATCCTAAAATGGAGGTACGTAAACGTACCATTTTTGGCCATATTTTGAGTGTATATCCCCTGAAATTTAGGCCTTATATAGGCCTTCCATATGGTAGGTACCTCCAATTTAGGATCCTGGAATGGCCATTGATGATATAGCACCCCCAGTTTGTGAACTTGAAAATGACCATAGAAATAGTGGATTTACCCATGAGCATTGTGATTTTCCATAGTTTTTTGTTAACGTTTACCAGAGGGTACCCTCTATCAATGGGAATTTCAAGATCCTAAAATGGAGCTACGTAAACGTACCATATAAGACCATATAAGACCATATTTTGCTGGGATATTCCCTGACATTTAGGCCTTATATATGGTAGGTACCTCCAATCAATGGGAATTTCAGGATCCTAAAATGGAGGTACTGTACCATATAAGGCCATATTTTGTGGGGATATTCCCTTACATAGTCTTTACATAGGCCTTATATATGGTAGGTACCTCCAATTTACTGTAGGTTCCTGAAATGGCCACTGATCCAATTTAGGTTCCTGAAATGGCCATTGAAAGAACATTTGAAAAAAAGGATACCCTCTGGTAATTTATCATAGCTATGGAAAACGGACCATAGATATAGATGAATTAGCCATTAAAAAAACGTGATTTTCCACAGCTACGTACATGTTTACCAGAGGATAATTCATTCCATGCTGGTGCAAGTTCTGCATCCGCATCATTGGATTTCACCTGCGGGATGAGAATCTCTATGGTTCTGCTATGATCTGCTACTTAAAAAAAGGATTTCTCAAACATAGAGATGCGTTGCGCATATGATTCTTCTGCATCAACCATTAAAAAAACTCCAACAGAAAGACCGTGTTGCATACCCCACGGTCTAAGGCCCGGAATTGCAGTCGCTCAGATACGAGGATACCAATGGAAACGTACATGGCGATCGACATGTTGAGTGTCTGAATTCACTTAATGGTGGGATCTTTGCAGGAAGGACCCCGTAAATTTACATGCAACCATAGATATAGATAGATATATCCACCAATGAATGTCGTAAATCTGTCATTGCCTTAGTCAGTTATAATCCAACCGACCTATACATGGCCAATCTTAGATACCCTGCAAAAAACATCTCAGCTGGTGAACGTAGATAATCCCATACCAAAAGACTATAGGATTGAACTACCCATCCAATATTGACCTAATACAGTAATACCTATTAGATGTAATATAATAAATATTATATATATATATATTATATATAAATATATTGTATATATTGTATGTATGTATATATATTATATTATATTATATTATATTATATTACATTATATTATATTATATTATATCGTTTGTTAGAGTCTTTGAGACATGGCGAAATAAAGGTCAGCCTGCTTGAAGCTATCCAAGCGGATAGGACTTCTTCTGCTTGGATCGTCGCGTCCGGCTGCGATCCCAACCGAAGCTTCTGCTGGTCGTTGCCCATGTCCCAAGTGTTACCCGGCCTGGTAAACGTTAACAAAAAACCATGGAAAATCACCATTTTTTCATGGGAAAACTCACTATTTCGACTGGGCCATGTTCAATAGCGAACTGTAACAAATTACCAGAGGGTAAACTTCTTGCCGAAAGCTCGGCAAGATGATCCGAGTCGCTTCAAAGTTGTGCCCTGTGAGATCTCCCAAAGTCAGCGCCACGTGCCACCGTAGGACGCTGCCATTGCTTCTCCAATGTGACCAACACAACTCGAATGAAAATGGAAAAAATCATGGAAAATGGAATATACCCTCTGGTAATTTACCGTAGCTATTGAAAATGGCCATTTATAGTGGATTTTCCCATTAAAAATGGTGATTATCCATAGTTACGTTAGTTTACCAGAGGGTAAATGGAATATCAACCTTCTGGTAAACCAACAAAACTATGGAACATCATGGAAAATCACTATGTTTAATGGGTAAATCAACGAACTAAATGGCCATGTTCAATAGCTATCTCAGCTATGTTAGTTTACCAAAGGGTAGACATTCTAAAAATAAGCCGTTTCTAGTGGAAACTAACCTTCCAACCCGAATCTGCCAGGGTCGAAGTGTCAATTTACTGGAGGGTAACTTTGGCATGCTTTGTTGAGGTTTTGACTAATATCCCCTCCAGGCAATTTACTATGACAGATAGCGCAAATTTGTTAGAAACTACAGAACTGAAAAAGCTGGTATCATGGCTGGAATAAAAGTCAGTAGCTTAACACCTATTGTAGCTATAGATACAGAAGCATTCAGATTGTTCTTCCCTGTATTAGTGGCCGGTATGCCTGACCCAAGAGCAAGATGCGGTGGTCATAACAATCACAGACAAGAATCTCCTTCTTCATCTAAGGGTGGATATGTCGTATTATTCCCAGAAAATGCGGTGAATCTACTGCCAGCTGATCAACTATGCCATGGGTTGGACATTTTCCCACCATCCATGGGACTTTCGGTTTTCATGAGCATACATTTTTAGGACGAGTCCCCACGTTTTTTTTATTCTACAGAGAAAAACTACTACCCCATTGGTGATTTATCCATAACTTTTGGCCCTCAACATCTTTGGAATGAACTAACGCCTATAACATAAGGTTACCATCTGGTTATGACTAACATAGCCATGGAAAATCAGCATGCTATTAATAGGTAAACATAGGTAAACCATCTATTTCGATTAGGGCCATTTTCCATGGCTATGTGAAATAACCAGAGGGTATATAGCATGAAATAAGCCCATAAACATAACTGTTAGTTGGGCCTTATTTCTGTGGGATCTCAATCAACCAGTATGTTTATGACATTTCGGGTCTTGGACACTGCTCATCATGGTTTCCAGTTCACTGGGATCAACCTACTCGTCTCGACCTAGCCAATTTGCTCGCTGGCCTTTTCAACGACACTTCCGAAAGCCAATCACAGGACTGTAGTTCTGGCCCAGTAAAATGCAACGTGGCTACACAATGCTACACATATGCAAAGTGTGCTAAGAATGCTGAGCTGTCCCCACCAACAAAGGGATCGCCCCAAGTCACAAGCGACCCATCTGCCAGGATCGCAGCAAATGCCCTGTCAGTTGCTTGAATCTGCTGCACACTCTTGAGCCGATCTTGGACTTCAGAGCTGTCACCACCAGAATCTGGATCGCCCCAAGTCACAACCGATCCATCTGACAGGATAGCAGCAAATGCTAAGGAAGTTGCTTGAACCTGTTGGACACCTTTGAGCTGATGTTGGACCTGAGAGCTGTCACCGCCAAAATGCGGACTGCCCCATGTCACGACAGACCCATCGGTAAGGATAGCAGCAAATGCGCCATTGGTTGTTTGAACCTGCTGGACTCCCTTGAGCTGATCTTGTACAACAGAGCTTTTACCACCGAAAGTAGGATTGCCCCAAGTCACGACTGAGCCATCTGCCAGGATCGCAGCAAACGCGCCAGCTTCAGATCGAACTCGAGTCCCTTGAACTTGCTGGACGCTCTTGAGCTGATCCTGGACTTCAGAGCTGTCACCGCCAAAATCTGGATCGCCCCAGGTGACGACTGACCCATCTGCTAGGATCGCAGCAACTGCTAAGGAAGTTGCTTGAACCTGTTGGACACCTTTGAGCTGATGTTGGACCTGAGAGCTGTCACCGCCAAAAACCGGACGGCCCCATGTCACGACCGACGCATCGGTAAGGGTAGCAGCAAATGCGCCATAGGAAGCTTGAACCTGCTGGACGCTCTTGAGCTGATCCTGGACTTGAGAGCTGTCACTACCATAATCTGGATCGCCCCAGGTGACGACTGACCCATCTACCAGGATCGCAGCAAATGCGCCAAAAGTTCCTTGAACTTGCTGGACGATTTTGAGCTGATCCTGGACTTCAGAGCTGTCACCACCAGACTTTGGATGGCCCCAAGACACAAGCGACCCATCCGCCAGGATCGCAGCAAATGAGTGGCCAGTTGCTTGAATCTGCTGGACACCCTTGAGTTGATCTTGGATTTCAGAGCTGTCACCTCCACAATATGGATTGCCCCAAGTCACAACCCGGTCACCTCCACAGCAAAACAAGGCAAAAGCATCGTCTGTTGCCGCTAGCTTTGCCTCTATGGCAATAGCTGTCAAATGGTCTCCATCTTCAAGTCCTGCAGCTTGTAGAGACACTGCAGGATCCACCACGCTATGGTCTGCAGCCACAAGCCTCAAGAAGCCACGTTGAAATGCTTTCTGCGCCAGAATCCTCAAGTCCCCTACTTTGGAGGACGGTTGAAGCGAAAATGTCTCACTTTGCCCGCTTGGCAAAGCTACAGTAACTTGAAGCATGCGTCAAGAAACTCAAATGCACCAGTTTCTCTATATTTGTTTTGGGCCCATAAACTACAAACACACATATTTCCCCATGAGATCCCAAGTCTATCCCCATTCTACTTCCAGTTGTGCTGATTCACCATGTTACATCACTGTTGCTAGTTCAATCACCATTTCACCACATTTTTCTTGGTTTAATCACCAGTTTCCCACATTTCTGTTGGTTAAATCACCATTTTCCCACATTTCTGTTGGTTAAATCACCATGTCTATCCACCCGATATGAACAAAACGCCACCGCCACCGCTGCCAAGCAACGCTACAATGGCCTGGTGCGTGGTGGTGTCGCGGATGATTTTGCAGGTCAGAAGTTCCTCGGGAAGATGACAACTTCTGCAATGGTTTACCATGGTTTATATATATATAGTGGTTCAAATATATAGTGGTTAATAGATCTGAAAAAAGTGGTTAATATATAGTGGTTACTAGTGGTTAATAGATCTGAAAATAGTGGTTAATATATAGTGGTTACTAGTGGTTAATAGATCTGAAAATAGTGGTTAATATATAGTGGTCACTAGTGGTTAATAGATCTGAAAATAGTGGTTGATATATAGTGGTTACTAGTGGTTAATAGATCTGAAAATAGTGGTTAATATATAGTGGTTACTAGTGGTTAATAGATCTGAAAATAGTGGTTGATAGTGGTTAATAGTGGTGATTTGGTTAATATACTGGTTGGTGGTTGAGCCCTACCCCTCTGAAAAATCATGGAGTTCGTCAGTTGGGATGATGAAATTCCCATATATGGAAAAATAAAATTCATGTTCCAAACCACCTGCCACCTACACCTACTTCACCATGGTGCAATAATGGTGCAATAATGGCGCTCTTACTAGATTCTAGATGATGATTTCAGCAGGAGTTCAGTGCTTGATGGTTGAAATAAGGGATAATTGATTGGGATTATTATCTGGGAACACCATTTTGGCCATTAACAATGGGAAATATTCACAATGGGAACATATTCTTTGGAGCTTTTGAGACCCAGCTACCTGGAATTTCGACCTGGTTACCTCGAACATTACAATGGGAACATCTTGGGAAAATGGTGGGACAAGCCTAAAATCTACTGCTTCAGCAACATGTCCCTCTATTCACATTGTAGTTTTGGGGTACCCTCTGGTAATTTAACATAGCTATTGAAAATCACAATTTATAGTGGATTTTCCCATTAGAAATGGTGATTTTCCATAGTTATGTTAGTTTACCAGAGGGTATACGACATTTTCATGCAAATCTCAATATGACCCTGAAACCTCATAAAGCACTTGAATTTGAAATGACTGTCAATCATGCATTTGTGGCCATTAACAACTACAAAATGAACTAACTCCAATTTTACTTTGGTTTTTGGTATAGTTATTGGGATTATAATTCCTGCAACTACTCGGTTATATATATATATTAAATGATGTGTTTTTTCCACAAAAACAATAGCTGTGATATATGGGCCACAGCTGCAGGATGATGACTTCTGGCTATCCCTCGCAGGCATCCGAATGTATACAATTGGTTCATATGGTCATAGCGCGGACGCAGAAAAACATGCATTTGTGTTTTTTTTCAGATTCTTTACTGAGATCAAGTTCAAAATTGATGATTCAGATGTGCGACATTGTCCGCTTACCTATGGTGTGCACATTGTCAAGCCATGTATCAGCAGAGATCAGTATCAGAAAGACCCCTTGATCCAACAGTTCCAACTTATCCCCGTGAAGTTTTTCACCGAGATTCTCTGTGGAAGCAGGTTTCTTCTAAAGGCTCGAAGAAACCTCTTGAAACAGATGCCGGAGGAAATGGACATTCCGCGAGGGCCGAAATGGTGTAACTTAGAACTTAGATCTCCTGTTTAAACAGATGAAAAAATGGGCCATACCGCAATGCTGCCATCCGATCAAAACAATTCGTCGAGTCTAAAAGCATGTTTCCATGTACAGCGAATCAAAAGCAAAAGTTCAATAGTTGATGGTCAAAACCATCCTGAAACGCAGGACACATTAGAAATAACCAGAACTGATCCTATCCTTTGTGAGGGATTCCTGTAATTCCAAAGCGACACGCACGCGCCCGTCAATCTTTGATTTGCATAACATGAACACAAAAGAATAGCCCAACGCACAATTTCCATCTGATTCATCTGGATGTTCTTAGCCTAACCTCTGACCAGTACGAAAGTCAGTCCGGATGCTATTCGAAGGAGCCTTAAATCTACAGTTCCATGGCCTTGAATACTCTTGACATGTTAAAGCCATAGTCAGCCCCACGGTATCCCACGGTCACTGCCCTGCAACCGAGCAACCAAAAGTCTTCAAGAAAATCTGAAAGATTCCCAAGACCTGGGCTCCACGCATCGGATCATCGGCTTGGATCCTACCAGTTTTGAGTAGTTGGGACCGAGTACGGGACTCCCTGGGGAATCCCTCTAACCGTTAACCAATGCTCATAGCTGGAGCCCAAAGCCCAAAGCCATCGGTCAAAGCTCAATAACAGGACCCTCTACTTCAGGAGCAGTTGTGAACGAAGTGGACAGAGATTGATTTTTATACAGGATTTCACCATAGATACAGGGGCCCATTTTTTTTTCCCAATTTGTTGGAGTTTATAGCCATGGTTATACACAGTTGTAACCTCAACTGCACCCCAAAGCATTGACAATTCCGTTACACATAACCTTGAAGGTCCATTGCCAATCTTAGATACCCTGCAAAAACAAACTTAGCTGGCTGGCAGATATGTTCTTATTTATAGAAAAAAATCAAGGATATTAAAGGATTAAACTACCTATCCAAGTTTAACCTAGGGTCTAGTAATGAAATATAGGAATTTGGATGATGTTATTTAATGTTATTTAAACTTCTAAACTATCACTTATCTATTAATTATGGTTATATTGCTTTTCCTTATGCTTTACTACCTTTTTTTTGATTCATAGCCCCCTTTTCAAAATGACAGCCTTCATATCTTCCAGATGGGTCGACCGGCGTTGACCGTTTTTGGGTGGTTCACCGGAGATGGTGAAAGAACATCCCAAGGAAAATGTGCCGTGAAGGTCAAAGAAAAAACGTGATCTTATATATCCCTATGGATCCATGGCCACTGTCTGAGAAGGTACGGCTAACCCTCCAAATTATAGTAAATTATAGCCCAGTCCCACTTCCTGAGAAGGTACGACTGGATCCATAGGGTATGTTCTTTGTTGAACCATATATTGAACCGAATATTGAACACTGTATTTCATCATACATGGATATGATGATATGATCTTATGGATATGATAATTTTTATATTGAACCATATATTGAACCATAATAAAACGGATATGATCTTATGGATATGCCAATTTCTAGTTGCCATGTGCTTGGATCATGCTTGATCTAATGTTCCTGAAAAGAGTCGACATGGGGAGAATCCCAAAATCCAATGGTTGATGATCATGTTCCCCGTTCAATTGCAGTTTGTTTTTTTTTTTATGGGCATACACCATATTCAGACACACTCATATTACTGTATTAATTATTAATTATATATATATATATGGTTGGTGGTTTCAACCCCTCTGAAAAATATTAGTCAGTTGGGATGATTGTTCCCAATGTATGGAAAAAAAGTTCCAAACCATCAACCAGTTTTATATCTGTGTGTATGTTTGCATAATATTGTCCGTATTTAGTGATTTCTCCCCAAGTCCGGGACCAAGCCCAAAATACATGACAGCCAAAAATACATGACTCGGACTTGCTTCTCCAAGTATATCCTTAAAGTCACCCCCCCCAAAAAAATAGAAACACAAACAATTAAACACCTGAAGACTATGGGGAAAATCATCATCGAACTACCATACTGGAACCCTGTTCTATCATGTTCTATCTCTTTGGTTGGGAGTAAAACTATAAACAATACATATAATTTGGGCACTTAACCTGGTTGGTGGTTTTAACCATCTTGAAAACCCTTAGGCAATGGGAAGGATGATCCCATATATTGTGGAAAAATAAATGTTCCAAACCACCAGTAACTATATCTATGTATTCAAACAAAAATCATTGGAGTTGCTTCAGATCAACCCCCTCCAACCAGTTAAAAAATGCCAGGTCACAGCCGTGCAGACTTGGTTGTCACCTAAGAGGTAGATCTTGGAGCAGCCGGCGCCCAAGAAGGCTTGCACGCCCGCAAGGATGCAGATCAGCAAGGACACCAAAAACCTCCGGGCGTTCAACGAGTTTTTTCGGATGAAGACCACAGGATGGGGCGCCCCAGTGATGTGAACGTTGGTTTATAAACCATGATAATCCCCATTAACTAGTTCGTTATATCTACCATAAACCATTGAATTCAGCCACTTATAAACCAACTTAGCGATCTTGGGGGCCCCATCCTGCAGCTTCAATTGAACGGATTGAAAACTGCACAAGATGGAAAGTTAAACAAGAAAAACTGGGATTTATATGGATTTATGATTCGAACTTCCTTAAGCATCTATATTCTAAAACCAGTCAAATGTATGATATAGTCGAATTAATGTGAATTGAACAATGCGGAGTTTGGCACAATATATAGGATTTAAATTAACTACGAACACATGAATTTATTAAACGGTATCAGTATCAGTTAAAACTACAATTGAACCATCCAACAGCAACACAATGATCAAAATATGGCGTATACAATAGCGTATGTATGTACATATGTATATATACAGTAATAATATATTATATATATATGGGTTTGTGCAGACATGGCGGGTTTTTGCCCAACAATGTTTTCCAGGCTTCTACTTATGGATTCTATGGGATGTGTATCCGAGTTCTCGGAAGATCTGAAGGAACTGGGAAGGTCCCAGTTAAACGTTGAAAGGTCTTCACTATGGACTATGGACTATGGCTATACAATGTAGATGACCTATTCATAGTCACATCCATAAATATACAACGTATAAATATGTTGTATGAATGTCCTACCCAATACTACAATGTGGCCCCCCCCAGTGATGTGAACGTTGGTTTAGATTCGCCCCAGTAACTATAGTAACTAGTTCGTTATTTGCGTACCATAAACCATAGTGAAATTGGAGTTATGTGAACCCCAACTTAGCTATCGAACGGGGGCCTCACATTGTACTTGAGGTGTTCACTACTTAGACGCAATGAATGGATAGTAATCCATCATGGATGTCTACCACTAAGCAACAGTAATGATCTAATCTGTTTGGTGGTATACCCCCCTACCTCTCTGAAGAATGATGGAGTGAAAGTCAGTTGGGATTATTAATTCTTCCCAACATATGGAAAGTCATAAAATTCCATGGTTCTAAACCACCAAGCAGCTTTTGATCTAATGGATCCACAGGTGGATTACCGCTGAATCAACTTTTCACTGATTGTCCAAGTTCGATCAGAGGATCTCTTGCTGGTGCTGCTACCGTCGTCATGGTTGGTTGAAAAAAAACATGTGTAGCCTCTGATGATTTAACATAGCTATGGAAGCCATGGCCCATAGAAACAAATGGTTTTCCCAGCGAACTAAACCTCCATTGATTTCATGGACTTTCCAGTTCGCTATGTTAAATCACCAAATGATAACTACTTCGATGTACCATAAACATCCATAAAAATCCATAAACCCAAACGAATTCACACGTCGTTTTCACTCTGCTGCAACTTCTCGCGATTTCACCAGGCTTTGCGGGGGTCAGCCGAAGAATCTACCGGTATTTCAAACACGTTTCGGAGATCTAAGGACGGCGAATCAAGTTCAGGTCACATTTATTGATATGGAAGTGTAGTCATTGGGGTATCCCTCAATCAGTCACTAGATGTTCCTAGACCATGACGACTCGTATTGAAACACATGGTGATTTGGGGTATCCTCAAATGATTCAGTCACTAGATGTTATTAGACCATGACGACTCGTATTGAAACACACGGTGACGACTGGGGATCCCCCATCTTGAAAAATCCTCATCGCTACAGATCTCTTGGACTTTCGCCAGATTTTCCATGTGGCTAAGCCCCACCAGACTTTGTCTGGTTGGTGGTATACCTACCCCTCTGAAAAACATGGCTTCGTCAGTTGGGGTTACTATTCCCAATGTATGGAAAATCATAAAATTATATAAAATTCATGTTCCAAACCACCAAACAGTTGTCCATTCAAACTTGCCGAAGGTTCATTGCCCCTTGAACTTCACCAATTTCACCAATGGATTGGTTTCTCAGACGCCCCCGCTGGAAACCATCGTTCTTACCCCCAAAATGGTCCTGTTTTCTGGTTTTTGTTCCCCTTCAACGAAGGAAAAACAAACGCAATTTCACCCATATTTCACCATACCCTCTGGTAATTTAACATAGCTATTGAAAATCACCATTTATAATGGATTTTCCCATTAAAAATAATGATTTTCCATAGCTTTTTGTATGTTTACCAGGCCGGGTAATTCACCTACAAAATGCAACTTGCCCCTACCGCATCCACCAACAGGCTGTGTTGCCCATCGCCCGGAAAGGCCAAGGGACAGGACCAATATGATGACCTGCGCCAGTAGCAGCAAGGACCAAAAGCAGAGATGTCCTGCCGCAAGTGGATCTTGTGCAGCCGCGTTTCTTGGGATGTAAGCTTTATCAGTCTGGCCAGACTAGACCCTATCACATAGTGGGATTTGACGGTGATCGTTGTGATTTTTCATGGAATCCGGGAGATAATATATGGTTATGGCATTGCCTAGCATTTCTTTTGGTTTGATACATATAGCATACACCCTAGTGAAATCGAATGTCTAATCATATATAATCCCAGTAATATCCCAGTTATCAGTATGTTTGTGTCATTATCTATAGATATATCATGTCTACCATATGTAGAATTTTCAGATTTAATGATCATTTATCGATCTTTTCAAACGTAGTTGGGATATGGGGCCTTTCATGGTGACCAAATTCGTGGGGATACAACTTACGCCAAGGGGCTGCAGGCCATTGGTGACCAAAAAATACGCCATGACCATCTGGTTGGTGGTTGAGCCCTACCCCTCTGAAATATATGAGTTTGTCAGTTGGGATGATTATTCCCAATATATGGAAAAATAAAAAATGTTCCAAACCACCAACCAGCCATAGTATTTCAATCCCCATGTTTGTCGGGAAAAAAAATCGGGCCCCACTATAGACTATCGTGTGAACAAAACAAAAAAAAAACAGAAAACACTGGAACTGCACTTCCAAGATCTTCCAAGTTGCTGCGCTTCAAAAGTTTCTGTTTTGTGATGGTGATTTCCTAAAATAGGGGTACCCCCAGTTATCATGAACGTGTTATTTTAGGATTTTCCATGAAATAAAGCATCCAGCTATTTGGGTACCCTTCCCCAGCTATAGGAAATCCCCGGTGAAGGAATGATGTGTCACATCGGACAAACGTCGCGGGTCAGATGCTCAAGTTCACCAAATGGCCCAGCTGATGTCAAGCTGCAGCTACGGCGGCTGAAAAGTTGGTGCGGTTGAAGAAGTCACAGTTCTTGCAGCTTAATACCTATGAAATTCATTGCGAGAACTACCCTCTGGTAATTTGTTACGTAGGAAAATTGAAAATTGCCATAGAAAGAGTTGATTTACCCAGCTATAAACTGGTGATTTTCTATAGTTATGTTAAATTACCAGAGGGTATACCATCATTAATCACCATTAAATCACCATTAAATCACCATTTTCCTATGGTTTTCCTATGGGTAATCTGATCGTGGCAAGACCCATGAATCATGCCCCAGCAATGCGCTGGATGAAAATCCACATCAACATCTCGCTTCATGGCACGCTTTACTCATTGATCATCATTGATCCATCCCCCTTTCTCATCAAAAACAGTATTACAATATCACCAATAAGGGACCCCAAGACCCAATATACAATCATATACAGTATATATATATAATCTACCCAGATATAATCATACATATATATATACAATCATATATAAGATCCATTACTGAAGCACTTCGTTTCGTGAATCCCATCCATTACGGGGCGCCTGATGTGCAGCTTCCGATGCACGCCTGGGCATCGTCGTGTAATAAATGGCCTTGCATAGTTTTAAAAAAAAAGCAAAGTACATTGAAAAGATCAAACATAAAAAAAAAAACAGTGAAGGATTTGTATGACTGCATGACTGTCTAAAGATAGGACACCCAAAGAATTTCACCTCAAGAAAATTGGATGGTTAATCAATGTTACCCTCTGGCTATGAGCTTTTCTTTAAACTGTATAGCTTGGAACATTTTCAGATGTAGTTCGATCATTTTCCCAGCTACAGTTATATTCCTGAAACAGTTATAACTGGCTTATAACCTCATTTAGTGATATGTATATAATATAATATAATATTATATTATATAATATAATATAATATAATATAATATAACATAATATAACATAATATATAGATATATGTGTGTGTGATCTATATATATATATATACATAACCAACCAGCTGCAGGAGTTATTTCATCTCATGGCCATAACTGTTTTTTTGGGGCCATAACTGTTAAGGGCCCTCCGGGCCCTCCGTCAAGGTGCGTGGAAAAAATCGTGTTGGATGGTTTACCCCATGGGATATCATGGGACGAACTAACTGCTAAGGTGAGCCATCATCTAAATGACTATTAAGAGGCTCATAAATCAGTCATTTATTAGCTATAGATCATCGTACCATTTACTCTTGATGGCTGTTAATGACAGTTATTTCTCATCAATCAGCTATAAATCCCCCATTTTTCTGGGGTCAACCTCCATTTTCCCCATGGTTTCGAGCCCCTTTTTGCCCCTTTTGTTTCCCCAGCCGCAACGGCAGCACCGCCATCCCTTGCGTGGCACGCTGCCGTGCAGCTCCGGAAGCACGAGCCCATGCGCTCCCCGAAGCTCTGCGGTGGGTCGGAGCTGCTGGCGGTGTCTGCCTAGGGGTTGGTCCCGGTGCTGGCGGAAAGTGGTTTTCGTCTTGTGCTTACCTACCATCCATGGGATATAGACTGGATATACCATTTATAGTTGTTGATATCCATTTTCTAGTGATTTATATATCTATTTTCTAGTGATTAATGGGATTCATATGGATATACCATCTGGCTATTTAACAGTTCGCCATGGAAAATCACCATGCTATTAATAGGTAAACCATCTATTTCTATGGGCCATCTATACCATGGCTATGTTATATGTTAGTCATAACCAGAGGGTATATGGGATTTGATGAACAATAATTTCACGGATCATGATGGATTTTTGATTTGATGAAAATGATGGATGGATCTTTGTTTTGATGATAGGTCGGTTTATAAGTGGGTTAAGTATGGTTTATGGTAGATATCTAGTTATATGGCAGTGTGTCAAAACCTTGTACCCCTGGTGAACATCAAAATAGTTGGTAAATGGATGTTCATTCCCCTAGAATTGGTATTATATAATAGGTATTGATCCATACCCATATGATGGGGCTTATGAACCAACATAACTGCGAGGCACCAGATTGTGAAGTGATTCGATCCATGCGCATTGAAGGAGGGTGCTGGGTGCTGGATTTTTTGCTTTAACAATTGTCACTGGCTTATAACCCCATTCAAGTGATATACATATATATATATATAATATATATATATATACTGGTTGGTGGTTTCAACCCCTCTGAAATATATGAGTTTGTCAGTTGGGATGATGACATTCTCAATATTAATGGAAAGTCTAATCAAATTCCATGGTTCCAGTCACCACCAACCAGTATGGCATAAACCATAAAGAATGCACCAAATGATCTGCATCAACTTAGCTACCGGTAGAGCTCCTGGGACACCGCCTCACCGTGTTTCGGTGAAAACAAAACGAGAGCTCGCCTGTGGACCGCCAAACCATCCATTGGACCAGAAGGCATAGAAGAGCCTTCGGTGGAACACTTAATGGTGGTTGCTGGTGGAACATCTGGTTGGTGATTTTTTCAGAAATCATCCATTTTTATGGTGATGATAATCTCCATTTATATCCATTTATGGTGATTATATATGATTATCTGGTTGGTGGTTGAGCCCTACCCCTGTGGTTAATAGTGGTTATTTCGAGGCTAATAGAGGTGAATCATGGAGGTATAGCCAACAATAGTCTGGTTGGTGGTTGAGCCCTACCCCTCCTGAAAAATATGACGGATCGTCAGTTGGGATGATCACATTCCCAACTGAATAAAAAAAAAATGTTCCAAACCACCAATCAGTTTTTTTTTCGCTGACCGGCTGTTTGGACTCATGTCATGCGAACATATATATATATATATCATAATTTGCAGTAAATTAACAGTTCGACCCTGGCAGATAGGGGTTGGAAGATGAGTTTCAACTAAAAGTTGGTGATGTTCAGGGTCTATGTTAATTTATATCTTAACACTATAGATTCCCCAAAATGGTGGATTCTCCAAGTTGGTGATGTTCAATTTACCAGAGGGTAACGTAACAATGAACTACCAAAAAAAGATCCTATAACTTGGATTTGCTGATTCGGGGTTCCCCAAAAATAAAACATATTCACTTGATCGATTCCCCAGTCATGGTGGATTTTCCATTGGGAAAATAAACAATCACCTTAAACAAACCCATGATTTTTGGGGTATGGTCATGTTACATTGTGAATTCACAATAATTCTGTGCCATGGTCAAGTTGGGATGAATGTGGATTAAAACGTCATCCGTCCCATGTTGGGAAATCCATATGGCGATATAAATCCCGAAGTGAATGAAATGATGACCATCCCCCAATATCGGCAAAGTAATCACTTCAACTTTTGACTATGGCACATACCCTCTGGTAATTTAACATAACTATTGAACATGGCAATTTTTAACAGGGAAAATCAACTATTTCGACTGGGCCATGTTCAATAGCAATGTTAAATTACCAGGCCGGGTAAAATTTCTCCAGTAAGATACTTTAAAGAGATCGAACCGCTGAAGGTTCAGAGGTAGAATTCCTGAAAAACATGATCTGCAGGGAACATGTCTGGGACAAAGTCCTCTGTGTTAATCTGGATGAAACATGTCAAACTAGACTCCCATCTCTGTCTTCGGACACTGGCCCTAGAGTCTAGACGTCAGGTCTGCTATCTTGGCGTTTTCAGGCCGCAAAAGATTAGGCAAATGCGAAACATCCTCCCGTGTCAAAGATGGCTAGCCGGAAAATCCACCCATTAAACAACATCTATAAATGGCGAATTTCTGGGTAAAATGAAAGCCCGTTTCTGTCTTTTCACTATGATCTTGACCCGCATGTGTAAAGCTCCTGTAAACGCTCGGAAATGGAACCCTGCTTGACTGCTTGACTCCGAGTCGCATGGTGGCACTGAAGAGGAAGAAAAAGATGAAATAAAGGACCCAAACCGTCCTGGGCGAATGGTACAGGGGCCAGGGAGGGACACCCACCACCTTGAATCTCATCATAGAACTCATGTTCTTTTCTAGCGTCCCCAGTTACAGGTCAAGATGGTTTACATTCAGCTTATAATATATATATATAGATATATAACTATATGATGATGACAATATAATGACCAGAAACTTGAGTAAAATTGGAGTTATAATTTAATCACATTAATCCTAATCCAAGTCATCAGTTGCTTTCTGGAAAAGATTAATGTCTACCATATTTGCCATGGACTTCACCCAAACCGGCGGTGATTTGGGGGGCACAATCAACAAGGATTTGCTATCAATGTCTGAAGTTTTCTTTGTTATTTATATATAGGCATTATATTAAGCTATTTCTTTGCAGTATGGGCAAGAAAATACTGTTTGTGCTATATTTGCTATCAAATTTGCAAAATTTATCTGCCGTTACTGCAAAATTTAACATATTTTGAACATCACCGTTGCAATAGATAGATCATCTATAAATTGGCGATGTGAACATCCGTGATTTCATTGCCATCTTCGAGAGGAAAACACCACCCGCGGTGACGCGCTGGTGCCGCCGATGAACGCGCCATGTAAACCATGTCTGGTTGGTGGTATACCTACACCCATACGCCAAAGTCCTTGCAATGTTTGCGTTTGACAGCTATTCCCAATCAAAACGCTCGCCACGACCCCTGTCCCGGCACAGACCTTGCAAAACCACTTTCCCCATTGGAAACGCTAGCTTTAACAGTTAACAAGCCTTGACCAAACTATCATGGTTCTATTCGTTTTTGATCGAATCCCATCGGAACGCCGGTTTCCAACGGGCCTTTTTTCGTGGGCACTGTTGACGCCCACAAACAAAAACGCGAAGCAGGCCCTTTTCCTAGTTTGTATACTGCAGGATGGGTTCTGATAAAGGAAAAAAACGAGGTCCAAAACGAGGTACGGAAAAAACCCCGCATCTACACACATGGACTTTGGCCCGCAAGCCGCAAACCTGCCCTTCCTTGGATCACTGGTAGCTGGTAGCGAAACAATGACAAATTGCAGAATCCCAGCACACCGCCATGGCAGTGTAGAGATGATAATCCCAGCGTTGTGTAGAAGTACCAGGAAACAGCAACAGCAGCAGCCGTCGAACCAGCAGCCGCAGCAACAGCAAGACCCCAGTAGCTGCAGAACCCAACAGCAACCATCCCAAACACAATGAGAACGCAACTAGCAAGATTAAAGCACTATGCTAATAGTAAAACAACGCCCTACCCCAAACACAACCTAAACGCCGCTTCGCCACTTTGGGTCTACATGAGATAGTAAAACAGCAACCTACCCTAAACACAAGCTAAACGCCGCATCGCCACGACTTCCACAAAAGCCTTCCCCCAAGCTAATTTCAAGATTTTTGGGCAGTTGGGAGTACCCCTGTGAAAACTATGAAAGTCAAATGGGATTATTGTTCCAAATATATGGAAACTGTAAAAAATGTACCAAACCAGCAACCAGATGTAGTAGCTATAGATATATTTGGTGTACAAAACATATAGTAGCAATGTAAAAGATGTTTTTCATAGATATGACGTGTTCACAAAGCATTTATTATATAGTAGGACAGTTTGTAACTCATAGGCAATTGTTCTACATGCAGCATAACATCAATTCGATATATCAACTCGACCGGGACACCTTGGAAAATGCTTGGCTTCTCAGCTTAGAACTGTTGGCCATAGCTGATATTCCCCGTGATTGCCACCAGGATTATATGGATTCCGGTGATTCATCCCAATTTGCGCAAAAAAAAAATAATAATAGCCTCCGAAAGAATACACTTCCAAGATCTTCCAAGCATGAATAGATCCAATCCCTTCAGAGGCTTTCCGACATGGAGAGTATCTCATAGTATTTCATCTTAGGGGGAATTACACAAAATTTAACTTCATGATACGTCACTCAGAATGGTGATAAATCAGCATTGTTGCAGCTTTGTATCCTGCATCTGTTGCAGCTTTGTTTTCTGTTCGTTGGGATCCACATATGACAATCCCATGACTCTTGATGATCATGTTCCTTCGGAAATTGACCGTAGTCGCCTAAATTTCCTTGGTAAAGTGGCCATAAAACTGGTATGAGCCATGAAGAATACATAAGAATACCCCATATCCCGTCTCATGAAATACTTCTATGGGTTAGTTAATATCTATCTATATGGTAATTCATAATTCCCTATAACCAAGCAACCGTTGGGTTCCTTGGTAGTATAGTAATTCCTTATGTCATAACCAAGGGTAGTATAATTCATTCTAATATTAACCCAGGTAGTATACTTCCAAGGTATTTCGTTCATAGCTCACGATTGATCAAAGTCCAGGTCTTTTGTCAGTCAACTATCTTGGTCTATACCAGATATTCCTTATATAATAATGAAAATTAATATATGGTATAATAGGTATTCTCTCCAGGTCATAACCAAGGTAGAACTAATTTCACTATAAAACTATATAAGATTAGCATAAGATTAACATATTAACCCAGAAAATATAATAAGTCGCAGGCATTTTCTTCATAGCTCACGATCAATGTCCAGGTATTTTGTCATGTCATATTTTAGTTCACAATCTCCAATAAGCCACATAGCTTCATACCCTCTGGTAAACGTTTACCTAACTATGGACAGATCCACCATGCTATTCATGGGTAAATCCGCGAACTAAATCACCATTTTCAATAGCTGTTTGTATGTTTACCAGAGGGTAAATGCCTATTTCATAACCACGAAAGCTCAAGGTGTTTTGTTAGCTCAAACGATCTGTCTAGGTCATAACCAAGGTATAGTATAGTTCACTATATACCCTCTGGTAATTTAACGTTGTTATTGAAAATTGCCATTTATAGTGGATTTACCCATTAAACATGGTGATTTTCCATAGCTATGTTAAATAACCAGAGGGTAAGACTATATAAGATTATAATATTAAGATATATGAATTGACCTAGATAAGCCCCAGGTATTTTCTTCATAGCTCACGATCAATGTCCAGGTCACAGTCAAGATTCCCTATATTGATAATAGCATATAATACCATTATTATTCAATAATTATCATAGCCATAAATCTATAACAGGTATCTCATTATAAGGCCATTATATATAATATTATATTATGGAGGCCAAAGACCATCATTAGGAGAATATTAATCCATAGAAACAACTATTATCCATATTATTATTATCCATAAAATGATCCATAGATTGTCATTAATATAAATTAAATAATCATAGATAAATAGATAATATCCATGAGAATACCTAATAGATCTAATATCATATTATCACAGCAAAATACTTATATTATCTCTCTTATATTGTGACCATTATAATTATATAATATATAGCATATGGTAATATCATTGTAATTATAATATAATACAATGTGAGGCCCCCCAGTTATAAGTTGGCTTAGATTCGCCCCAGTAACTAGTTCGTTATTTGCGTACCATAAACCATAGTGACATTGGAGTTATAAACCAACTTAGCTATCGAACGGGGGCCTCACATTGTAGGCAATGAGATTACAATTATCTGGGTAAATTATAATAATTCACTAACCTGAAATAAGGCCATGTTGGGATGATTCCCTATATCTAAACCATGATTTCCAGTGAGGGAGAACAGGGTTCGGTCGTTATAATTTACCCAGAATTATACCCCAGTAAGTATAGTTATAAGTACCATAAACCATAGTTATTGGAGTTATTGGCACCAACTTAGCTATCCAACGGGGGCCTCACATTGTAGGGAATGAGATTACAATTTACATAGTCCCAGTTTTTTCTTCATGGCTCACCATCAACGGAATCTGTCTGGTCTGTCTGTCAAGTCGCTTATACATCTTGGAGACCTTCAACAACAATGGCGGAGCTTTTAGCCCCAAAATCTGCAGCAGAAAACGGAGATAAAAACAAAAATCGCGCAGGATGTGCGACCATGGTAATTTCGTTGGGGATTTATAGGGATTTGTAGGGCATTTAATGGGATTTATAGGGATTTAATAGAGATTTAATAGGATTTGTAGGGATTTAATGGGATTTATAGAGCATTTAATGGGAGTTATAAGAATTTAATGGGATTTATAGCGCATTTAATAGGATTTGTAGGGCATTTAGTAGGATTTTTAATGGGAAATAATGAGATGTGCCATATAGTTATTGAACTTAATTAGCTATGTCAAGTCACCATTCCTAAGAACAGCAAATCATCAGAAAGAAGATCAACTAGTTCCCATCTGCAAATGGTTACTACTGCCAAATTTGGAAAAGTAGAATGGAACTATCACCAACTTATCTAGATGATACTAGCCATGTTATGTTTGTTTCAAATAGGTAGCCAAGTATGGGATATCCCGATAGTACCTGGTAACGCGGGTAAGTGGATATAAGTGGTATAAAAACAGCATGGGAACTTCACCAACTAAAAGGGGTCTATCAATTTTAAGCACATCATCCATACCATCACCCATACCATCCCCGTCATTGCCAGTGTCATTGCCAATATCACTACCATGATCATCACCACCATCACCATGCAAGAAACCACCATCACCAGTACCACCAGCATTGTGACCATCGCAGGCATCACCATCACCAGCACCATGACCGTCATTGTCATCGACATCCTATCGTGAAGATATGTGACGATCATCGTCACCATCACCTTTGACCTTTCACCCTTTCACCCTTTCACCCTTTCACCAGCCAGTGTCATGAGCATGATAATCAGCATGAAAATCACCATCATCATCATCATCATCATCGTCATCATCATCATCATCATCATCATCAGCAGCAGCAGCATCAGCATCACCATCATCATCATAACAATCGTCATCGTAAAGATTAACATCACACTCGAGATCAGTTTCGCAGCCAGTGTGCAGCCCCCAAGTGAGACCACCGAGGAAACTCTACCATTCACCACAAAAAAAAAATGACACTTGGCAGCAGTCTGAAAATAGGGTACATCAAAATTCAGTGGCTTATCATCACTTTTACTATACAAATGTTATCTTAGGTGATTTTCCCATATAATCTTTTCACATCCCCCTGTGAATTGGCTTATTTTCAAAAATACCTGTGTCCCCTATATTATAAAATCAAGTCGCCCAGATTACATAAGCTATTTTCGATCACACATGTGTCCACTATAAAATCAAGATGCCAAGGTTGCATAGGGTGTGTTTTAACACACCTGCATCCCTTAGAAAATTAGGACGCCAAGATTCCCTATGAAATCAAAACCTACAGGTTTTCAAGTTCCCAGGACACATTCAGACACTATTTTCCAAAACGCCTTATTTGAGATCCCGAGTATCCTGATGTTTTAGGATTTGGTCCAGGGTGTTTATTTCTCTATAAATATCTAAAAATATTTATATAAATATCTATAAATACTTATATCTATAAATATTTATATCTATAAATATCTACAAGGGTGTTATGTTCCCATTGGGTTGCAAAACTTTTCCCTATTCCAACGCCCTTTTGGGCTTTTGGGGCTCCCATTGAAACAGAACTCGCCGCCTGAGAGATGGAACTGATAATTCCAGAGACTGCTCCAACTTCTTTCCTCGCTGAATCGACGACGACTGACGACGAGACGTGCCATGTGAAAAACAACACATCGATTGGATTCAAATCTGTAGCGTCCTATTCGTTGCAGAATACTGTTCAGTGTTTCATGTTTAGCAGCTAGCATTAGGTGTGTTCTCTAAAAGTAGCAGATTTTCCGAAACATGTTTATTGAAACCCCAATTGATTCTTCGTGGAACAGAATGATCCAAATCTATGTGCCATTGAAATCTTGAACCAACCCATGTGCAGCTTGACATCATCGGGTGTTTCGGTGTTTCACCTAGAAATGACCCGCCCAATAAAAGGTGAAATCACAGTGCTCAAAAATCCACACATTTTGCTGCTTGCATACAGGAAGGGGCCCCCTAGTTGTAAGCTAGTTTCTAACCCCAACTACAGTTATATCCCCTATAAACCCGAGTTAACCTAGTGATGTGCGTCAACATCTCGCGATTCCGAACTGGGGGGGGGTTCCAAGGTTCCAACTCATGGGGGTACCCCATTGATCATCCATTTTCATCAGATGTTCCCTTATACCCTCTGGTAATTTAACATAGCTATGGAAAATGGCCATAGAAATAGTGAGTTTTCCCATTAAAAAAGGGTGGATCTTTCCATTGCTATGTTAGTTTACCAGAGGGTAAATCATCCAACTATTGCTGGGGTTTATAAGGGTATCCTCCAGTGGAAACAGCCCTCTTTTCTTCGCCCAGCAACTTGGCCAGTTTCAAGTTCTTCACCACCTGTGATCAAAACCCGCTAGCGGCGATGGTCCGTTGATGGCCTATAGAAAGTTCGATGATAAAAATGCTAAGTTACCGTTCTTACCCTCTGGTAAACTAACATAACTATGGAAAATCACCAGTTTTGATGGGTAAATCAACTATAAATGGTCATGTTCAATAGCTATGTTAGCTTACCAGAGGGTAAAAATTATGATTGTCCAGTTCGCTATGTTAATATAACAGAGGATAATATGATTATAACAGAGGAAAATATGATATGATTTATGGATATGTTGTTTTTTTTGTGTACTCTACTTAGATGAGGTTGTATAGGAAAAGGATGTCCCAGCTACTGTAATTGGTTATATTTATTGGATCGTCAATATATATATATATATATGTATATATATATTACACATATCAGTCAATATGTGCGTATCTATTAATATTGGATAAGCACAACATAAGGCACCTTTAGCCCGAACTATGGTGGCCATATTGGAATACCATTCATTGGATTCCACTTATAGCCCCAAAACTCACTCATAGAATCATGATTCATGTGATAAACCCGGATATAATCTGGATTATATTGTATATATATATATATTTAATTATATTTACATATTGACTTTAACACATTATGCATTTGTCACTAGTTTCACCTAAAACATGATGTTCAAACTTGATACGTTGGAACCACTTCAGCAAAGGTGCTCCGCCTTTGGGTAGTTTGAATCGTTTGTTCCGATCACATGGGGAGAACACTGATATTTGGCAGCAATTTTGCCAGACAAAATTTTCGACACAAGCCTTGGACTTGCGTAAGGAAGAGCAAAAAAGAAACACCATTCCCGATAATTTTTCTATAAATTCCCTATAAATTCCCCAAGTAGTGGATTTCCCACTGGGAAAATCAAGCATAACCTTAAACAAACCCAAGAAGATGGGATACATTCTAGTCACCAAGTGATGCAGGGACTTTCCCAAGTGATGATTTTTGCGGATGCTGCTTAGGCCAGCGTTCCGAGCCACGACTTGACGACCGCCACTAGATTCGACATTGCAATATCAAAGAATGGCGAAGAAACAAACACATTTCAGAGATGAGATGTGTGAGTTTCGGACTTCGAAACTCAGGGCCATACAACCTTCCCATTCTTTCAATATACTATACATCATACATATATATATATTATTATATTATTATAGATAATCATTAATCATAGTTTTCAATGTATGCCTCTCTGACTTTCGAGATACCTAAAGTTCTGACAGCCCACAGTGACTCAGCTGACCCTGCTGCCGCGCTCAACGCCAAGTGGCTTGTGGCAGAATGCCTTGCAAGTCCTTCATATTACCTCACAGTCAAGTGACTCTTCAGTGATTTCACCAAAGATGGGTGATTTCACTGGTACAAAATGGTGAGAGATCCATGGACAATGGACATGATTAAAATTATATGTGGATATATATATATACAATATATATATAATATATAATATTATATCATATTAAATAATATTATATTAAAAAATATTACATTATATTATATTATATTATATTTTATTATATTATATTATATTATATTTTATTATATTATATTATATTATATATAATTGTATACATATATATATATATATCAAATTATATATATATAATATAATATAATTTAATATAATATTATATTATATAAAATTATATTATATTATATATATTATATTGTATTGTATTATATTATATTATATTATATTATATTATATTATATATATTGTGTACATATATATATATTAAATTATATATATATATACATATTAAATTATATATATTATATACTATATTAAACTTGAGATGAGAAGTGATATTTGGATGTATCTGAAAATTGTGTATGCCCACAAAAAGATGCTATCTGATGAAAACTTTACGATCTCAAAAGGTTACATCTACTTCACTTACTTTTGAGTTGGGTACCTTTACCTCATCTTGGGTTGATGGGTTGCATGGACAAGCAGACAAACACAGGCAAATATATATATATATATACCCTCTGGCTATGACTAACATAGCCATTGTATAGATGGCCCATTTATAGATGGTTTACCTTGCCATGGCAGTTCAAATGTCAATGACGGTTGTTTATTGACAACATTAGCTAGATTTCGTTCCTCTATCCATTGGATTGATTAACTTGAAGTAAAATCATCTACGAAATATATATATATATAAATAGATAATTAATTATGATATATATATAATATATATGATATATATATAATATATATGATATATATATATATGAATTCTAAACCCAAATTGGCCTAGGCATAAGACTATTTAGCTAGCAAACTGGGTCACCACCTTGTGTATATCCCCTTTATATCCTCATAATATCCCCACTAATTATATACTATATGCCCATTGTGAACCTACTATATCCCCATTAGAAAACCATGTTGCATTGTCCGACCCCACAATATCAAGTCTGTGATAGCCTCTGGTAATTTAAAGTAGCGAGCTGGAGAATCATAACTTTTAAGAACGCTAAATACCCTCTGGTAATTTAACATAGCTATTGAAAATGGTGATTGATAGCGGATTTTCCCATTAAAAATGGTGATTTTCCATAGTTATGTTAGTTTCCCAGAGGGTAATCATTTTTATCATCCATAAATGGGCCATCTATACCATAGCTTTATCAGAAAGTTTATCCCGTCAAATAGAACCATAAAATTGCCATGGCTGATATTCCCATAAAACATCCGCATTCTATCCCCAATCTTCATAGATTTCATCGCAAATCATCGTAAATCATCATGAATCATTGAACTACATGGGCCATGGATAACCAGAGGTTAAGATTTCCCATTATATCCCCACGATATACCCATTCTATACCTACTATATCTCCATTGGAAAGCAATTAATGGTCATGCTTACGTATTAAATCACCATGAATCACCATAAATCACCATGAATCACCATAAATCACCACCAATAAAAACACTATCAACCATTGTTAAGATCTATTAACCACTAGTAACCAGTATTAACCACTACAATGTGGCCCCCCACAGTTATAAGTTGGTTTAGATTCGCCCCAGTAACTATAGTTATTTGCGTACCATAAACCATAGTGAAATTGAAGTTATTGGCACCAACTTAGCTATCCAACGGGGGCCTCACATTGTAGTAATCACCAAAAAAACCACTATCAACGATTCTTTTCCGATCTATTTTCACCACTAACCAGTATTAACCACTAGTAATCACTATTAACCACTAGTAATACTAGTAATCACTATTAACCATGGTTAACTTAACACTATGAATCACTATTAACTTCACCATGGTTTTCTCAGATGTCCCCTCCGAACGCTCCCCTCCGAAATCCCAGTGGCTGGTGATGAACGTCATCCCTCCGCTGAGCTTCATCGGAAAGTCCACCTGCGGCATCGTCCCAAAAAGATGAGTCCTATGGAGGGTTAGCCGTAGCTTCTCAGACAGTGGCCATGGATCCATAGGGATATATATATATATTTAAATATTTACATATTATATCATATTATGTAATTAATTTGATTAATCATCCTGGAGTAAAAAAAATATATGGATCATCCTGTATATGTATATGTATATATACTGGTTGGTGGTGCAATAACCATCTTGAAAAATCATGGAGTTCGTCAATGGGAAGGATGAGATCCCATATATGAAATGGAAAATAATCCAAATGTTCCAAACCACCAACCAGTATATATATATATATACCCTATGGATCCAGTCGTACCTTCTGAAAGGAACTGGGACTGGGGTATAATTTACTATAATTTGGAGGGTTAGCCGTACCTTCTCAGACAGTGTTTGGATCCATAGGTATATAATATTATGTAATTAATTTGATTAATTTAATTAATCATCCTGGAGTATATAGAATATATGGATTCTTCAAAAAATTATAGCCTATTCCCCATTCACATGGTCATACATTGTGGGTAATCCCACCTTTTTTTCTTGACAAACCAACTTCAGTTATGGCCTTTTACCACTTATAAGTCAGTAAGTCACCCCATTTATGGAATAATAAACCCATTTACAACAAATTATATCTGGTTGGTGGTATACCTACCCCTCTGAAAAATATGACTTCGTCAGTTGGGATGATGAAATTCCGAATATATGGAAAAATAATATTCATGTTCCAAACCACTAACCAGTGTATATATATAATCATCCTGGAGTATATAGAATGTATATACATATATATATGGATTCTTCAAAGATTTCCCATTTTTGTGCTGACTTTTTGAAGTTGCCATATTCTATCTACTCCAGGATGACTATACTTCTGTAGCTTTGAAACCACTAAGCAAAACATAGCAAAACAACATGTTGCGAACATCTGTTAACTATGAACCATACCCATGATTCATTGGGTCACATCTTCTGTTACAAGGTGGTGGACCTGGTCCTTATCTATGTGGCTCTGTCCAAAAACATGGCGTAACCCCTGAGGTATCCATTCTCAGAGGCACCCTTAAGGAGGTGCACCCCCAATGATGTTTGTTGATTTGAAAAAAAACAAAATGAATCTATCATAATTCATAAGCTGCTTATAACCCCTGAATATAGTTGATCTACTCATGCTAATCGATCAATTTATACTTCGAAGCATATCCATCATAGACATCCAGAGTTTTTAAACATCTATGAATCATAGTTCGAAACATATCTATCATAAACAGCCAGAAAAAAAGCCATGGAATTCACCGAGTTTAATGGCGCCACTTAGCCGTTCGTTGCCTGCCAGCCCACGTTGCAGGCATCCGTCTGCCCGGCCGAACACTTCACCGTTTGGATGCCTGAATTCGTGGGGATGGTGGGGTTAGGGACCGCAAAAAAAATGGTGGTTGTTTTGCATGGTTACAAAGTTCCATAAATTCGGATATAACCTGATATAACTTCATATAGCTTCATATAACTGTGGTTTTATGATGTGTATATATATATATATATATATTATACATCTATCATCATCTATCCAATTACAACTGCAACTGCCCTTCCAAGTAAGGGTTCTCCCGGTGGGTTTAACGCCTATTCCGTATGGGAAGATTATGGGAATGGGGGTCCCATCAGCCAGGAGGTCCCATTTTTAGTTGTGGAAAGAATGATTGGTGGGTAAATACTACCATCTGGTTATGACTAACATAGCCATGGAAAATCACCATGTTTAATAGGTAAACCCAGGTAAACCATCTATAAATGGACCATTTTCCATGGCTATGTTAAATAACCAGAGGGTAAATACTATACCATTAAGAAGTAGTCATATCATACTTCAAACGAAAAAAAAACACCATGTACTGAATCTTTTTTTTGTGCCCCTTCTCGGAATACTTGTTGGTGTAGTTTTCTGTTCAAAAAAACAAAACGCTTAGTTATTTCCTCATATTTCCTCACCATAAAGCCTCAAATACCTAAAGGCTAGGCAAACAATTCAAAACTACGCATGCTACCGAACTGGGGCACCATCAGGCTGGTGCTTCAGAGATATTATGGGGGCGGCTGGGGATTCTGCAGATTCCCAAGCCGAAGTGTTGCGGCCATAGCCATACAGGCCGTCACAAATAGGGGTTTCACCAATTGTCAATGCTGGTTGGTGGTTGAGCCCGGACCCCTCTGAAAAATCATAGAGTGAAAGTCAGTTGGGATGATGAAATTCCCAATATATGGACAAATAAAAAATTATGTTCCAAACCACCAACGAGTCAATGGCTTTCTTTTTCAGGGAATGATCATGTTTTATGGTCTTGGAAGTGCAGTTCCAGTTAGAGGAGGATATGTATCTTATATGTTTACCGTTCATTACTCCGTAGAACATATATTGTATGGGTAAATTGGGTAGCCCAATAATAAGATGGTTCATATCAATCCCATCTCCCTGTTCTTAAACACCCCGCAAATCAAAATGGTATGTGGAAATTCCCACCATGGTTTCGTTTGGGGGGTGTTTGATATAATATAATATATATATATATATCCCTATGGATCCAGTCGTACCTTCTGAAAGGAAGTGGGACTGGGGTATAATTCACTATAATTTGGAGGGTTAGCCGTACCTTCTCAGACAGTGTTTGGATCCATAGGGTATAATATATATTATATCATGGACAAGGGGCCATTCGTCTCAAATCTCTGGTCACTGCATGGGTGCCGCCGCCCCCTTGCCTTTGTTCACCAGTTCGTCGGAGACCAGCACAATGTCTTGCGCAGTATCTGGGACGTGACCCCTGCCCTTGAGTGGCTAAAGTGGCCAACTTACCTGATATTTAGATATATTTTTGGTGATATATGATGATATATTTCACCAACTATATCATGTTATATCAGTTGAGGACCATAACTGTGGTGACTTCAACGATACAAATCTCACCCACCAATTGAGTGACCAATCCTCATGATTCTAATTTCTGTGTCTATCGTAGTTCCTAGCCATTTCGAGTACCCAAAACAATATCAGATGTTCGCAAATATGGATCCAATTTAATCTTGGATTCGAATACAGTAGTTGATTTAGTAAACCCAAAAATTATAGGCCCTGTGTTTTCTTGGGATATGTGTCCGTTAATGGTATGAATGGTTGATAATATGATCATATTCTCAAGGGGACCATTAAATAATACAGCTATACAGTACAAGGCAGTACTTGGTTCCCAAATCATGGGAACATGAAAAACAAACACTTTCAGCAAACTCAGTCTTAGATACCTCGCAACAAAGAAGAAACAACTGGTTCTGGTACTCAAACGTGGCAAATAGAAAATTCCCTATAAATGGACACATCAATCCGTGAAAATCATGGAGGATTTACACCCATGTTCGGCGGCTACGTGTCGTGATTTCGACCAAATAGCCATCAGAGATCTTCTCGTCCCGTCTGCATTTTCGCCGGTTGGACCACCGGAGGGTATCTGTTTCATGCTGTTTCAAGATGTTCCATTGCCAGAAATGTAGCCAAGAACTCACCAACAACCATGCAAATACAAATGAATACGAGCACAAAGACGAGAATGCTCGGAGGGAACTCAACTAAGTGAAGCCTAGGAAGTTGTTCAAGCAAGACGAAGTGATTTACAGTAGATAGGTTGCAATGACTGACATTCAGACATTCTTGTTGAAATTCAGGAACCCAACAAGCTACAGTTTGAGTAATTCTGTAATCTGCCTTAAGGCATAAAACCTTGGCTTGGCGGACCACCATCAAGAATATTCCTTTCTCGAGGTAATTTTATGAAGTGCTGGACTCATCTAAGTCAATATCTATCTATCTATCTATCTACCTACCTACCTATCTATCTATCTATCTATCTATCCATCTATCTATCTATCTGATCTATCTATCTATCTATCTGATCTATCTATCTCTATATATTATATATATACACATAATTACACAGATACATATGCATATCCATATCCATGTCTATACATCTATATCTATCTACATATGTATATATATATATATACCCTCCGGTAAACTAACATAGCTATTGAAAATGACCATAGAAATAGTGGATTTACATGGATATACCCAGCTATAAAATAGTGATTTTCCAGCCAGCTATGTTAGTTTACCAAAGAGTATACATGTTGTAAACGTCACCTTCAGCAAGCCTGACTAAAAACGGCCGGGGGAGTCACCAGTCACCTAAATTCACAGCAGGTTGTCACGGTCCTCCGACAACCGTTATATGGAGATGGGTCAAAACCTATGATTACCATATTTTGGGGAATAACCATCCATTAAAAAAAAGCTACGACTTTTTTAGGTACCATCAATACTTATATAAATACCATTAATTCAGATATATTCAGGGGATACACATCCCATATCATCCCGTTGCAGTGTAAGAACCGCTTCACCGGGAGAATAACACTCGCCGGGCAGCTGCTCAAGAACTGCATGGATTGCTGTTTCAGGAAATCTTGTCCCCCGGGACCGGCAATGTTATTCCTCAGCGATGCCAGGTGTGGGTGCCATAAAAGAAAAGGCGTGGGTCACTTTTCACCAATGATCCCTACTAACTCGTAAGTGTCATTGCTTGGTAAACATTGAATGCAACATGAACTAATAAATGTATATCATATATCTGCACCACCCCACATTTTTTTGATATGGGGGGTTCCATTTTCTGGGGGTTACCGGGTACCCCATTTATCGTCATTTTCCATCAAGCTATGGTACCAGAAAATTGATGGAAACAATGTGAGGCCCCCGGCCACGATAGCGTTCAGTTGGGGTTCACATAACTCCAATGTCACGAACTGGTTTATGGTACGCAAATAACGAACTAGTTACTGGGGCTTATAAATCAACTTATAACTGGGGGGGGCCACATTGTACCTATAAATGGAATAACACATCAGAAAACATCATAAAACCATGTTCAACGTTTGCAAAAAATAACCTATATGATTTCCATATGTTCACTGATATGTGTTTTCTAGTGAGTGTGGCTATTCAATATCAAACATCTTTGCATTTTTTTGGGGGGCTAACACCTGTTTTTGGGCAGCTCCCCTGACTATACCAAGCACCAAGCTTCATCAGGGTCAAAAAGCTCTGTGTCTTTTTGATCATGCCATTGATGCTATTGCAGGTGCTATCCTTGGGAACAAGGCGACACGTGAAATTAGGAAACCGTAGCAACTGTAGTCTACAGTAGACTCATTTTGGGTGTCATGTGGATAGATGTGGATCAAACAGCTTAAACATCGTTTAACATCCTTAAGCTAAAAGCAGCGGCCAGCATCAACAATTCTCTGATCAGCCAGCTTTCACATTTGAAACAAAAAAACAGTATCTGTCAGTGGAGATGAACGTGGAAAATCGGTCAGACTGGGGAGAACCGAGTGGCCCACAGAAAATTATGATATAGATTGATATAGTAATAATATAGTAAAGTCACCATGGGTTTCAATACTAACTCAGGGGGTCTAATGACTGGATGATTTGGGGGTACCATGACAAAACGGACACCTCTGAGAAGACAATCGTTTGACCCTCTTTGGTGGCTGAGTGTCTTTTTTCTGCACCAGGGCTTCCCTTGTGGTCCCTTGTGATTCAAACATAGCAACTGGAAATCCTCGAACTGTTTATGGAGCTTATCATGGGACATTTATCTTAAAGAAATTTGATTTTCCATTGCCATGTTTGAAAACTGTATCAATCAAGTGGGACAAAATGGGACAAATGCCCTCCGGTAATGTAACATAGCTATGAATAATCCTCCATTTGGTTCGATGTTTTTCCATGTTTTTCCAATGTATAAACCTGCATTGGTAGAGTACTTTAGCCAGTCAAACGTGTGTGAAGCTGACATGAAGCTGATTTGTGTGACGAATATGTACGGGATTGCCACTTGCAGAACTCAGCAGAATTGAACATGAACCCCAACATTCCCCAGGATCTACCAACTACTGGAATGTTACACTGTTCAGAAATGGTATCGTATCTTTTTCTACCAACAAAGGCCGATTGGCCATGGTTAATGGTTTCCCCGTCTCAAAAAAACAACATGCAGCACCAATGGAGTTTTGAGTTGGTTTAGTTGCACCCATTTGACTATAGATATATGCAAGATAGATCCAAGTTATTGTATAGTTATAATCAAACACTAATGATATAACTATACTGTATAATTTGACTATAGATATAGCCAAAATTCACGGAAACCTACTTTGAATCCAACACTTATAGTGAAATAAAGCCACCGAATAAAGCCACTCTCTGCTGCCCAAAGCACTAAGGGATTTGAACTGGTACCCGAGTAGGCATAGGTTTGCTCATTGAAGTCCTATCAGCGAGCTGCAGGAGCTGCAGCTGATGGCTTCGATCAGCGAATCAACGAAAAAAGACTCACTTTACTCATGAAAAACATGTTGTTTTTAAACCAACAGTTCTAGACTTCTCTGCCAATTCTTCAAAGTACTAATAAGTATCTAAAGTACTGAAAGTTGAAAACCCAATTTTGGTTCGTTCCCGAGTTCCCCCTGTGGGGTACTGTCAATACAAGCAGCTACATGTTCCAGTGTTCCAGCCAAGAAGAAAACACAATGGGCTATAAAACCTGGAACAACTCAATGATAGAAGAATGTTTCATGACCACCCCATGTTTGGTGGTTGAATGGGGCCACCGGGCTATATTCCATCGTATCATATCCCTGCACGAAAACAAAAACAAAACATCTTGGCCCCAACCCGGACGCATTTCCATATCCACATAACACACCCAAACAGTCTCATATACTTGTCACAAGTGGATGAACGAAAACACTGGCTCTACACAGCGATTCTGATTCTAGATTTCAAGATTAAGGGTTTTAGATGGTTTTAGGGTTTAGGTTTTTAGGGTCTTAGGGTTTACCCTCTGGTAAACTAACATAGCTATGGCAAATCACCATTTTTAATGCCATGTTCAATAGCTATGTGAAAAAAAAACAGTTTTGTAAAAGTTTAAAAAAAGAAAAGTTTAATAGCTATGTTTAATGGACAACTCACTATTAAAAGTTTAAAAAAAGCTAGCGCTGCGCTCCCGGACTTGAGCATGGAAATTTTCGACCAAATCTGCGGGATCAGCATGGTGAAACATGGTGAAGCAGCGAAGATGTGTGGAAAAAAAAACATACCCTCTGGTAATTTAACAACAAACTATGGAAAATCACCATTGTTCATGGTAAAATGCCTAATTAATGGTGATTGATAGTGGATTTACCCATTGAAAATGGTGATGTTCCATAGTTTTTTGTTAACGTTTACCAGGGGGTAATCCCAACAGCACTGCTGGGTTTCAATCTCTGGGTCTGGGAGAGGAACCCTGGAGCCCGGAACCTGCTGTTGGCTTGCGAAGCTGGATTGATATGTACACACATGTGTGTATATATATATATTATATTTATATATACATATACATATATATATATACATATATACATATATATATATATATGTGTGTGTGCGTGTGTTTGTATGTATTCTATGTGCTTATATGTTTTTCTATGCATGTGTTTTCTGAAAACGGGCCTAAATCCAGGGGTTGGACATGATATCCCTATTAGAAGCACTTTTTTAAGTAACCCATATCATATGTTTGGTCTTATCCCTTCATGTTCCAATGATATCCCAATTAAATGGTTGGTTTCACATGTTTAATTGTACCAATACCTTCTTGGTTATATACAGCCATTTTTATGATGAAAGAACAACACATTAAAATTGGTTGGTGGTTTCAACATGTTTCAACCCTCCTTTGGAATATAGGCAATGGGGAAAATCATCCCAATAGGGCTTTAACAAAAATCTTTGAAACCACGAGCCACTAAAGGTTTGACCCAAAAAAATGTGCGCTAACATGCGCTAACGTTTCCTCCTTGATATTTGGATGTTTTGGGGCTCCCATTTAAACAAATGGTAAATTTTAACCAAACTGGTGAACATTGCGATAGAAACCATTCCAAACTTAAATCTACCCCAACTTCGATGGAACACTCCACACCAACATGATGGTTTCCATATCTGGTTGATGGTTTTTTCCATGTTGAAAAATATTAGTCAGATTGGATCATCATCCCAACTATTGGGGAAAATAAAATATGTTCCAAACCACCAACCAGTGATGGTTTCCATACTATTATTGGCCCATATATTATGGAAAAATAAAAAATGTTCCAAACGACCAACCAGATATTATTCAATGTTGCGTCCAGAGTTGGATGGAATTGTAAACTCACAAACATATACAAAAAGACCCTGTGTTGTAAGGCATCTCTCCTAGGAACATCATTTGATATTACAGTTTTGTCAATAATATTCCATAATATGTACATATATGTATATATATATATATGTACAATTATATCATAGATACATCATATCTATTTGATATTATATATATATACAATGTTGGTTTTGCTACCAAATGATTAAGATAAAGAATCCGCAAATTTATCAGCATCCGGTATCCCTTCATATTATTAATTATCCAGTTTTACAGTTACCCTCTGGTTATTTAACGTAGCCATATGGTATAGATGGCCCATTTATGAATTGTTTTTTGGGATTTTCCATGGCTATGTTAAATAACCAGAGGGTATACGATATACTAAGCATCATTCCAGTGAATTCCAGCGAGCTATCCAGAAACGCTTTAACTAATCCACAAGAATTTTAACTATCCATACCGAAACAAATCCATAGATCCACGCATTTTTGGTCCTTCGCAAATGTTGGTGATGTTATACAATATCCTTATCAGTTATACGAACATCAAGAAAACACATCGATCCATAAACTAATTCGGAAATCCATAGATTTTCATAGGTATCCATTCATAAATCCTCCAAATCTATGTCCCCGGTCCTTCACAGAGGAGCTCACGTTGTTGGCCAACTCCTCCGCAAACCGCAGCGTTGCCGGCTTCGCGGGCTGCGCCCCTGAGGAGGCCTGCAGAATTTCTCGTGAAAACCAAGGGAGGGATTCTTCTGGGGGTATGGTGCGGATTAAATGGGACCAAAAAACCTGCATAAACCCGAGAAAAACGTATCAAAACCAAAGGAAAACTATGGACAAACTGTTTGTGACAAACTCAAGTTTCCATGATTTTGGGGTGCGAAATCCAAGTTACATCCGAATTTTCTTGGCTGAATTCTGAATTTTCGGGTATAATCCTATAGGTATAGTATGTTGCTTTGTTGCTTGAAATTCTCAATCTTCAGCTACCCAAAAAAACATATCAAATCCCAAAGTCACAACGTTTGCTGATCGAATTCCAACTATTGGTTTCATAGATGCCAAGACAAACAGGAGACAAACAATTCGCTCAATCGCCCCCGATATCTACATTGATTACCCTCTGGTAATTTAACATAACTATAGAAAATCACCATTTTTAATGGGTAAATCCACTAATATCCACTATTTCTATGGCCATTTTCCATAGCTTTTTGTATGTTTACCAGCTGATAATCTCCACAGCCCCGCCACGTTGCCTGCAGGGCGTCCGGATCGCCGGAACTGCTTGCAGCACTCGATCCGCCCAAGAGAATATCCCTGGCGAGTACGTCGTGACGTCGGTGACGTCGTGGCGCCACGGGGTAAAAACAGAGCCATCTCAGATGGTTGGGAAAAATCCCATAAAAGATCCGATTAAAAAAAAGCCAAAAATAATGCCGTAAGAATCAATCTACTTATATAAAGCCTTCTGAAGCAGTTATCTGTATGCTTATTTCAATGGTTTCATCATTCCATAAATAGTGTTATTTCACTGACTTATAACACGTATAGCACGGCCAAAACTGTAATCACAAATGGGCTTCTGAGCGCAAAATACTTAAGCTTTGCAAATTAAATGATGTTAAAACCAGCATTTAGTATTTAACACAGTAGTAACTGAAATCTGGGGAATACTGAAAACTGAAATCAAATGGTTTCAAAAGGTGTTTTCAGTGAAATCTGGGCAAACATACTCAATTTGCCTGATGAAAAACGGAAGTTTCACAAAACGGAAGACCCCCAATGGCCATGGATCTAATGGGATCTCCCAACCATTCAAGTTGTGACCTCTTTCTCCTTTGGTTTGAGGTCACTTAACCCTTGAAATGGTCACAAAAACTAGGCCCAAAATAGTCACTTTGAACTGTCAGGCACTTTAGCATTATAGATTTGATAGACATTTGAATCAGTCTAAAGTGCTAGAGGTCACTTTAGGTGCCTTGAATTCATGTTGAAAAAAAGACATAAAAAGCGGCCTGAGACAGCTTGGTTTTGAGACAGCGCCAATGACGATTTTGGTTCAGGAGAACAAACAATTTGTGGCCTGGGGTGGGGGGGTTACCCTCTGGTAATTTAACAGTTTGCGAACTTGAAAATGATCCATAAAAATAGTTGATTTACCTATTAACGATGGTGATTTTCCAGTTGGCTATGTAAACGTTTACCAGAGGGTTATTTCATTATACCACTATAATCCCATATCCCATTATACCACTATTTTATCCTAGTTTACCAGGCCGGGTACCCCAAGGGTATGCAAACGTTTACCAGGCCGGGTTTTCCATGCTATGGTTGCCCTCTTTCAATCAGAGAACCAGTTGGTTCTCAGAACATCGCGGCATCGACCACTGGGCAGGTTTGGTAGCCACTTATGCCACTTTTACGGGATATCCCCATAAACGTTCGCAAACGTTAGTAACTCCAATAACTCACTTGGGTTTGTGGTAGATATCTCAAAGGTGGTTAAAATGGTGGTCAAATACATAGATCATGGTGGTTCTAATGGTAGATATCTCACTTTTACAGATGATGATGTTTGTTTGTTTGTTTTTTTTTCCAAGGTTCCATCACTGCAGCAATTTGGATGCACAAAATCACCAGATTTTGTGCTCAATGGCCTCAGGCTCTGCGCCGCTTGGGAATGATAATGTCCCCCAGCATCGCCCGTCAACTTGGTGTACTTTGCCTCGCGTTGCAAGACCTGAGCCCCGGCCGGCGCCGTGGTGCACAGCTGGTCAATATGGATGGGAGAATGGATGGAACTTGAGAGAGAAAGGTGATGGTGATGATGATGGTGATGATGGATGATACAGTAGATGATAGATGATAGGTTATAGATTATAGATTATAGATGATACATGATATATGATGCATGAGAAATGAGGAATGAAAAACAATAATTGACTCATGATACATGATACATGATAAATAGTAATTGACTCATGATACATGATACATGATACATTATATAAAAATGATAACTGATAACTGACAATCATTGCAAGCATTTTTTACAAAGCGCAGGCCCAACTCTAAATTGCCAGGCGAAATTTCCAGTTGAGGCCAGGCACAACTCTGTTGTAGGCCTCCGCGAAATTTTCTCCACCTGGCTCCAGCGAACCGAACTGTGCCCCCACCGTGCTCCGATTAAAACCAGTGCCGTTACTGCTATGGGCCAACATGGGCCAACAATTGATGGTTCATGTTCAGGAAATCTGCAAAATCCTCAAAGATCATATCAAACAACATTGAAATATTCCCCGAATCTCGTTCTGAATTCTGAATTTCTGAATTCGCTGAAGGGAACACTCTACGGCTTCAAAACCCTTATTCCGTCATCAATGAGGAATTGCCAGCCTATCTGGACGCTTGGTACCGCTACAGATGCTATGGGACCAAAAATGAGGGTGGTAAACTTGGTAAACAACCCACAAATGGTGCTCATTCTTAGTGTCCTTCAAGTTCTATTCTACCCAACTTGGAAAGCTATCTGAATGTGTAACCGGAACTCAGATGAATTTTGAGTAGTTCCACTTGCCAGACTTACTCAGCATCATGTCCTGTAACGTCACGGTGAGGTCTTTATCATTCAGGCCATGACGTCCATATATATATATATATATATGTCCGTCTTCATGGAAAAATCGAAGGGTGCCCCATGCAAGGTACCCCAAACAAAAAAGTCCCTGTGGTTTCACGGGTCTCAACCAACATTAACCCTGATTTTTGAGCAAACCCTGTGGTTAGGAGGGTAGCTGTGGTACATAATATCCTCAACCCCTATCATTGCTATATGATGTTCTCATTGTATTGGAGGTTCTGAGTTTTGTAATGGTATGCCTATGGCCTATATCTCCTCAACATGACCATTCAATGAGCCGGTGCCCATATCCACAGCTTTCACAACTGTTGGGCTTGGGGATTGGTCAAGAAACCTCAACAATTGCTGGGGGCGGTGAAGGCCAATTGGCCCAACAAAAAAACACTCATAAAAAAAAGTCGCCGATGCGTGTCATCTTGCTGTGAAAAAACATCTCCCATTTCTACTCGCCTCAAATTATCCCCCCCTATCAGCTTTGGTTGACTCCTCACTCCATAGAAATAACCATATAGAAAGAAGTGGTATTTCTCTCTGGATTTTCACTGCAATTTTCCAGTAGAGTTTTCACAACTGGACTCCCCACCCCCACTCGACACCACTCGACCACCTTGTGGCTGGATCTTCGCGTAGCTCTTCAAGGCAGCCTGTGTTTCGGCTGTGTTTCGCTATGGAGGCCATAGCGAATCTTAAATCATTTGCACCACCACAAAACAAATGGAGGTTTCCATAGATGGGGTACCCATAGATAGGCTGGATGGTGTATTTGATGGAAAATCCATCTATAACATGGATGATGACTGGGGGCACCTCAATTTTAGGAAATCTCTATATGAAACATCATTGATTTGTGTATAGTTAGGTAGTACAGTATATAATAGTATATATATATCTATGATATATGTATATGATTGTATATGTTTCCCCTCTGAAGCCCAAACAAATCAATAAGTATAAGAGCTGCCAAAGCAAGGTTTACCTAGCTGGTTGGTGGTATACCTACCCCTCTGAAAAATATGAGTTCGTCAGTTGAGATGATGGAATTCCCAATATATATGGGAAAGTCATAAAAGTCATGTTCCAAACCACCAACCAGTATAGTTCTATTTGTAAATCTACCATAAACCTCAGTTATTGCAGTCATGTTCACCCACATTTTGCGATTTCGTGAGCTGCCAAAGCAAGGTTTACCTATTAGAAGGCTGATCTTTCGAGCTCAAAAATCCTTCCGGCTGGCTCACCCCCCATGTGACGAGTCACTTCCTGTACTAGCTGCTGAACAATTTTGATGTGTGGCCGATGAACAATTTCACGTGTGGCTGGCTATGTATATATATATATATATATGTCTATATATATATATATATGTATACATATATGTATATATGCATATATGGCTGGCTATGTATATATGATGGCTATATATGTCATAATATGAGTGTATTCCCATGGATATACAAGTTTCCATGCCTTGTAAGATCTTGTAAGGGGATTTGACATACTCCATAAGAACACCCATGCCTGCAGAGTTTCCATCGAAGTTACCCAATGGAAATGCTAAAGAAAATAGCCACATTTACCTCTGGCAATCTTACCTGGGTGGAATATTTCAGCATCTGAAAATCATCGACCGATTCCAAGAAATTTCTGTGAAAGGATGGGACTTTTGGCAGCTTTCAGATTTTGACCATCTCCTGCCCAAAATCCAAACGTTCAAATTCTGTGTGATGTGCTGTCCACTAGATAGCTAAGTTGGCTTTGAATTAGGCTAACTACGCTTAGGGTCTATAGACGGTATCATACCTACAGCTGAGGGTACACATAGATGATCTTGTGTTGCATGTGCACAACAAAATGAAAGATCTTGACACATGTTCTTTTCATGCTTGGGGTTGCATCCCAGTTGGTAAGTAGGTGATAGAATGCCATGATCATATCACTTACAAGTTACATATATATATAGAGTATATACATATGAATTGTTAAGGCCTCGTAAACTTATAAACCACCAAAAACGATGCATATAGGACGTCCAGTCGTGATCGAAAACACGGCCATGTCGCAATGTCGGCAATGTCAGGTCAAGTTGGAGGTACCGACAAGGTGGTGGTGACCACTGACTGAACTCGTTCGACAAAAATCTACCACATTTCCTGGGGTTCAAAGGATGAGTTTCAACAAAAAAGTTGGTGATGAAAAAAATAAAAACAGCGGGTAACATCACAATGAACTACCAAAAAAAAGATCCTATAACTTGGATTTGCTTATATAAGGTGTTCCCCAAAAAATAAGCCACATCTTCACTTAACATCGATTCCCCCTTTTGATGGTGGATTAAAACGGAAAATACGCCAAATCGCCGACGAAACAAACGCCAGTATGATAACCAATCGTTCGCAGGGAAATCATGAGATGGGATAGTTTTTTGATATGTTCAATGGCTCAGAGCCTCAGTTATAAGTACTATATAAGTCACTCCATTTATGTAGAAAATCCCATAGAAATCAACAGTTATAACTAACACATGGGTATACCCTCTGGTAATTTAACATAGCTATGGAAAATCACCATTTTTAATGGGAAAATCCACTATAAATCACCATTTTCAATAGCTATGTTAAATTACCAGAGGGTAACTGTACCACAAAGCCAAACGTGAAAGTGGAGTCACAAACTTCCGAACCCACGGGGCATCCCGTAGTGATGATACGCCATGGATCCATGGATATTGATGTGCCCCCGTTTACGATAGCGTTCAGTTGGTGAAGATAACTTCAATTACTAACAAGTATGGTACGCAAATAACTCTAGTTACTGGATGTTACTGGGGTTCATAAACCAACTAATAACTGGGGGCCCCCACTTAGTAGGATTATATAGGTAATTTATCATAATTTATCCAAGTTATCACCATGGCCAATATAGATTTATGGAACAAAAACAAGCTTTAGGTACCATGATGTTCCATGGTTCTAGAGGTTAAAGTCAAGACTCATTCAAAATGGATCAAACTGTGATCCGCCCGGCCCTTTTTTTTATTCGCGAGTCCAGTGACTGAAGGGTGTGACCTTGCACAATATGCTACCATATGCTACAAATATGCAAACAGATCTGCAGCTTCAGCTATGCATTTATTGCATTTGCGGCTTTTGATTTTATTGCATTTGCGGGTTTTTTGGGTTTCCATATTGTGGACAAAAGGGTGACTTGAGTTGTCACCAGAAAATCCGTCGCCCCAAGTCACCACTGAACCATTCGCCAGAATCGCAGCAAATGCTTGTGTAGTTGATTGAACCTGTTGGACACCCTTGAGCTGATGTTGGACTTCAGAGCTGTCACCACCTTTCTTTGGATCGCCCCAAGTCACAACCGAGCCATCTGCCAGGATTGCAGCAAACGCGCCCCAGGTTGCTTGGACCTGTTGGACACCTTTCAGTTGATCCTGGACGTGAGAGCTGTCACCACCCGAAAGCGGAAGGCCCCAAGTCACAACGGATCCGTCTGCAAGGATTGCGGCAAATGCATTCTCGGTTGCTTGAACTTGCCGGATACCTCTGAGCTGATGTTGCACTTCAGAGCTGTCACCACCGTAATCTGCATCGCCCCAAGCCACAACTGACCCATCTGTCAGGATAGCAGCCAACGCGCCCCAATTTCCTTGCATCTTATGGACACCTTTTAACCGATCCTGGACGTGAGAGCTGTCATCAATCTCAGCTCCCCAAGTCACAACGGACCCATCCGCAAGGATGGCAACAAAAGTAGAGAAGAATGCTTGAACCTGCTGGACCCCTTTCAGCTGGTCGTGGACGTCAGAGCTGTCACCACCATATGCTGGATGGCCCCAAGTCACCACTGTCCCATCCGCCAGGATCGCAGCAAACGCGTGACAAGTTCCTTGAATCTGCTGGACACCTTTCAGCTGGTCTTGTACCGAAGAGCTGTCACCGCCACGATCTGGATCGCCCCAAGTCACAACTGACCCATCTGCCAGGATCGCAGCAAATGCGCCATGAGCTGCTTGAATCTGCTGGACACCTTTGAGCCGATCTTGGACGTAAGAGCTGTCACCACCGTCATCCTCATGTAAACCGCCCCAAGTCACCACTGATCCATTGGCCAGGATGGCAGCAAATGCCCAATCATTTGCTTCAACCTGCCTGACACCTTTGAGCTGATCCTGGACTTCAGAGCTGTCACCACCAGACTTTGGATGGCCCCAAGACACAACAGATCCATCTGACAGGATAGCTGCAAATGCCCTGCCAGTTGCCTGAACCTGCTGGACACCCTTGAGCTGATCTTGAACTTCAGAGCTGTCACCACCTTCTTCCGGATTGCCCCATGTGACTACCCGGTCACCTCCAGAGCAAAACAACGCAAAAGCTCGGTTTGTTTTTGCTACCTTTGCCTCTATAACAATAGCTGTCAGGTGGTCTCCATCTTCAAGTCCTGCAGCTTGCAGAGACAATGTAGGATCCACCACGCTATGATCTGCATTCACAAGCCTCAAGAAGCCACGTTGAAATAATTTCTGCGCAAGAACCTGCAAGTCCCCTACTTTGGAGGACTGTGCAAGTGACAATGTCTCACTCTGGCCACTCAGTAAAGTTACAGTAACGCGAAGCATCACATTGACTTGAGCCTTCACCATGCTGTGATATCCGCATGTGGAGTTCTTCCAGCAGTGAGTTCCAGCAGTTCCTGGATGCATTTACTTCTCCGATTGCTTCCAAAAAGTGACATGAACCAAATCCTGAATTTCGCCCGGAAACAACTTCTACGTTGATGCATGTAAAATTAGTAAAAACACATGTGGCTTTACTCTCCTTTTCCCATGCAACCCTCAATGCAACCCCCAGTCCAGAATCATGCTTTTGCCACAAGACAAACCCCTATGTGGATTTCTTATATAGATTCCCATTTTGCCGAGTTGTATGTATATATGCATACAGAGGATATCTGAAGCCAACCATGATACGTATCTGTAATACATATAAAATACTGTAATCAATATAAATTATATACACATGTATGACAAATACATCATACATATGTAGAAAAAAAAAACAATAAAATATAATACATGTACAATCATATTTAAGGCATATTTATATAAATAATACCTATGTAATACACAATACATGCACTGCATGGCGTCCATCAGAATAGATTACATCAAACTACATTAGATTACATTACATTAGATCATATTACACTCCAGCAAATCACATTACATTTCATGCATTACATTGCGTGAATATGCGTGAATCAGATTACTTTAGATTGCATTGCATTAGTTTACTCTACATTGCATTGCATCACATTGCATCACATCACATTACATTGCACCGCATTAGATTACATTGCATCATCATGCGCCGCATTAGATTACATAACAATACAACAAACAAATACACTATACACTACATTACATTACAGCCCGTGATATCTTTTTTGCATCACATTACATTACATTTTATACATACACACAAAATTTGGCTGTGTCCGTAAAACAAAAACACTTACAGTCCTGTACGAATTCCCTAACAGTCGCCCAGAAAAACAGGTGGTAAACATCATATTCCTTCGCCTCGTTTCAGCAGGATCCCCATTTCAATGGTATCAATGCTGGTCGGTGGTTGAGCCTACCCCTCTGAAAAATGATGGAGTGAGTTCGTCAGTTGGGATGACATTCCCAACTGAATGGAACATCATAAAAATCCATTAAGTTCCATTATTGATTATTATATCCCATTATATCCCAATAAAAACACCATTATATCCTACAATGTGGCCCCCCCAGTTATAAGTTGGTTATTTGCGTACCATAAACCAGTTCGTGAAATTATGGACTTATTGGCACCAACGGAACGCTATCCAACGGCAACGGGGGCCTCACATATTGTATTAAAAAGCCATGTTCCAAAGCACCAAGCAGCTACCCTCTGGTTATGTCAAACGTAGCTATTGAAAATGGCCATTTATAGTGGATTTTCCCATTAAAAATGGTGATTTCCCATAGCTATGTTAAATTACCAGAGGCTAAGTTCATCCCCGATATCAACCAGGTAAAGAGAATCCCCTGAGTCCATCAACAGTGCTTTTTGTGCCTTTCTTGGTACAAAAACTGCGCATTTCTTCAGCGTTCAAAAAGCCATTTCCTCAAGCCTACAAGAAATAACATAATTTACTGTACCCTATGGTAGCTAACATAGCTATGGAAAATGACCATTTATAGTTGATTTATCCATTAAAAATTATGATTTCCCAAAGTTATGTTAGTTTACCAGAGGGTAAATTCACCCTATTACAATCCCAATAAATATGCCAATTGTGATCCATTGAAATAATGTCGAAAACCATTCGAAGAGCCATTGAAAAAATGGCTAGATCCACCATTTCCCATTAGTATCCCAGTATTATCCCTATCAAACCATATATAAAACCAAATAAAAACCAAATGATCCGGGAAAAAAAAAAAAAACCTCCCATTGCTATCACTATCACCATTCTGAACCCATGAAATCTTCCCCACTTCAATGGTTGACTTCATCCCGGGCCTCCCCATCTTTGGACATTGACAGCCATCCAATGACCTGGACCACGGTCTCGTCTTCCACCGTGATGTCCTCGGTTTCGACGATGAAAACACATCGAGACTGAAGGAAAAGCATAGATTTCAGAAAGGAAAATGGGGAGTTGACCAAGACAAGCTAGATAATCTGGATGGGTATGTTGGTTTAGAACATTTTATAACTAGTCTAACTAAGATGTCCGGTGGAGATGGGTGAATCTAAACCAACAAACACTTCACTGGGGGCACCACTTTGTAGCAAAGTTGGTTATATATCCCGTTTATACGAAAACATTCCATGAAATATTGGTATATAAAGTATAATTAACTCACTGACCTATTTTTATCGGCCTCTCCACTTCTCTTGCGGACCCCCAGCCATACCACCTGAATTAAGGCTATTTGGGGATGATTCCCTCACTAACTATTATTCCACTGAGGTGGCAGTGAGGTCGTGATATTTTACCCGAAATCACCATAAATCGAACAGTTTAGCATGACTGCTTTACATCATCAATAGTTCACCATGAACTTTAGTTCTAGTTGTAAATCTACCATAAACCCCAGTTATTGCAGTCATGTTCACCGGCTTAGCATTTTTTCGTGACGGGAGCCCCACCTTGTAAATGGGATCATTCAACTATAGCAACGAAAGTCAAGTTGGATTCTGTAAATACTATAAATGCAGTTTTCTGGGTTTATGGTCTAATTCTACCTATCGTCGTTATTATTGTAACATAAAACGTAACGTGAAAAACGTCTTCATTTTTCGGGTAGGTCTAACAGAGAACGAGAAGGACGACTGGGGGCAGATATCTTCGGGTCTCACCAAGTGCTCCAAGTGTCAAAGCCTTCGGTGGCGAAGAACGTGGTGTCTGCCAGCATGTCCAACTGGCGTTGCTTCGGGAGAATCAGATTCATTTACCAACCAGATCAATGGCGTTGTGGTTTGGGATGGGAATCAGATTTCTGACCAACCAGATCATCAGGCTGATGTGGGATATATTGCATGGCTAATATATATATATATATATTATAATGGGAAGAGTATGGGTGAAATGGATTTTTCATAGCTTGAAAATGGATGAAATGACGTTTTTTTTCTAGGTGATATGAGCAATAGTACGGAGTTCTATGGATTTAATGCCGGAAAGGTGTCAGATAGCTATTGACCATGACACTTTTCCATGGCAAAGCAAAATGACTAGGGGGTAGAAATGCTTAATATGGGTTTAGTTAGAACCAACTACATTTGGGCAGAGGAGTTCTTTCAACCAATCATTAAGCATCAAACATGGTGATTTGATGGTGACTTTCTGGTGGTATTGGATGGGATTTGTCGTGATTAATGGGCCATGGAATGTAAGAAAGTTATTTGATCTTGCCATGAAACATGAAGGGATCTATTGAGGGCTTACTAAGGGCCTACACAGCCTCACATGATTACCCATATAGTGGTTTTGAATTCCAGGATTCCCTTTCTAAAGACTTTGGAAGGCGATAGGCACAACCACTGGTATTCCCAGGAATCTAAACTACCAACCCAAGCCACCGACTAATCTTTGGTTGATGTGTGAAGGAAAAAACCATGGAACCCAGTCATGCTTAGATGATCATCTCACTTAGTACCTGCATAGTCAATAAATCTGGAGATTTGTTCAGTCCCCGAGTCGTGGATTCTCCCATTTTTGATACGTATCCCACATGGCCCGCCAAAAATCGAGGGCGAGTGGCTGCTGCAATGGTGTTCTTGGGATTCGCTTTCACCGTGTAGTTCATCACCAGCGAGCCTCGACGACGATTTCGAGAAAGGACAGGGTGCCCAAGGGATCCAAAAAAGTTCAGAGGCTACCTTCAGTCGAAGCCATGGAAAATTGCTATAAAATTATGCTAAACTTATCAAACATCTTGCGTAAATATCGTGACTTTTGGGGCTAAATTTGGATCTGCGTACTTTCGCAGCCTGCAGATCTGCAGATCTGGCCATTCTAAAGTTATGAAAAAACCACATGGGATCTGTTCGGGAAGTCTGAAACTATGGGGAAAACGCGAAAATTTATTAAACTGGCTTTGAAAAAAAAACTGACAATTTAGTCTGAAAACATAAAATGACCATGAATTGAGGGCAATCCAATGTTGGGACAATCCCATTTGAACACCATTTGGACATGTTTGGACTTTGGGTTCATTAACGTGATTCACGTGGAAATGGCTAGATGATCTTGCTCTTATCCATCGGTCCTTTTTGAGCACTAAAAATTGAGAAAAAAAAAACCTGTCTGCAAACTGAATGTCTCCCATCCCTGAGACTTTGAAGAGACTTGAGCTCTCCAGATCCCAGTGATTTCTGCCCAGCAACCCACATCCACAGGCGACAAATTGTTAGGATCCAACTGTTTCCTCAGGGATCACAAGGAGCATCGAATGGGGGTCCCCCGACAGATGAAACATCTGTCAAATCTGGCTGAATTCAGTTGTGTCCCTTATAACAATTATAAATGGACTTATAACTCCTATATAACTTATAACTAAGGTTATATATCATGAAATAAGCCCATTTATAACTGTTAAGGGCCATAACTGTTAGAATCATTAACCAACCTGAAAAGTTCGGCCATCAATCTTCCGATCCTCCTGAGGGTTTTTTCATCCATGAGCGTGTGGCTCATATTCAGAGGGACCATATTCAGAGATGGATTCGGGTAGGCCAAACCGCAATGGAAATGCGGCCCAAAGCTGAAGAAAATTTTCAATCAAATCGGCCCCGATGCCCCAATGTCTTTCTTACGGTATGTTTATTGATGTTGATTGTTTTGTTTTTTATCGACATATCCGATGTTTCTCAGTTTGCGAGGCAATTGAAGGAAAATCCAGCGGGCTCCCCCCAATATGGCGTTCTTTTTAGTCTCCATTCTGATCCCTCCGGATTAGACCAAACACCCACCATTCGAGTGAGGTCGCGACGTGAGGTCGTTATAGTATTTATATCATTTACCCTGATTTAATGGCTAAGATGATCACAAATTCTGGTTGGTGGTTTCAACCCCTCTGAAAAATATTAGTCAGCTAAAATTATGATTCCCAATATAAGGAAAAAAACATGTTCCAAACCACCAACCAGAACTTCACTGGCTGTAAAGTACTTGGTGGCTCATCCCACTTAGTGAGTTAGTTCGCCCCAAGAAAACAAGTGGATTGACCCTACAAAAATCCCACTACAACTGGGGTGAACTAAGCCGGGTTGAGCCACCAAGGATTCTTCACACCGAGAACATCTTGGGGCGCCATGTGATTCAGTGACGAATGGAATGACGGCACATAGCGAACTGGAAATCGTCATGTTTAAGAGGTACCCTCTGGTAAATTAACACTTCGTCCCTGGCAGTCATCGGGGTTGGAAGATTAGTTTCCATTAAAACTAGGCTATGTTCAAGGTCTATGTTAATTTACCGGATGGTAAATGATAATGTGTATCATCTGTATATAAATGGGCCATGGCTTCCATAGCTATCTTAAACTTCCAGAGGGTAAAATCATATATCATGGAAAATGGAAATTATGGGATACCCGCTATATAGTACCCAAGTTTGAGACATACATCAACATTTCATAACATGTCCACATTCTTGGTAATACCAGGTATATCATACCACCTTTGGTAATACGGAATCATGGTGAAATCAGATGGTTGGTCGATATCCAAAATCATGATTTACCATAAATGAATTAGTATGGTCATAATTTCTATATTGACTAACCGTAAATGATTTACTTTGACTTTGTTTTTTTTAGTCAATATCCAAAATCAGGATTTATAGCTGGAATAGCTGCATAGTTTGGATATGTTTGTCCTTGATTTGGTCATACTTTATTTGGCCGTAGCTTAAAGAAATGAACTTTGGGTGTAGCCTTAACCCAGGTGAAAACCCAATAACATGATCAGAAAAAAAAAAACCTGCCAAGTGATCGTCGAAAAAAACAAAGTTTGACACCAGATGATTCACTTAGTCAACACTAAGATGATACGGTTGTGTTGCTGTTGTGTCCTAAAACACTCGTAATTTCCTCATTTCACAATTCATGCTCTTCATATACCTCTTAATACCTACTTACTCCAAACAAAATGGGCTGATCCACAAGTACTACAAGTCCATAAGATCATGGTCAATCTTTGGTAGTCCCCAAAAATTAAATGTTTGCTGGTTGGCTGGTTATTGTCCATCGCAAAAAACGATCAAATCGGTTCGTTTCGCAAATCGGGTGGGGGATGAGATCATTTAAAAACTGGTCAAGCTATCGACGCTGACACGCCAAGACTCATATACAACTGATAGAAAACATCTGCCGTAAATTCCTGACATCGCGACGTTTGGGTCACGTCCTTGAAACGAAAAAAAAAGCGCCAGTGGATACTATATCCCATAAGTATCCCAAACTGAATAATTTGTTGACCACCAAACTCATGGTTTCCACACCCATCAGGAGTTTTTTGATACGTGGCGACTTTTTGGGAGGACTTCCATATATCCGTGGCCTCGTTCAAAGTATCTAACAGTTATATCATATCTGGGTCAATATGTGTATATATATATACATATCATACACATAAATAAACATATCCATAAATATATATATATATACTGGCCAGTATATATATATATATATCAAACCCAAAATTGAATGCTCAATACAACAAAAACTATGATCACATCGGTGTTTCACCTACCCTCTCAAGGGTTGGCACGGCCAGATCTTCAACATGAAACCAACAGAACTTCAGAACCAATTCTTTCGGAATCACCAACAAAAAACAGGAACCTATATTGGTTGCTGTGATAGAATCAATCCCAAAAAACAAAACTATACATCTATACATATCAATTCAAGTGTCAACACACACTTAACGTGACAATCGCACATGCTTTTCCATCATCCATCATCAGCCTTCAACATCCATCAACATGAATGTAAAGAAATCCTTTAAGTTTGATACCTAAACATCCTAAAATAATCTAAAATATCAGCTAAATATCCAGAACATATCCATAACATATCTAAAAAAATATCCATCACATATCCAGAAAAAAATATATACAGACTGACAAAATATCCATGAAATATCCTCTCAACATCCATAAATATGTCCATGTTGATTGGCATCTACCATCTTTTCCCATCTTTATCCGCCTGAGGCAGTTCGCCGCTCACCAACTTCCCGGTGATCCAGCCCACCTGCGGTTTGGTGGGTGGTTACCCGGCCTGGTGAACGTTTACAGATATTGCGAACTGGAAAATCACCATTTTTCATAGGTAGATCATGGTTTATGGTTTATACAACTCAAATAACTTCAATAACTATGGTTTATGCTAGATATATTGAACTAGTCATGGGGTGAATCTAAACCAACAAACATACCTGGGGGGGACCACCTTGTAGCTATTGAAAATGGCCATTAAGTTCGTTAATTTATCCATTAAGAATTGTGATTTTCCATAGTTGGTTTACGAGAGGGTAAGGCTTAAGGAGTTCTGGTGGATATCTTATAAGGTGGTGCCCCCCAGGTATAAGTTCGTTTAAGTTGGTTTTGAAAGCATAGTAACCATAGATATACCGACTGTAACCCCTAGTGAAAGTAGAATTATATTATAGACCAACTTTGCTAACCAAAAATTGGGCACCACTAACAAAATTAAGGGCACATCCTGGTAGCGAAGATGAGTTTAGTCCGCTAGATGGGAACATCACCAAAATGCTGGGTTTTGGTGATATGATTCATGGGCAATCCATGGCCAGGGAGTGTACAACAGAATGCCACACAATGACATGTCATTGTGGGGACGATCTGAACGGAAAAATAGATACACAACGATGTTCTTTTTTGTGGGTGAACAGATCCAAATACCTAAATCATTTATTTAATTATTGTTATGTATATCTATATAAATACATCATATTGTGAGATATCTAAATCCGAATAGCCAAATCAATATATTCATACATCAATTCATCTGGGTAAATTATAATATTTCACTAACCGGAATTAAGGCCATTTGAGGATGATTTCTCTTAATTACTAACCATGATTTCCAGTGAGGTCGCAGTGAGGTCGTTATAATTTACCCAGATTCATACATCTTGATTCTGATTTCTTGAGATAATCTCCTCATTGGATCAGGATGACTCGCAGGGACGACAAGCATGACAAGCATGGCTCAGCAGAAACGATGATGGAAGCGAAAAAATGGTGATCTGTCATGGTAATAATAAGAACGAAATATGAAGCAATGAAACTTCATGGTTATGATAATCTGTCATGATCTGTTTACTAACAAATATGAACACAATATGATAAACCATGGTAATGATCTATCATGTGAGTCATGTTTCATGATTGTTTTTTTTTTTTTGAGACCATGGTTTACCAGAGTTTCTCTTCCATTTTCCAACTACCCTCCTGCAAAGAAATGAATTAGATATGGAAAACGCAGCATTTCTAGATCACTTTCGCAAAACCAGATGGAAAATGTATGAAAATCTCCACATCTATGTCTGGTTACAGGGTTTTTCAAGGCCACAAACATTGGCGGCCGACCTTCGTCAAATTCTTGCCGCAGACGATGGTGAGGTAATCCACCAAACTATCGGCCACCTGCCGGATTTTTCCACACGGACGGTTTTGGATTTGGGTCGACTGCCAAAGAATGTGGCTTTTAACTGCGAAAAAATGTGGCTTTGTGGGTTTTAAATGAGTTTAACTGCCCAAACAATGTGGGTTTTAAGTACCAATATTGGGATGTGATCTATGAAAAAATGAGGGTTTCATCCGTTTGCCGCTTTGAAGTGCCAAAAAATGGTGGGGACCTCCACCAATATTGGGCTGTCTGTTTTTTTCCATTCCCATTGAATCACCATGAAACTCCATGGTAAATCACCATTGTGAAGTCATAGTGAAATGCCTTATGTTTTCATGGAAAAATCCCTGACATCAAGTTACATATCCCATGACGGATCCATGGTGCTATATATGGTAACATAGATCCCATCAATAGACCCCCTTTATATTAGCATATTTACCATATATACATGGATCCTATGGCCCAACTCAGGAGGCAGATCCACAGAACCACGCCCGACCTCGGCCCGCAAGTGGCTACCGCGCAACGTGGAGCCAACGGCATTGAGCTTCTTGGAGTAGGTCCGCAGGATGGTGGTCATCATCCCTGGCATCGTTTTTACTCATGGGAATTCAATGGGAGAATCAGGGGAAAATAAAAAACAAGTGATATCTGGAAAAAAAAGATGAATGGGATAGTAACTAGTAGTCGTTTTTTTAAATGGATCATAGGAATTCAATGGGAATGTATATATATATATATTATTATTATATATAATTATATATAATATGTATCCGCAAATGAAGAGATCGGATGCCAAAGCAGGTTGCTTTGCTCTTGGGGATATCGGATCTCACCAATTCAGGGATACAAAAAAAATTTAATGTGGTATGTCACATATGTCATTAATAAAATATAGGGCAACCCAGATATGGATGATGAGTATAGAACGGTTCCATAAATTCCGTGGCCTTTGCCAAATGGCAGTTTCATGGGTAAAATGAGGTTTCAAACATATGTTTAAGGGTATCCAGATGTCAGGTTCTCGTTATGGTAAATTTAAGGGGATATACTCAATCGCAATAAATATCAATAAATCAATTTATGATGATATAAGTTGACGGGTTGAACAAAAACCCTCAAAACATATTTGTCAGTTGGCGTCACCAACCAGTTGACCGGTTAAGATCTGAACATTCTTTGCTTCCACAAAACCTCAGGTGACCTAAAATCTAATCATTCTAATAGGGGTTTACTATGGTTTACTAGCCAATTTAGCCATCTATTCAGGGATATGTTCTGGAAAAAAATGATGGGATACCGTCATCCCGTCATCCCCATGGGCTTGTTGGATATCACCTGGGATAATTCCCCATAGACCGTCATTCCAGGGCTAGAATAGTGAGGTCCTTATAATTTACATTCATTTACCCAGATTTCATGGCATATCACATGTTCAATCTTTGATAAGTCTACAACAACAAATGTCATCTTTTGCTGGTTGGCTGGTGATGTCCCATAGTTAAAATCCAGTCATTGGATTGAGGGAAAATCTGCAGGAAACCATGGTTTTTACCATTAAATATGGGGGTTTCCTGTAAATTTTCCCTTAAACCAATCCATTGAGAAAAACGATCCACTTGGGCATGAGCACATGCTGGACTCAGCATGACTCAGCATGACTCAGCGGCCTGGCACGGACGGATCAAAGACCATCTGCGCGTACCTGGAGTTCGCTATGGTATAGATGGCCCTAATCGACATAGATGGTTTACCGAACTGAATAGCATGGTGATGTTCCAGTTCGCTATGTAAACGTTTACCGAATCCAAAAGAACCTGATAAATATAGGAGAATGATTGCAGGACATTTTTTTTATCTACCACTGAAAGCCGAGGTTTCAAAAATGAATCACACATTTCATATTGGAAAATATGGGAGAATCAAAAAAAACTACAAAATGGTGATAGTTGTGGACTTTTGCCTATTCAGAATAGAGAACACATGCTATATCATATAGCATTGCTTAGCAACTGAAAATGTGGGGGTTCCAGTTAGCCATATCAGTGTACCCAGGTATATGATGATATAATAATGATATATACACCATGGTACCCCCAAGTACACTTTCAACCTGCCAGTCTGGTGATATGCCCCCTTTTCAGATCCCATCAGGATTGCCATTCTATCATTTGTAGGACAACACATCTCAAGTTGGTTACGAATATTAGATCATATTATATCGATATCCCAAGAAAATTACCAACCCTCTAGTAAATTAACATAGACCCGGAAAATCACCAATTTTTGGTGGAATCTCATCTTCCAATCCCTATTTGGCAGGGTCGAACTGTTAATGTACTGGAGGGTAAATATATCCCCATGACATACACAAATTCTACCCTCTGTTTATTTAGCATAGCCATGGAAATCACCATTTTTAATAGGTAAACCATCTATAAATGGGCCATGACTTCCATGGCTATGTTAGTCATAACCAGATGGTATGCCTATTTTTCATGGATTTCCCGACGGATTTCCCTTCCGATTCCAGCGGCAGCTCCGCACTCGGAGATCTGAATGGATCCATCCCCACTCTCATCATACTTTTGCAGCAGCTGATCCGACTGCGGCCATGGCAGGGAAAGACAGGGCGGGCTGCAGGTTTCGAAAAAAAAAAAAGATGCTTCAATAAGAGATAGAAATCGAGAATTCCGATGACATCTATGAAATTATGAAGATCTATGCAAAGCTATGGATATCTATATGGGTTTTATATATATAGAGATACAGATTTAGATAAGTCTATAGATATCTACATTGCTACATATCAGTGATCTGGGGAAATAATGTACTGAGAGATACTGTGAGCAAGTTGAGCTTGCTCAACACCTCCACGCCAGCAATCGGCACAGGTTTCCTTCTGCATCACCTCCACGACCTCATCCCGTTGTAGACGCTGCACTGTGGCTCTGAGTTCATAACTCTGCAATCTTCTGCAGGGGGAACAGATCGACTGAATCGACTGAATCCTCCAGTCGACCAGTCGAGGAGCCACTCCACAGTTCTGCGAAACATCGGGCAGCGAGGCGGGCCGAATCATATTGCATTGAGGCAACCAGTCGAAAGGTTAGTGGATATGCTCAATGCATATCCTTGACTGTTTGACATATGGAGGAGAAATGCTTGAAACCAATCTACTTGGATTACCCTCTGGTAAACTAACATAACTACGGAAAATCACAATTTTTAATGGGAAAACTCACTATAAATGGCCATTTTCAATAGCTATGTTAAATTACCAGAGGGTATGGATTATATGTAGATTCTTTTACATTGAATTTGACTCTTTGGATCAGGGATGTCCTACATTTGACCCACTGCGAGTCGAGCATCAACCAATTTTGGGGCGTCCTCCAGATCACCCTGATCCGTGTCAATGGGAATTTCAGGATCCAACAGGTGGAGCTACGTAAACGTACCATATGTTTCACCATTTTTTGTGGGGATATTTCCTGAAATTAAGGTCTAAAAAATTAGGCCAAACATATATGGTAGGTACAGTACCTCCAATGAATGGGTTCCTGTTGCATGGCCATTGACCATGTCATGGGACCCCCAAATCATCCAGTTGTCAACGACCAGGATTGAAGACCAATCCGTTGATGGATACAAGGTGCCCTCCAGTTCTGAGTTGCTTCAAAGCCTATGAAGTAAAGATATGTCTCCCATAAACATCCATAAACCATAGGTATTGATAGTTATTGATAGTTATTGGCACCCAAGTTGGCTATCGTAAACGCAAACCCCAACTTCTACCTATGCTGTGGACATTGGTGATATGATCAGCGACCCTTTTGATCCCGGTGACTGGAGCTGCTGTTGATGTTTCCGTCGTTTTTCTGCTGGTTGGTGCAGGATGGGGCCCCCAAGATAGCTAAGTTGCCTTATAAGTGGCTTTATGGTAGATATAACTATAGTTAATAGGGGTTATAATGGTTTATAAAGCCACTTATAACTGGGGGGCCCCATCCTGTGGTGCAATAACCATCTTGAAAAATCATGGAGTTCGTCAATGGGGTTGGGATGACATCCCATATATGAAATGGAAAATCATCCAAATGTTTGAAACCACCAACCAGTCAGTTTTTCCCTGTTTATTTGTTCAAAATTGTTCTAATGGATTTCTGGATAGGTTTCGTTTCGACATGACATGAATCATTGATATGATTTGATATGATCGATTGCTATGTGGGTATGGATCAATACCTATTAATACCATTTTTAGTGGAATGAACATCCATTTACCAGCTATTTTGGGGTTCACTAGGGGTACAAGGCTTTGACACACTGCCATGTTTTGCCCGATTTTGATGGCTACAGCCGGCTACAGCAGAGCCACCCTTCGCCTTCTTGCCCTGCAGTGCAGAAATACCATATTGGTCGGCCACCTGATTCAACTGCAGGGATTTTTGGCTGGGGGGTTCATAGTCATGGAGGTACCCCAATATACCCCAATAGCTGGATGGTTTAGAATGGAAAGTTTCTATTATTAACATGGATGATTGGAAAGTGCTAGCACCGACCCCCCAAGCTGCTCACGGGTATCGGGCCGGGCCAAGGGCTCACCACGGAGTCCCGAACTTCGCGACAGGCGGAATGAGATGCGTCCAACCAGTCCCTCGGTGCAAGTGAAACAGTTCTTTCAACGATGCCTCTGGTCTGGCCCTGGTCTGGCCTGGTATAGTAAAGTGAAGTGTACAGCACCTCCATTGTGACCACGCTGATCGATGACGAACAGTTGCACCAGTCAGAAGCCATGGTCGATGATGCAGGTCCAGGTCAATAGAAGGTTGGTACAAGTAAGTGGTTGGTTGGAAACCGACTCATCTTTCCCCAAAAATGTGGGGTGGTTCAGTTATAAGTTGCATTAAGTTGCTTGATTGCTAACCCATTCACCATACTCACCTGTAGACCGTTCGCCATTGTATAACTCCTGAAGTCAACTTACCTATCTTTGGGCCCCCACATTGTATGGTAAGTGTATAACTCCTTGCCCCCACATTGCCTTCTATGCTTTGTGATGCCATGGCCGCTCCAACTTTCCCCAACACACAACTCTTTTAAGGGACCGTCGCAGAACTGTTCCAAATGTTCCGGGAGGCCTTGGCAAAATCACCTGGAGAATATGACTTTGAATGGATCAATGGGGAGGAGTCGTTCACTCATCCCAGCCCTTGGGGTGAAAAGAGTGGAAGTGGGCTATTTCTCACGACTCGGTTTTTAGACACGTAGACAGTTGTGGCATGTTCTGGCCCTTAACAATCATAAATGGGCTTATAACTCCTGCAACTAAGGTTATATATATATAAATCATAGTGTGCCAGTTATTATATAACCTTATAATGTATCAACCTGGCTTATTTCATCTGGCTTAACAATCATACCCTCTGCTGAACTAACAGTTCGCAATTGAAAATGGCCATAGAAATCGTGGATTTTCCCAGCTATAAAATGGTGGATCTTTCCATTGCAAACTGTTAGTTCACCAGAGGGTAACCATATTTTGGGATGGGTCAAGTGTCCAATTCTAACAATATTTTGTATCAACCTGGCTTATTTCATCTGGGTCAACAATCATAAACGTTTTTTTTTTTGCCAGTTGCAACTGTGAAACAGGCCATAGCTGGTTTTACTCCCAGAGCCACCTGCTTGAACTCCTTGAGCTGAATACCTCGACGCGGAATGACAGGCTCCGAAATGACTAGAACTTGGAATATACACTAGATGTGGTTAATATATAGTGGTTACTAGTGGTTAATAGATCTTAATAGTGGTTGATGGTGCTTAATAGTGGTGATTTGGTTAGGTTGGTGGTATACCTACCCCTCTGAAAAAAAATGAAAGTCAGTTGGGATGATGACATTCCCAATATATGGAAAAAATAAACAATGTTCCAAACCACCAACCAGTGATTATTAAAATATAGCTACAGGATGGGGAAGATAGCTAAGTTGCTTTCTAAGTGGTTTAACTATATGGTTTATGGTACCAGTAACTGGTAATGGGGATTATAAACCAGCTTACAACTGGGAAGCACCATCCAGTATGGACAATTTGTCCACATTTATGATGGATTGTCTGATGATTCACCTATTAGAGATGGTGCTTTTCCATAGCAAACCGTTAAATAGCCAATGGTGATGGAATGTACCCTGGAGTAAATTGCTCCAAACAGATGTAGCCGCAAAATGATCTACTTTCATGGTGTTTTTTTTCCCACATCTATGTCAACGTTGAGGATAATTCATCGTCGTTCCACGGTGAAGTTACAGGGTTTTTTCTGGAGCCCCTAGTCATCCCACCATCAGTGGGATTCTTTTCTCGCAAGATGTACCATCTGGTTATGACATTCACAGTTCGCCATGGAAAGATCCACCATGCTATTCAGTTCGGTAAACCATCTATTTCGATTAGGGCCATCTATACCATGGCGAACTGTTAGTCATAACCAGAGGGTAATTCCCCATGAATGGATTGAACATTTTGATGACCATCAATCACGTTTTGACATGTTTTTACCGCGACACACTATGACACTAATATGTTTGGTCATTAACCAACACAACTGGCAGACTGGTGATTTTTGACCCACAGTGAGTGTCACTCCAGTTCGATGGTCGAATTGGTCAGTTGGAAGCCCTTTGATTTTTGTTTCCTATTCGAAACTTAATCATTTCTTAGAAGAAATGCCATGATAGCCACAGGAATGCCACAGGTCGGTCTGCTTTGAAGATATGGAAATTGAAATTCAGGGATTTTCCTAAGAAAATGAATTTGCACATCTATGTTGATTTACTGCAAGCTAACCACAAAATAACAAAATTTGGAGAAATTGAGGATCACTATGGGCTATTGGGTCATCAGATTGTCTGCAACCCGAAGGTATTCAAATGTACTTTTTGTTCGCCTGATGATTTTTCACAACCTACAGTAGGAACCACAAAGCCAGAGCCTTCCAAATCACATGGAATATCCCATGGCAACAATGTTGCTGAAAATCTCAGCACTTCCCCAATTTATCTCAAGTGACTTCACCCATGAATCGGTCATACCCTCTGGTAAACATACAAAAAACTATTGAAAATTGCCCATTTATAGTGGATTTACCCATTTAAAATGGTGATTTTCCATGGTTAATCATGGTTATGTTAGTTTACCAGAGGGTAACTCAACCTGCACTGGATCCATTGGGAGCCAGACCATCGTCGTATGGATCAAAAATGTGATAGGTGTCCCAGAGCATTTCCTGCGCTGAGGTGCGAACAAAAAAAAAGTGAAATTCGACGAAAAAAACAATGAATTCCTTTGGGTTTATCCATGGTACGGTATGTATAGATATATGGGTGTGTCTGAAAATAGGCTAAACCCCTAAACCCACTGGTTTTGCTGATCATTATCCCGTTTTTAAATGGCTATTTCATTGGGAATATACCCTATTTTGAGACAAATCCATATCATGATATATCAAAATATGGAGTTACAAATTGGTTTATCCCACTATTATCCATAGTGTTTCAATGTTTTTTTCATCTCCCACTATTACTCTAATATTCATAGTTTTCTTTCATATGTTTTCTAGCTCAATCCCATGATATCCCATTGTTCCTATACCCAAATGCTCCATGGTGCTGGTATATTTACCTACAAAACTGGGTGGTTTATGGGGTAAATGTTGGTAAATATTCCATACATGATACATGGAGCATTTGGGATAGTTAATTTACCAAAAAGTCACACGGTTTTTCAAGTTTCCAACGTTATCACTGGGGCACCACAATTCGACATGTCGTTTTTATGGGATGATCGTGGATCTGTTCATCGTGTTGAGTCCCAAACAGCCGGTTTTTTCATTGGAAAAATCTCACCAACAAACGTGCAAAATCTGTTTTTATATAGTAGTGGTTAATAGATCTTGATAGTGGTTACTAGTGGTTAATAGATCTGAATAGTGGTTGATAGTGGTTAATAGTGGTGAAAATAGATCTGAAAATAGTGGTTGATAGTGGTTAATAGTTGGTGGTGATTTGGTTAATATAGCTGGTTGGTGGTTTTGAGCCTACCCCTCTGAAAAATGATGGAGTGAGTTCGTCAGTTGGGATAATGACATTCCCATATATTATGGAAAAATAAAATTCATGTTCCAAACCAGCAACCAGTTATCATTAGGACTGTTGGACTAGTCTGAAACTACCATCAACGACCTAATCTTAGATTCGTGGTCCCAGAATGTGGGTCAGCAAAAATGTCAGTATCATTACCCTCTGGTCAACTAACAGTTTGCTATTGAAAATGGCCATAGAAATAGTGGATTTTCCCATTAAACATGGTGATTTTCCATAGCTTTTTGTATGTTTACCAGAGGGTAATCTGAAACTACCAGAATAGTCTGTCACATGTGATCTGGGCAAATTATAATAATTCACTAACCTGACTAGTTCGGCCATAAAAGGGGATGATTTCCCTATATCTAAACCATGATTCCAGGGAGAACAGGGTTCGGCCGTGATGAAATTTACCCAGATATATCCCCATAATCCCCATTGTTGATGGTTTTTCATAGTTGAATTCCACTAGATCCCATGAAAAACCATCATTAGTAACTATATATATATAATTTCTCCAGCTAAGTTTTACTATGGTTTATTATCATCTATAAACTACCAGTTTTTGTCTGTCACATTAGTGATACCACCAGTGCCTCACATTAGTGGCATCAACTGACGCACCAGCGACCCAAGTGCTCATGGGCCATGGCCCATCTAATCAATGGCCATTGCAGGTACCTCAACTGCAGGTACTGTACCATATGAAAATCATATTTTGGGGGGTATATCATATCTCCTTATATAGCCCTTACATAGATCTTATATATGAATATATATATAGTCATCCTGAAGTAGATAGAATATCGGAAATTTTCAAAAAGGATTTTCCTAAAAAAAAAAATAGTTGGAATATTTTCAAAACCCTCAGTTTTTACACGTTTTTCGTCTTTGTTAAGTCATTTTTAGCCAGTTTTGGACACGGGTCTGGGGAAATTTTGAAAAAAACAAAAATCAAACAACACCAAAAATATTCCAACTACCAGTTTTCGACCTCCCCGGGGGGGTCGAAATATTCCAACTACCTGTTTTTTTTAAAGTGGCCGACATCCAACATAATTCCAACATAAATCCCGCACCCTCCAAAAAAATATTCTATCTACTTAAGGATCACTATATATATATATGGTAGGTACCTCCAAGTTAGGTTCCTGAAATGGCCATTGATCTAAGACCGTTCATTCTGGATGGTCTCAATCATATTCACATTATAACTTTTAGAGCGGTTTTCGTCGCTGTAAATCATGACAGTCATGACAAATGATCATTTTGGGATCATTTGAAACCGTTGAGAAAAATGGAGGTTTCCAATCCATGGGGATACCCCAAAAAACATCCCATTTTTGTTGACCATTCTCGTACTGAAACCTATGGGACCTTGGGATCCACCAATTTTCCAGAACCCCCGATATTTTGATATCAGATTTTGGGCAAATGAAGATCCAGCCAGACTAGCTCTTTCGGTGTGAACAACAAGGTACTTCTCGCGGGCCCATAACCATTTGGGCATAGTACCCCTAATTCCAATCACCAAAAAAAATCAGGCCATTAACATCCATGAAAACCATCATCTAGTATGGGTTTGTCTGAAAATAGGGTATATTCCCAATGAAATAGCCATTTAAAAACGGGATAATGATCAGCAAAACCAGTGGGTTTAGGGGTTTAGCCTATTTTCAGACACACCCGTATAGCTTTACCCGCTTGTTTTCTCAGCCACATGACAGTGGAAGCTCCGCCGATTCGAACAATGATTTAACTTTGCTTTTCCCGCTCCAAGTCTTGCCAACTTGTCCAATGCTGTTCCCATTACCCGGCCTGGTGAACTAACAGTTTGCAATTGAAAATGGCCATAGAAATCGTGGATTTTCCCATTGCTATGTTAGTTCACCAGAGGGTAAACAAAAGGGGAAATGTTCCAGTCATGACACCGAAGAAGCGCCCTTAAAACACCGCCTCTTCCATGCCGCCGGCAGAGTTGACCTTAGTCATCACCTGAGAAAATCAATGGATTGCTCCCAAGAATGGGTAATAACTTGGATTTGTAGTGGGATTTTCCCATAGAAATAGTGGGATTTTCCCATAGAAATAGTGGTTCGGGGTTCCCAAAAAATAAGCCACATATTCACTTCATCGATTCCCCAGTCATGGTGGATTAAAACCATTGGGAAAATATTCGCCAAATCGCCGACTAAACAAACCCATGATAAACATCCATAGTTACCATAGTTATTCCCAATTTTAATGGAAAAATAACATATGTTGCAAACCAACAACCACGTTAATAGATCTGAAACCATGGTTAAGTTAATAGTGATTACTATAGTGGTTAATACTGGTTACTAGTGGTTAATAGATCTTAATCATGTTTTTTTAGCCAGCATTTTTGTTGGTTTAGAATCCACACAAGCTGGCCAACTTTAGAAGCTATAAATGGCTTTTAAATATATGATTATTTCTATGGGGTTATCATTCCATGAGGTTAATTCGATTTGGTGTCGGGGTGAGGTTTTGGTGTCGGGATTGGTGACGACTGGATTTTGTTGCATGAAAGCGCTCGTGATTTTAAGCTGATTTTATGTGACTACGGGCTAAACATGATGATAATTAGTTTGTTTAACAATTACAGTTTACCAGTGTAGTATGTCAATTACACTAATTATAATTAAACTTAAGTAATTATCCCTATGGATCCAGTCGTACCTTCTGAAAGGAAGTGGGACTGGGGTATAATTTACTATAATTTGGGTTAGCCGTACCTTCTCAGACAGTGGCCATGGATCCATAGGGTATGTGATTACGTATGTCAAATTTAACAATGATACCCTCTGGTAAAATAGCTATTGAACATGGCCCAATCGAAATAGTTGATTTTCCCATTAAAACCTGGTGATTTTCCATAGCTATGTAAACGTTTACCAGGCCGGGTAAATACAGATGCCATGATGTTTTTTGGGGGATTTCCAGAAGGAAATCCGGTTCCAGAATTGGAAAATTTCCCCAGGGGAAAATCATGGAATCTTGGTGGATAGCGCCATGGGGAAATGCGTTTGGGGTAGTCCATGGCAATGGAAAATACTCATGGAAACCTCCATGGAAACCTCCATGCCTTCATAAATTCATAGGATCTGTTCATATATGTTCCACTGCCACGTTTGATTCCCGATTTGGCTAGTGGATGATTTTTTGGGACTGACCTAATTCTCGAGTTCAGCCACTTGCCTCACTTGCCGAGGCAAAGGAAGATAGGAAGGGATTGTTGGCAATTCGAATGAACCGATGATTTCAACATACCCGGCCTGGTAAACATACAAAAAGCTATTGAAAATGGCCATAGAAATAGTGGATTGTCCCATTAAACATGGTGTATCTTTCCAGTTCGTTATGTTAAATTACCAGGCCGGGTCTGCGCCACCAATCCCAATCGCTCATCTCAAAGCCTGGTCAACCAGTTTCTGCGCCCGATCCTAGGTGTCCCAACGATCCAGAAGCTGGGTCGAATGGTGGATACAATAAATGGTTACATATGGTTACTATATAGTGGTTAATATATAGTGGTTACTAGTGGTTAATAGATCTTAATAGTGGTTGATAATAGTTAATAGTGGTGATTTGGTTAATATACTGGTTGGTGGTTGAGCCCTACCCCTCTGAAAAATGATGGAGTGAGTTCGTCAGTTGGGATGATGACATTCCATTCCCAATATATTATGGAAAGTCATAAAATTCCATGGTTCCAGTCACCAGCAACCAGTTATAACCAGTTATCATTAGGACTGTTGGACTAGTCTGAAACTACCATCAACTACCTAATCTTAGATTCCAAAAAAATGCTCCAGTCACCACCAACCAGTAGAATGATTCAAATGGTGAAATGGCAGGCCAGATATGGCCAGATTGGAGGACTTGAGGACTTGGGAATCGGAACTTGCAAGACCCGACGTCGGGTTGGGCAAGCTCGATCAGGCTGACTCAGTACAGGAAGGGGTTCCCAGAACATCCCAGAACCACGAGTGGGTGAAACCCAGCAAAAACCAAAAACACCGTGGGAATCCATAGTTGGCTAACTTATAGTTTATTGGTTCAGGCTCACTGTTTTGGATTTATCTTAATTATGATATACATAAGGTTAGCCACTGTGCGTCCGGAGATGTGTTTTTTCCTTCAAAGGATATCAAACACTTCCAACTAGGATGACTGGTATCAGTAGCTGGATGATATTACTATCCTTTTTCTGTGGGATATTTGGGCGTTTATTTCACCCACTTACCGGATACTGACTAGCATTTCAGTGTGTGTCCAAATATGGGGGATGGGTCCCCAATCATTTTGTGACCATCAAACGAGGGGGAACATGAAAACCAAAGATTTATAAATCCTATGGAAAGGGGGGAAAGGGTTATAAATCCTATGGAAATTGCTGAGTCAATGGTCTGTTTGATCCAACGCAAATGGGGATCTGAAAACATGTCTTAGGAACAGTTTCTGTTCTTTTGGGCCATGTTTGGTTGTGTTTCCTTTGGGAACTAATCTTATTCTTGGATTGTCTTAAGAGGTTCCCAGAAAAAATAAAAAAACACTATAGATTGGTTTCACTATAGATTCACTATAACTTTTGGTTCCCAGAAAATAAAAAACCACAGGTTTGATTCACTAACACTATAGGTTCCCCAAAATGGTGGATTCTCCGTCCGAAAAAAAAAATAACCGACTAAACAAAGCCATGTTATTTGCCAAGCTTCTGCGACGGTGCCAAACTCTTCTAAGGTGTCTTGGATTTTAGGACTGAAGGATCCCAACCTCAGCTTTTTGATCATTCGCGAATTCGCGAGCAGGTACCTATGGGAAATCTTCAATGAAGAAAATAGCTTAGAGAATCATCTACATGAAGATTTTGGTCCATTGCCATATATCTGTATATATAAAATATAGGGATGGATCAAAACCGTCCATGGTCAATCTGACTAGTAGTCAACAAACAAAAATGCTCATTATGGCTATTGTCCATTTATGGCAACAAACATAAAGGATGAGTTAGAGAAAACCAAGGGGAAACAACCACCCAAAGGCTTATCACACCCTTGAATCATACACTAGCTGCGCACTTCTATTTTCCTCGTGCGACTTGAGCCAAGGTAATTGAACGCGGTCCTTTTAAAACGCGCTTCTCAAAGCAAGCCAAAGCACTGAAGGATTCTGAACTCAGGGGCCACTTTGAGCCATGCTGGCTGCACATGTAATCACACATATGCGAATTGATCAGCAATTGCAGAGCTGTCACCGCCAGCCCCTGGATTGCCCCAAGTCACAACTGACCCGTCCGCCACGATCGCAGCAAATGCGTATCGAGTTGCTTGAACCTGCTGGACACCCTTGAGTTGATCTCGGACTTCAGAGCTGTCACCGCCATAACCTGGATCACCCCAAGTCACAAGCGACCCATCCGCCAGGATCGCAGCAAATGCGCGTGAAGTTGCTTGAACCCGCTGGACACTTTTGAGCCGATCTTGGACTGCAGAGCTGTCACCGCCATAACCTGGATCACCCCAAGTCACAAGCGACCCATCCGCCAGGATCGCAGCAAATGCGTCGTCAGTTGCTTGAATCTGCTGGACACCCTTGAGTTTGTCTTGGACTTCAGAGCTGTCACCGCCATGATCGCCCCAAGTCACAAGCGACCCATCCGCCACGATCGCAGCAAATGCGGTGTCAATTGCTTGAATCTGCTGGACACCCTTGAGTTTGTCTTGGACTTCAGAGCTGTCACCTCCACAATATGGATCATATGGATCGCGCCAAGTGACAAGCGACCCATCCGCCAGGATCGCAGCAAACGCGTAACAAGTTCCTTGAATCTGCTGGACACCTTTCAGCTGGTCTTGTACCGAAGAGCTGTCACCACCATAGCGTGGATCGCCCCAAGTCACAACTGACCCATCTGCCAGGATCGCAGCAAATGCCTCACGCGTTGCTTGAACCTGTTGGACGGACTTGAGCTGATCTTGCACGTGAGAGCTGTTGCCACCACAATCTGTATCGCCCCAGGTCACAACTGACCCGTCTGCCAGGATTGCAGCAAATGCGCCGCGAGTTGCTTGAACCTGTTGGACACCTTTGAGCCGATCTTGGACTTCAGAGCTGTCACCACCATACCATGGACTGCCCCAAGTCACAACCAACCCATCCGTTAGGATCGCAGCAAATGCGTTGTAAGTTGCTTGAATCTGCTGGACCCCCTTGAGTTGATCTTGGACTTCAGAGCTGTCACCGCCAAAGCCTCGATCACCCCAAGTCACAACCTGGTTGCCTCCGCTGCAAAACAATGCAAAAGCGCGTGCTGTTGCCGCTACCTTTGGGTGTATGACAATGGCTGTCAGGTTGTCTCCATCTTTAAGTCCTGCAGATTGGAGAGACACTGCAGGATCCACCATGCCATGGTCTGCATCCACAAGCCTCAAGAAGCCACGTTGAAATGACTTTTGCGCCAGAATCCTCAAGTCCCCTACTTTGGAGGACTGAGGAAATGTAAATGCCTCACTGCGACCGCTTGGCAAAGCTATACTGGTTTGAATCATCTCTTGAAAACTCCAGCTCGTCCAAGTTGGTGGCTTCAACCCCCTTTTTCAAGTTAACTGGGATTATCACCCCTTTTTTCGTGGTGTTTGAACGGTGTTTGGATAAAACATGACAACCACGTACCCTCTGGTAAACCAGCATAACTATGGAAAATCACCATTAAGTTTAGTAAATTATATAACTATTTCTATGGCAATTTTCAATAGCAAACTCTTAGTTTACAACCACATAGTTGCATTTTTCACCACCAACCTGTAGCTGTCTGATCTTGAGCCAAACAAAGGCTACTATGTTGAACCCGCTGGATGAAAGTGGGAACGGCAATTCCTATGCTATACAAGGGCTCTACATACAGCCAACGCTTCTAGCTACAGGTCGTCTTCATGATGACGGTACAATACAATCGAAGGTTGGAATCATAGCTAAAACTACTACCGCATGGTGAGCTAATGTAGACTATACATGTGGGGGTAATGGGGTCGTAATATTTCTACTGAGTTTCTACCTATTCAAGGTTGGGGCCGATACCCCATGTGTTACATGAAATCCCGTACCTGGCAAAAACTACAAACCATTTTCGAATCTCGAACGTTGGATTCACCGACGTACCAGGCTCTCCACCATGATCTCTGTGACCCACAGTTAAAGGTGGTTGATGGTTAATGGGATTATAATGGGTTAATATAACCAGTTATACTATTAAAGGGATTATCAGTATTAATGGTATTTAATGGGTATTATCCGGATTAAAAGTATGATTGATTGATGATGATTAATTAATAGTAGTGATAATACGGAGAATAACAGTTATAACTGCAGAACAGAAAACAAAAAATGGTGTTATTTTTCAGCTACCAGTTGCAGGAGTTACCCTCCGGCAAATTAACATAGACCCTGGTAGATAGGGGTTGGAAGATTACTGTAGTTTCCATTAAAAAATGGTGATTCTCAGGATCTATGTTAATTTACCAGGAGTTAAAACAGTTATAGCTCATCTCTATGGCAGGGCTAGAACGGGCTAGAACTACCACTGCAATGCTTTCACCTTAAGGGGTTCCCAGCTGCCCTGCTCAAAGTTGACCAAAAAACAGTTAAAAATCTCAGCGTAGGGTTTTTGTTTGTCCAATCAAAAACAAAGATGTTCCGAAAATTGGGGAAAAACATAGAAACGCATGTGCAGGTGGATTTATCAACATGTTCTAGGCGAAGTCCTTCTTCTGGTAGATGTGTTTGGAAAAGCAACAACCGGATAGCTTGCCAAAGGTCCCATCGGTGCTTGGCTGTTGCATGGTTGGCACGTGGCTTGCTGACAACTTTGCAATAGGACTGGAGTCTGCACAATTGTCTGCACCACTGGTGTTGAAAACTCTCGCCCAAGTACTCCAATTGGAGTTCTCCCCTGGAAGGTTTTTTTTGGGGGCAACTGGGTGATTTGCAGCATCTTGGCTTCTGTGACCGTGCCTCTTCCTTGCTGGCTTGCCAATAGGCCTGGCTTACCTGCTGTTGTGGTTGTTGCTGTCGTCACCATTCTGGCACCACTGCGGTTTGCAGCGTTTCGGTGCCATAGCTGAGAGATCTACATAGTGGTGCCCCATAGATAGCGTTCAGTTGGTTTATAACTACAATAAGTGGGACTTATGGTAGATATATCGAACTAGTTGATGGGGGTTATAAACTAACTTATAACTGGGGGGTACCACATTGAAGGTTCTCTGATTTCTCATATTTCTGGTGCGTCATTGAATTCTTTGCATGTACTTTGCCAGCAAAGAGCACCATCGAACTCCAACTATCAGCACTTCATCAGCACTTCATCAGCACTTCATCAGCACTTCATCATCCATTTGCTACTGTAATTGCACAAACCATCCATTGCGAAGGGCCAGCTGAGGAAGACTGTCAGGAGGGTCCTATCCCTTTCTACTGTTCGTTTGAGAAGAGATTCCCAGCTCATGGATTGTCATCATACCCAACATATCAAGGGTAGTATCAACCCCAACCCAAAAAATCAGCATTCAACAATCTTCAATCAACCATCATTTGTTTATCAACAAATATCAACTATATATCTGGGCAAATTTTCATAATTCACTAACCTGAAATAAGGCCATTGGGGGTGATTTCGCTTATTAACCATGACTCCAGTGAGGGAGAACAGTGAGGTCGTTATAATTTACCCAGAACTATACTGGTTGGTGGTTGAGCCTACCATGGAGTTCGTCAGTTGGGATGATTATTCCATTCCCAACTTTTCATGGAAAGTCAGTTGATCCATAACCCATGGTTCCAGTCACCACCAACCAGTATATATATATATATATATACATATATATATACACATATATATATATACATATATATATATATATGGTGTATGGCAATATCACATAGTTTTCAGACATCTTAAAGCCCCCAAAAAAAATGATGCTCGAATCCCGCCTGCCATGGGATGAGCCTGCAAGTGGTGAAAAATCATCACTTCAATGGTGAACAAATTCTGCTCGCCACTGATAATTCTTATAACTCTTAAGGATTCTTAAGGGCCATAACTGTAACTATAACGGTAACTATAGCTGTAACTATAACGGTACCTAAAACTGTAATTACAACTGTAACTATAACTGTAACTATAACCAGATGGGTAAATCAATCAATAACTATTACTATTACCCGGTAATGTAGTAACCATAACTATTACTCTTCATAGCCATCTTGGTACAGTATCATAACTATTGCCATAACATAGCCATACCATTACTATAGCCATAACATAGCCATATCATAGTAAAGTATCATTACTCTTTTCATAGCCATCTTAATAGCCATCTTAGTAACTATAATGAAGGTAAAACAATGCCATAAACAACCCATTTTCCTGGGAATGGCTTCTATAATTCTACATAGCACCCATAAAAATGCTTTTCTGACTGGGGGATGGTGCGTTTATGGCCTTGTTTTACCCACATGAATCATCAAAGAATCGTGTATCACCAACAGGCTGCACAGGCTGAGGCTTCAAGCCATTGCTCGACCTGTGCCAGAGGCGGCCTGGCGGCTGGTGCCAAGGTTTGGTACTGGTAGATATAGCTGGATAATTCGAACTGAAAATATCTAACCGATAGATTTGATCGATTATGATTATGATTATGATTATGATAGATTATGATTATGGTAGTATCACCAGAACTCTATGGATAGATTATGATCGATTTGTTGATAGAATTCTATGATAATTCAAAAAACCAAAAAGAAGTTCGGCTTTGCCAAGCCCGTGTTTGGCTTAAGACTGGTGGGGGGGGTCCGGAGGGGGGGAGGGAAGGGGTGGTGCACGGCAAGGTGCTAAAATTTCAAAAATAGGTGCTCAAATTTAAGGAAATAGGTGTTTTTTTGAAGAAACCGGGTCGGGATCCAGTCGGGACCCAGTCGGGACCCAGTCGGGACCCAATCGGGCACCAATTTTTGCATTTTTGGGCACCGCTTTTGGCCAGTCGGGATCCAGTCGGGATCCAGTCGGGATCCAGTCGGGCACCAATTTTCGAATTTTTGGCACCACGTTTGGACCTGTCGGGAAGCAGCCAAAATCACCGAAAAACATGCAAAAACACTGCAAAAATGCTATTTTTTATGAATTTGGCTGCCTCCCGACATTGGATCCCGACTGGATCCCGACTGGATCCCGACTGGATCCCGACTGGATCCCGACTGGCCAAAAGCGGTGCCCAAAAATGCAAACATTGGTGCCCGACTGGGTCCCGACGGGATCCTGACTGGATCCATAGATTGGCAAGAACCCACTCCCGCACCTATTTTTCCCTTCCCAGACCCACCCTTGCCCCTATTTTCCTTTTCCGCGCACCAGCCGTGCACCAATACCCCCCCCCTCCTGCACCAAAACGGTAAAAGCAGTCTTAAGCCAAACGGGGGTTCTACAAGTTCGGCTTTACTGGGATCATTCGCCGAATCCATTCACCATGATTCCAGGCTTCACAGTGAGGCCCTTGGAATTACTTTGACTGGTGGTACATTGATATTTTACCAGTTACCCTCTGGTAATTTAACATAGCGAACTAGAAAATCACCATGTTTAATGAGAAAATCCACTATTTCTATGGTCATTTTCAATAGCTACGTTAAATTGCCAGAGGGTACATTGATATTTTACCAGTTGAAGGACCTTGATTGTATTGATATGTTCCATATCTTCCCTTCAACATTAACCCTCGATGGTCAGGCAAAGTTGAAGGTACATTGATATTTTACCAGTTCGATGGCTGTAACAACATGGCTTCATGGACAATCCCCACAAAAATTGAGTGATGTTTTTCCAATTCAACATGGATATATACCAAGCGCCCCCCAGTGGGAACTATAGATACAACATGGTATATGAGTATATTATATATATACATATAATATAATGTATATATATATTATACATATAATATAATATATATATATAATATACATATAATATCATATATATATAATATACATATAATATAATATATATATAAAATATACATATAATATAATATAATATATATAATATACATATAATATACATATATATAATATACATATAATATAATATATATATATATATTATATATATATTATGCATATAATATATATTATATATATATTATGCATACAATATAATATATATATATATAATATACATATAATATAATATATATATATAATATAAATATAATAAAATATATAATATAAATATAATATACATATAATATAATATATTTATATATATATATATATTATATACATATAATATAATATATATATAATATACATATAATATAATATATATAATATACATATAATATAATATATATATAATATACATATAATATTATATATATATACATATAATATAATATATATATAATATAAATATAATAAAATATATAATATATATAATATACATATAATATAATATATTTTTATATTATACATATAATATAATATATATATAATATACATATAATATAATATATATATAATATACATATAATATAATATATATATAATATACATATAATAAAATATATAATATACATATAATATAATATATATATATATATAAAATACATATAATATAATATATATAATATACATATAATACAATATATATATAATATACATATAATATACATATATATAATATACATAAAATATAATATATTATATATATATATATTATGCATAGAATATAATATATATAATATACATATAATATAATATATATATATATAATATACATATAATATAATATATATATAATATAAATATAATAAAATATAAAATAATAAAAATATTTAATATACATATAATATATTATATGTATATTATATACATATAATATAATATATATATATATAATATACATAAAATATAATAAATATAATATACATATAATATCATATATATATAATATACATATAATATAATATATATACATATAGTATAATATATATATAATATAAATATAATATAATATATTTATAATATACATATAATAATATATATATATAATATACATATAATATATAATATATATATATATAATATACATATAATAAAATATATATAATATACATATAATATAATATAATATATATAAAATATACATATAATAAAATATATATAATATACATATAATATAATATATATAAAATATACATATAATATAATATATATAATATACATATAATATAATATATATATAATATACATATAATATACATATATATAATATACATATAATATAATATATATAATATACATATAATATAATATATATATAATATAAATATAATAAAATATATAATATATATATATAATATACATTTGATATAATATATATATAATATACATATAATATAATATATATATAATATACATATAATATAATATATATAATATACATATAATATAATATATATTTAATATACATATAATATTATATATATATACATAATATACATATAATATATTACATATATAATATACATATAATATAATATATATAAAATACATATAATATAATATATATTTAATATACATATAATATTATATATATACATAATATACATATAATATATTATATATATATAATATACATATAATATAATATATATAAACTACATATAATATAATATATATATATACAATATACATATAATATAATATATATAATATACATTTAATATAATATATATATATAATATACATATAATATAATATATATATAATATACATATAATAAAATATATATTTAATATACATATAATATTATATATATAATATACATATAATATAATATATATAATATACATATAATATACATATATATAATATACATATAATATAATATATATTATATATATTATGCATATAATATAATATATATAATATACATATAATATAATATATATATAATATATACATATAATATAATATATATATAATATAAATATAATAAAATATAATATATATATAATATATACATATAATATAATATATATATATATAATATACATATAATATAATATATATAATATACATATAATATAATATATAATATACATATAATATAATATATATATAATATACATATAATATTATATATATACATATAATATAATATATATATATATGTATAATATAAATATAATAAAATATATAATATATATATAATATAGATATAATATAATATATATAATATACATATAATATACACATATAATATATATATATATTTACTATCAAAGTCATGCTTGATTCTGCATGATTCCCACATCAAATTCCCATGGATTTCCTCCATCGGCACCTCAAGGCGGTCATGACCTTGTCCGTCAGTGGCTCGATCTGACCGCAGGCCAGGGATTCACGGAATGAGTCATGGGAGGACCTCGCTGGATAAAATGACCCGTGTATGGCTGGAAAAGTTTTTTTTTTTTTATGGAAATGGAAAATGGAAATTTAATGGAAAAATTTTAATGGAAATGGAAATGGAATGAGTCATGGTGTATATTGAAAAGTATTGAAGACTTCATGTTTAAAATGGTTAAAAATGGGTATACGCTTATTTTAGGAAACCCCCTCTTTGGTTTTTGTTGGAGGCGTGACTCTCGAGGTCTTCATTTTCTGTGAAAAGAAGACCACTCAATCAAGAATCAAGATCATAACATCATTTCTTAATCAACTAGAGATCATTTGATCGTTTCTCAGATAATATTTCTTTGTTGACATTTTGGGGTCTTTTGTGATGGGGCTGTCTTAAAATCTATCGGATCCCCAAAAAGAATCGGTTTATCCCCAAAACCCTAGCGAAAACGGATGATCAAACGGGTTTTTTCGGTCACAGTTACTTTAGGAAACCTCATGAAACCTCCATACATAGTCATGAATCCAACCTGGGATCAGTATTCCATAAAAAAATGTTAGTACAGGGTGGTGCCCCAGTTCGAAATCGCTAAGTTGGTTTATAAGTCCAATAACTATGGTTTATAGGTGATATATCTATAGTTACTGGGATTATAACCCATTTATAAATTGGGGAGGCACCACCTTGTCTTGTATGGCTATTTCCCAGTGGAAACTCATGGGAAGTAGCCTCTGGGAACACCATGTTTCTTTTTTAATGGATGAATCAATTGAACTATTAGTTGACCATTTTCCATACTATAACTTAGATTACTTGGATTTGCTGATTCGGGGTTCCCAAACAAAAAACACATATTCACTTAATCGATTCCCCAGTCATGGTGGATTAAAACCATTGGGAAAATACGCCAAATCGCCGACTAAACAAACCCATGATAAGGGTCATGTTACCCTCTGGTAAACTAGCATAACTATGGAAAATCACAATTTTTCATGGGAAAATCACCATTTTTCAAAGGGTGTATATATATATATATATCTATCTATCTCTTTGCAGGGATTTCTTCGGGTTTTTTTGGCTCTCATGGGGGACATCTGACATATCTAGACATATCTGTAGCACACATCCGACAACAAGGGGATATAGTCTCCACCAACCCAAGCGCCCTGTAAGCATCAACAACCGTTTCCTCTGGGGAACTAATAGTTTGCTATTGAAAATGACCCAGTCGAAATAGTGAGTTTTCCCATTAAAAATGGTGATTTTCCATAGCTTTTTGTATGTTTACCAGAGGGTAATCCAATCAGCCAACAAGATCCAGATGAATGGATCCTGGATGAGTAAAACACTGACGTTAACACCCACCATATCCACCATCTGTGGCTCAAATTCCGTGAAATTGCTTGGTCAAAGCGGAGGTTTCATGAAACCAATTCCCGAGGTTTTCCTGGACCGTTCAATTCCGCCTGCAGTCCCCATGTTTCCTGATTTTCCATGTTTTACCTCGTTCAATCTTCGTGATTCTTGATCAAATCAATCTCAAATCCCTAGTTGTGTTATGTTTTGGTTTGTTTTCATCACCCTGCCCTGCTGAGTTTTGTGTGCAGTCAGAGCATCAGGCTTTGGTAATTTAACATAGCGAACTGGAAAATCGCCATCTTTAATAAGTAAATCAAATATAAATGAGCCATTTTCCATAGCTATGTTAAATTACCAGAGGGTATCACCTCCCCAAATTCATCTTTGTTCAATTTCATCCCAGGTCCTTTTTGGATAAATCCTCATTTTTCCCGGGGGTTTTCTCCATGTCCACTCAGAGACCCAGTGGCCCCACTTATAGATGGGCCATGGAGTTAGTGAACAAAAAAATATTGTAGGTATAATATACATATATATATATATAATTGATCATAATTATATAATATACCTGCATTGCCTTGTAAACACCTATTGTTATCCATAATCTTAAAAGATTGCTTTTAACAATAAAAACGACAATTGTTGTCCGGGACGTGAATCTCCGTAGGCCATAAAATGACCATGTTCAGGATGTATATATATAACTATATATATATACATGTATATATATTATACATGGAATATATCCTTAAATTGAATCATGTATCTATACCTATATACGTGTATCTATCTATATATTGTATATACATGGCATATAGGTATATAGTCTATATAAAGTCTATATATGTCTTGTGGATCATGGAGGTATTGTATGATGATAGCATGGCTGAGTATGTTTATCATTGCGAATATTGTAGTGAGGGCCATCTCAAGTACGAATTGCTCATCAATGTAAGAATAGCTTTGAGACAAACAACATTAACAGATATATCTAGGATCCCAATTTTGTAAACACCACATATATCCAATCAACCGGGGTGCTGCAACTGACCAGGCCTTTCTTGCCGCTCGCACTTGGCTCACTGATGCTGAGCTGGTGATTCATGGGGTATCATTTACATATTTGGAAATATTTGGAGGTTGATTGATTTTTTATATAAATTATATATACAGAGGTATGGGGTACTGATCAACATACACAGGTGGTACTGTATAATAGAATAGAGTGATCAAAGTGATCCAGCATCACAAAAAACTGGCATGTCATGATGAACCTTCGCTATATATAGTTAAATAATTCATATATAGGTGAAGGGCATGGCTGCCAAAAATACTGGCCCACGGCTAAACCTGCTCATGAGCAATCTTAATGAATCATTATATTTCTTTCTTTGAGGCCCCTTGGTCAATCAAAAATCAAAAATGGTAGGAATCTTGCACACAGTAATTAATTCAAATCACCTGGATGCTCCACTGCGCAATGGTGGTTGACGCTTGCAAGCCAACTTTGTGGCAGTGCAACTGGCATGTTTGCTGCGCAGAACATGCTCCAGCTCAACTTCCCCAATTCAAGGTTTTGTAATTTTCATGGTAGGGGTGCATGTAGATTTATGATTGGGACCCCTGTCTATTATACATCAAATGATTTAAGTTCCAGGATTCCGCGACCATGGTGGGACGCAAGCCTGCGCAACACATCAGTCTCCATTAGACATGACCAGTTAATCTCAAAGGTCATCAAAGCTAGTACCGGTTGTCACCACATCTCAACTTTGGCAATCATGACATCCATATCAGCAACCATGCATGTATTGTAGATCTATGGCTATAGTTGCAATGGATTTTCTTATCTATCAGATTCACCTGGCCATGCCATGAAACTCCATCAGCTCACTCAGACATCATCGCATGTCCTCCGCAGATCATTTGCAGCTGTGCCATTTTAGCTTTGCAGTAGGGGTGCCATGGCTAAAACCAAAGCCATGTGCGTGAGGTCAGAGGGATTGCCTACCAAAAAGGGTTGTGGAAGTGCCAGTGCCCCTAGCCCTTTGTCAAGTGGAAATGAAGGTTCCCCTAGGGGTCTTGTTGGCAATTTCTCCCTGGACAACATGGCAGTGTCTTGGGATGATTCACCTGCTATCCGGGACCGCATCAGGGAGAATCACAACTTGATGATGAGGTATGATGATACCCTTCGTAAGCCTGTAGCGGATGGCTACATCGATGCCACCACTGACAACATCAAACTTAATGCTATGGTGCTCACCCCACTTTTGGTTGTGATGAAGGACAACAATCTTCAATTACCCAGCATTGAGGCCTTGAACAAATCTATTGAGGCCTTCTACCAGTTGTCGAAGGTGGCTAGGTCTACCGATCTTGTTTACCAAGAGTCATGGGCACTTCGGCGGCTCATTGGCCGGTTGAAGAAGTTTATCTACCGGCCTTTCCCCCCACAGGACTGTTGTGATTTGAAAACCAAAAAATATTTCAACTATAACCCCCATAGTTGATTTGATCACAAGTAGGGTATATAGCATCGGGGAAACCACATACAACAAGAAACATGATATTGATGATACTCCTGCGGTGTTGCTGTGAATAAACTATATACATTCATGCACCCCGTTTGGAATATATAATTATATAGCTTAAATTTTAAAGGTATATGAAACCCATTCCAGCACTACAGTTCCCCAGCCGGTGGTCTCCTCTTTCCCGGAGGATGCAATCATCTTGGACCTGGTGAAAGCGATGGGATTCAGCGCAAAGGTGGGGTTGGAAGGGTTGGACAAAGGGGTGCATGTCTTATGTTGAACATTTCAAATCCAAACCACATGCAATGACAAACATCATGAGGATATATATAGCGATCGAATTGGCATGATATTAACAGATCTATATAGTTGCAGGACTTGACATTTGACATGTGCAGTGACCCCCGGAGTGAAACATCAAGTTCATTAGCTTCAACCAACAACAGGCAGTGCATATCACACTATCGTGCAGGGCTAAAGTCTGGTAATTGCATGCATATATGGGAAAGGGTCTTCCCCTCATGGCTATCTTTTTCAGAATGACCTTGACCATGCACCTTTGTTTGGATAAAGTTGCAACCCGATCTGCACTTTACAAATCTACAGTTCTTGATCTTGACACCTTGCAGTCTGCAATTAGATGATGTTTTTTTATCAAACAAAATCATGTATCGTCAATCAAACTTACCTTTGGTGATGAGCAACATGCACTTGTTGAATCTGTGCATCAGCATCTTTTATATAAATTTGTCACGTTTCACCCAAACAGATGTTTGAACTGCATGTATCGAAGAGCATTTATAATATTCACTGTGGTTGCATATGCACATGCAGTGCATGATATATAACTATACAACTTATATATAATCAGTCTCCATTATACATTTCCTCCATGGATCCAATTCTATGTGGCCCCCTTTGAAATGTTTTTGCCAGGACTGGGTCCCTCTGTCAAGCCGTGGCAATGACAGCCAAGACCATGAAGCTTCTGATGGGGGAGAGGGTGGGCCGATTGAAGACCCTACTCCAACTGGTCCAACTGAACCTGAAGAACCCATCACAGATGGCTTACCGTTGTTGTTTGAACAAGAGTTGGAGGAGCATTTTAATCTTCTCCAAAGTCAACTCCCTGAAACTGCCATTCCGGGCCCTTCTAGCCCACAAGTCTTGGCAGAGAAGCCAACGGTTGAGGCAGCAACTGATCGTGATGCAAAGGCAGCATTGCCTGCCCCAAAGGTGGTGAATGTCGGGGAGGGATCAACCAGGGTGCTCCCTACTCCATGCCGCGCCACTTCTACTCAGCATGTTGATATCGGGACACCTTCCATCTTTGCTGATTCTGTTGAACCAAGCAACATGGATGTCGAGGGCAGCAAGAAGAAGGATCGATCCAGTTTCATATATGTTTCAATAGCATTCATGCATGCATGTTTTAAATCATGTATCGACATAATATATATAGGTGTCCAATACTGCATGCAGTGCTGTTTTCATATAGTTCATATATATCTTGATGATCATATATATATATATAGAATCAAGTCCTTGGGCCCTACAGGACATTGTTGAGATTTCCTCCGACGAGGAGGGTGGAGGGGATGGCGATGGCGCCTCACCAATCTTCCGTGTTGGGAAGACCGTGCTCCCGCTGGACCTGGCGACAATCATGAAAGCCATCAAGGATCTTTGTATTGGAGAGTATTTTGGATTACATGAGTGTCATCGTTTTTTTAATATACGTATGGTGTTAAAATTATATAGCATATATCACTTGTCAATTGAAGCTATATCTATTTGGGATCATTTTGGACATGATGCCTTAATTTATATATAGTATCTGCCACAGTTATATACACCTTATTCCCTAGCGCCGGCTCTCAGGAACATGAATACCAGTCAAGGACAACCAGTTCAACCAGCCGCTGAAACTGGGGCAGCCAGTGCAGGAGGGAATGATGGCTACTCAGTCCAAGTCTATCCTTTTTTTTTTACAAAGCAACTCATGATATCTTGTTTGGGGTTCAAATGATCATGACATCTTCAATTTGGGTATATGTACCCCGCTGTGGTTTACAAACCACTTAGAGTTTATAAATCCCAAAATGCATTATCCATGAATGATGGCAGTTGAGGTTCGGTCCCAGCGACCAATGCTCCTGAACCTATGGTGGTTTTGTCGGATTCGCAGCTAGCATGGACTCCTACCAACGGTGATAATATGGACACTTTGGTTCTAGATCCTCCATCTGACGTGTTCAACTCCGATGTGGCTGCTGCTACGTTGAAATCCTTGGATGACCATGAAGAGACGGTTCAGAAACAGGCATTGGAGTAATGAAAATTTTATATACTATATAGTTATATAAATCAAATTTCAACACATGATAAAGCAGGATTCGAAAAGGTTTATAAAAATGCATTTTACACTGTTTCATCATCATATATAATGGGTCTTCAAGTTAGATTTAAACTGAATTTTGATCCCTGTACAGGTAGAAGCTACTGGTCGAGATGGCATTGACATTCCAGACCATGAAGTGATCACTAGACGAAAACAATTTCGTATGAAGAGAAACCGGGCAGAAGACAAGAGACAGAAGAAGGAAGAGAATAGCAAAAAGAAGGCTGCAAAGGCACACGAACCCCCGAAGAAGAGAGGCAGAAAGGCAGTTGAAAAGGCTGAGCCATGGAAAGAGAAGGGCCGAAGGAACGAGAGAAAAAACAAGAAACAGCCAAAGATCCCAGCTTCATCTTCCAAGGGCCCAGATTGCCATAGCCACAAGATGAAGCGATACAGAAAGTTTGCCCAAACTTTGAAGGAGTCAAATGATGCAGTAGCCCCTGTGATGAAATCCAAACTGGCCAAGAAGCATAGCCAAACAAGCAGCAAGGACACCAAAGCTTCCAGGAAGGACATGGAGCAGCAACATGTTCTTGACTCAAGGGTGGAGGACAGCAAGGACCCAAAGAATGAGGAAATTTCCCAAACAAAAATCAAGGGAGAGGGCAAGAAGACAGCAGCAAAGTCAAAGGCAAAGCAGCAGCAGAAGCCAATGCACGAGCATGACACACCACCGGCATCTGCAAAAGAAAAAACAAAGCGCGCCACCAGGGCAAAGGCCAAGGCAACCCCCAAGGCTAAGTCTAGCACTAAGCCCAGCAAGCCAGGTGTTGAAGATGAGAAGAAGGGATCGAGGAAGAGGAAAAACAAGCAATGTGCAGAGAAAAACAAGCATGCAGAGAAGCCAAAGCGAACTAGGGCACCCAGAAAGATCGACCCGTCGTGTGTGAACCAGGAGATGAAGAACCAAGTGATCCAAACCTTGAAGGAGTGCAAGAGCACCAATTGCACTCATCCGTCGGTGAAAATGATCAGGAAACCCCATGTTGACATTGAGCCTTACAGGACCCGAAATGCTTGTGGCATCAAGGTTGCCCGTTCATTCTTCTCCAGTGACAAGGCCAAAGGTTCTGGGAAGGCTCATGTCACCTATTTCTCCGGACAGACCCCTTGTTTCTATAGCAACTTCAAGCTGGCCGAGCTGTGGGTTTCTAGATTGCAAGCTTGCTCATGGATGATCGATGTATATCAAATTATCTTGGTGTGGTTCTATATTGATATCCCGATGCTGTTTCTTGAGTTTATGTCAGTTCAAATCAAATACAAATGAGTATCGAGCGATCTGAACAAATTATATAGATTATACATGCATGATACTGACTGACATTGACGACGGATTCAAATTATATATTGCATGGTTTCTGCAAATAGGAGGCATCCCATATACTGCATGTATATAGGATTGTTTCCCCACTATCGTCTTCCATTCGACCCATCTGGGAATAAAAATGACTGACCAGGTAAAGTTCCACACCAGGATAGTGTGTACCTAATTTGATCATCACCTAAAGATTGATATATATTTTATAGGATGTTATATATATAATATAATTGGTACATGGTCAGCTTCCCATATATATAGTACCTTTGCCCACTTCTGAGGTGAAGCAGTGGGAGCAATTGGGCAAGCCTGATCCGCTCTCGGAGGAGATGACCAAGTTCGTTGCTGAACTCAAAGCCTCACATGCAGCTGCCGTTACTGAGCACCAGGGTGAACCCGCTACCAATAGTTGATTTGGCATCAGCTCATGATATCCACTCATGCCAGTCCAGGATGCATGCAATACCAGGTTGGATTTATATACATTTAGCACATTAATATATAAGCTCGAAAGTTGTTTTGATGCTGTGATTTCTTCAAAGGTAACTTGATCGTTTCAATGATCAAATCATCACATGCTTGGGCTTGAGTGGTGCTGGGGTTATGTGTGTGCCTATATATGTTGACAACGACATTCCTCCTAATCCTCATGGGCAAAACAAAGGAAACCACATTGCCGTAAGTATAACAGCGGGGTGCAAACTATTCATGCATGTATAGTGTGAAAATTGTAATGATCTGAATGTCCATTTCCTTGAGCTGAGTGTGTTATAGCATGATTTATCCCAATGCCCTGGGGCAGAGGAATGCCATCGTTGTATACATATAATCGTAGATGTGCTTTTTCCACTTGCCCTTTGGCACTTTCGGCCATTCAAAGTGGAGCTTCAAACGTTAGAGATTTGCAATTCAGCGGAAGTCAACCCGCAAAATATGGGGCAATCAGGCCAACAAGGGTCAAAAAAAACGCAGAGTGGCTGAACGCTATTGTTGGCTTATTATTTGCATCTACTGTCTTATAACATGGATTGATGGTGATGCTTATCACATATATACAAAAAAGGAATCAACACATTATTCTATATATATATATATAGAAACCATCAAAATGGTGCTATATTGTTTAAAAGTGTTTCTCTTATACATTTTCTGTGGTCAAAAGACATGATATGGAGAACAATCAGCATGTTGAACTTCGTTTAGCCGCAGAATTGAAAACAAGTACATGTACAGCCTTATCCCATGTTGATATATATATATATATCCATATCTTCAAAATTGTGTGCAGGTATATTAAGTGATATATGTATATATGCGATATATCCTTGATGAATGCTATATGTATATATAATTAAACCATCAAGATCCAAACCTTCAGTCTGGGCTCTCCAGCATGCCAGGTGTCCCCTCGCTAATGCCTGTGCGGAGAGTGAGGAAGAAGCTCACCAAAGGCAGCCGGAATAGTGTCAAAGCTGGGACACATGCAAGGTTTGGGAAAGGCAGTACTGGCTTGTTTGCTGATCTTTGGGTTTCGATGCCACATGGTTTTCAAAAAACGGATCATCAACATATATAGTTTTCATGATTTTATCATGCCACTAAAATCTTTGAAAGCCAAGTGGCCCTTCTATACATCGATGGATCATCTTTATAATTCAATTGATCGATATACTGAGATCCAACCTACCGAGGTGGTCTTGTTTGCACATGCAAGCAACAGTTGGAACAAGCCTTTTACATGCCCGTTGGTGCCCTCCATATTTCAGCTGGGGAATGCACATGCACACAAGACACAAGTTAATTGTTGTGCAAAATTCTGCATGCATAATCTATTACATCAAAGACAACACCAAACTGCATGTATATAGTATCCCTCTGATGGATCCTCATGTTGATCATGTATATATCTGTTTGATCATACAATGTTGTGATTATATATAAATGCAATTTATTCCATATATTGGTTTCTTGCCTGCGTGTGCTAATTAGACTCCCATTGGCTTTTTCAAGCCATTCCTTGATTGGACTGGTGCGCCATGGTAACTGGGAGAGATGCAATCGACTTGGTGGTACGAAGGCTGGCGGCCATGAAAATTCCAAAGGTAACTGGGCCTTAATTGTGAAAAATATAATGCAAGGGTGTCCAAGAAAAGATTCGGAATATATACAAACTATATAGATGAATGGAATCATGATTACATAGATGCAAGGTTATATAGATCATTATATCCTTGAACCATTTTATGCAATCATGTGCATGTTAATAGCTGCATGATTTTCATGAACACCACATGAGTGGAAAAAATGAACCTATAATATATCAAGCCTATACAGTGGCCTGTTCACCAAAGTTGATTTGGCCACTCAGGCATTCATCATGATCGTGCTGATGGTTGCCTACGCCAGTAACCTTCCCAAGTTTGATGAGGAGCCAAATGTTGCCATTACCTCCCGCCACATCAAGCCCACCATGCATCACAAAATCATGGGGCCCCCACCGCAGCTTTGCTTGCACCGCTCGATCTCCAGGAACTTGCCTTCATTGAATTCTTTGCAGGCAACGGAAACGTGTGGAAAGCAGTGAGGGCCGACAGCTATGCCACGGTGGGCATAGACATCACATATGTCGAAAATGTTGAGGGAGGAGACAACCCATTCGACATTTTATCCAATTCTGGATTTGGGTGCCATCCCCAGTTGGTTTGCAACGTCTATACTGTATTACTGCAGCAACAAAGGTGTGCATTCATGTCATGAAGACTCGGGTCATTAATCTTAAATATATGATTGGGAATAAACTCATGTTTCTAATTTTGATGGATCAGTCAAACGCTGGATGTTTTTCATTATTATATAATTGTTTCATGAGCTCCACTGGATGGAGCTAAACCATCTAAGGTTGTACGTGCACATGATCCTCTCTGCAAGGATGCATCGGTTTGCAACAATTTGGGCCACGGTGTGTTCCAGTTGGGTTCGCATGAACTGTTTTACCTCTGGGAGATCCTTGTTGCTCCCAGAGGGGAACCAAGACCGTACCTACATCTGCCAAGCAAACCAGATGATGTCGAGGAAGCTAGTCTTTGCTCATTTGAATGAAGGGTTTTTTTGTTTGATAATGTTTTTATATATAGTGCGTCGATCATCCGTCCATGTATATATACCTCAGGATTGTGCTATACAAGCTATATAAGACAAGAACATTAAGGCATCCTCATTCATGAACCCAAATTTAACCCAACTAGATGGAAATTAAGGGATAAACATGGACTATAAACATGATCATAAAAATGATCGATGGACCATAAACCCTTTCCCAAGACTGCCTGCTGAGGTGCATCCTGCTGATCGCGTTGACGACTGCCTGCGGTGGCACTTGGCTGCTTGAGCAGCCCCGCTCCAGTGTGATGGGGGAATTCTTCCGGTTCCAATGGTACTGCAACCTAGTCAAAGTACCATGGCTTAATCTGATTTGGTTGCCATGATTGGTATAGCTGCACTTCCCTATACGGACATGTTATATACATTATACACAACTATATTTGAATTACCAAATTCCAACTTAATGTGTTCGATCTCCATGCCATCAATGAATTGCATTTAACGCTGTACAGCAATAGCATGCATGAGATTATATACATTATATATTTGCCTATATATAAACACTTGCATGCATGATTAAAGTGATTGTTACCAGGGTCTCACCCAACAACTCAATCAGTTTCAGCTCATGTACCCGCTCCCAGCCCCTCCAAGGTCTACCTGGTGAAGTGGTTCATGGCCCACTACGGAGCTTCCTCGGCCAAACCGACGAAGGGATGGTGCAATCATAGGAAGCTGGGAGAGCTTGATCTTGGAAAATTCAACCACAAAATGATCAATCCCAAAAGCAAGCCTACTACGGTGAAAAAAACGATCGACAAGAATGGAAAGAAGACTTGGACGGGAACAAAGGCATTGAAAGACACCCAGCCCTGACCTCATTTGTTGAATTTACACCTGCATGGTCAACCAATCTAAGTACTGAACATGTTTTTGATTGAATGATCCTTTTCGAGTGTTTCAACCTATATAATTTCATCCAATTGGACTATATATGTTTGCTCAGGATTTACCCTCCGGCATTTGGTGATGCAATCTGCCGTCTTCTACCAAATCTTTCTGCGGGAGAAGGGTGCCCAGAAGTGGACGAATCTGAGCCTGCTGAGGAAGTGTTTGAACGCATGGCTTTCAGCACATGGGAGGAAGCCCATCTCATTCCTTGCCTGAAATATTTGAGGGGGAACCGGCACCTCAACTTACCAGTTGAATGGGTTCAGGCATTTCCCCGTCCCCTGGAGATCCTCCACAGGATGGAACAGAGTGCAAACTAGGGGAGCTTTGAAGATTGCAGGTGTGGCTAGAATGAGTTGTGCAGTTGTACAGGGGTTTTGCACCAAATTGACCATATATCATCAAAATTGATTTAGATTTCCATGTCCCCACATAACAATTTATGCACTCAGCATCTTCACCGTATGGTTCTGACCTTTTCCCAGCAATCCCCAGATATAGGTCCATGGTTGGGTCAATATCCCAGTTGAAAAATGATAAAAAACCAAGAAACCCAATCCAAAATCATTTTTGCTGCATTTTCAAGTGTTTTTTGAGATCCGTACAGGGACATGAATAACCGTACTGGGGACATGAAAACCCGTAAACCGTTCGGAAACCGTTCGGATTACGTTCAAATTACGTTCAAATTACGTTCAATTGCGTTCAACTTGCGCAAAAATTACGTAATTTTTACGTAAAAAATCAGGTTTTTTTTTGATGATTTTTGGGGGTTTCGATTTTTTACCAAAATCCATGATTTCAAACCAAAAAAAAGGGAAATCTGAAGATACCCGAACCACTTTTCATTAGCATCGGTTGGTCAACACCTGCAATCACATGTTTCTGGAGGTTGCACAGGCTCACTGTGGCTTGACCTATACGATGGGCGCTTGATATCTAAAGATTTTGAGTGGGAAACATGATGCTGCTTGAATCCTGAATGTGCAAGCATGTAGCGCAGTCAAATGCACTTGCATATTAGATCATTCAATATCGATCCTTACCATTATGTTGAATAAAAATCATGTGCAGCTGCACTTGGCAACAGTATAGCTTGAATAATGCATCTCGAATCATTTGTTTGATACAGCCGTTTGGCAAGTTGATCAGCTTTAGAGGTGTAGGTTGCAATCATGTCGCGTGATTCCATGGTGTCATCACTTCCATCTAATGGGTGGAGCTGCGCTACTTTGGAAGAGGGCATCCAGATTGCTGCACAGCAAGCCGGCTTAACCTTGAAAACCCAAGACTACACCAAGGCCAGGATGCATGTGCATCATATTGATATATCATCAACAGGCCCCCGTGTATATAGTAACTGAGATTGTCATTATAGATATACTCATCATCTCTTTATTGCCCCAGTAATTTATAATTGGCTCATTCATGGTCAGGTGTCCGAAGTGCTTATGCACACACTCCAAGCCTATGCAGCTCAACCTGTTCCTTGTCACAACTATCATTATAATTGTATAGAATTCCATGCCCGTCTGAACCATGACTGGCCCAGGCACATGCATGCGACATATAACAATTTAATGCCAAAAAAAAATCCATAATGACCTCACTATATATTATGGACGCAAAAATCAACCATATAGAATTAAGTGGAAAGGTTTGTAAGTAATTGAATGGAACCATGATTGCCTATATAGTCACCAGCTTCCATCCACCTGAGGCTCCTGGCAACGCTGCTCCTCTTCAGCGAGTTAAGGTTGAGCCTGTGGCACCGGAAAGGCCGTTGGCGACGCCATCCCCTCCCAAGGAATCTCAGTTCAATGGGGTATATACTTTTGCATCAGCATGAGACAATGATCATGTTACAGTTCTTTATATATATATTGTACGATTGGATCATGTGAGTCTTAATGCATGAACTGAAAGGTATCTGGCATGGCACCACCTGTTGCTGACCCTGAAGGGGATACCATCCCCGGTGTTCCCTGGCCGCACAGCTTGCAAAAAAAACCAAAACAGGATGATTAATATTGTCTTTTTTTGTGGTCGGTATATATACCTTAAATGGATGACAATCTTTGGGCCCCAACTAAGGATGTGCCGTCCCCGGTTCTATCCAACAAAGGATCTCGGCCAGAGACCCCTGCATCCTTTCAGAAGGTTGCGACTCTAGTTCATGGACTGCCTCCTGCTACATATGATCTCGAGGCACTTGGGGATCAATTTATATAATTATATAGTTTGGTGGTACCTCTATAGATACAGGTGCACTCTGGCTTCATCAATATAGTGCATGTGCCATGTAGCCCCAGGTGTACAAATGCATGGGTGCGTTCGATACATTGATGATCATATAACCCTTTAGCACCTTACCCCTTCGGCATGCATGCAGGCTACCAAGCAAAACCAGGAGCTGATGGCTGAGAAATTGAAGAACGAGCAGTTGCAAGCGCAGATCCAAAGGCTGGAGCTTGCATCGCAGACTGCCCAGAAAGAGTATGAGCTAGCAAAATGTCAAAAGGAATCAGAGACGTCAAAGTTGGAAACACTGTTGACCAAGACTTTGTCAAGAGTTGATGATTTGGAGAAGATGATGAAAGACAGTCCAGCTGAACCCCCAAAGCCTGCTGAGAAACCAAACGCACAACCTACGGAGACAAAACAATCACAAAAGGCTAGGGTGGCTGAGCCTCAGTCTGGTTCAGAGAAAAGTGATTCTGATGGCGAATCTGATTCTGAAGAAGAGAAAAGTATGGTCACTCCGGACGGACGAGTTGCCATTTGACTTAATTGGGTTTTTGAAAACATCGGTGACTGTGAGTGTGCATCTTTACCACGCATGCATGCATATATGCAACCATGTTCGGAATCTAAATATGTAACACCCATGATTCATGCAGTTTTATATTTTTTGACAATCTTCATATATAAGACCTGTTGCATTGATCCATTGAGGTTCCAATTTCTCCTGACGCCCTTCGCATGCGATGCAGACGCTTGTGTGAACGCAAGCCTAGCGGACGCCTGCAAGTTGAGGCATCCATGTCGGATGCTTACAAAGCAGGAGGTGAGCAGAGGGAGGCGCTGGAAATGACGCTGCTTGAGTCATTGGCCACCCATGGGCATGGCCGGTCATCCTACAAGAAGATCAAGGCTAGGACCATCCACACCTCAATGTGTTCACCTTCGTTGATTGGTGTATATATAGTTTGGATGTATACGGTTTACATGTGCATGCATGCATGTTATTCATGCATGTTAACAAATGCCTGCACTCATCAAGATAATTGGGTCCATATATGGTTTTCCATTGTTATTATCAAATCCTGGAAGCTTCCATTGTCCACCCAAGTCTTCACCCCCTCTTCGCCTCTACTGCTCCACCAGGCTGACTTTGTCAAGCGATTTCGCTTGGTCAAAGAATGCCTTGAGTCCCGAGAAAGCGAGGTGCACGGGAAGTGGATGACGGAGGAGGCAATGAAAAAAAGCGGCAAGTATTCACAGACGGCCATCAAGAATATTACTTCCTACTGCAGGAAGTTTCCTGAAAGCTTGATGAGGCCAGTTGAATATTTTTGGCTTGACACCTATATAGTTCAGCATGATACCCAAAAGCATCCAAGAACATCAACTGCAAACCATTGGAGGTAGATTGGACACATCTTATATCCATGCATGGTCTTTGAAAAAAGAAACCAATATTCATATATATTCAATACTCGATCAAGGTATTATATAATAAGCCATGCATGGTTCACATGCAGATAGAATGAATTGACCTATAGATGATATATCTCGTACCTGATCATATACCTGGATTTGATTAAATATCCTTTGCGCTCAGGGCTTGGAAGTACAATGACAAAGTATCAGAGTTCTATGTCATCACCGATGACACCACCTTGCACAAGAAGGCTGATACGACCCGGGACTTGGAAGAGACTGACCTTGGGGAGCCTTGGAGGAATAATCGAATATATAAAAACATGCCAGTTCGAAATGTTTTTTTCCAGGCACAACTTATATATAGATGCATGCACATGCATGAGTTCACCCAATGCCCCAAACAATCAGCATGTGTTGCAAGGCTCTTCCCTACATCCATCAACATGTTCTCTTGCAAATATAGGGCTTGAACCCCCTCTGTTTGGACTATCTTGATTGGCTATATAGTGAACCCTATCCAATCCAACCTGATAACTCAGCAACTCCAAGACCCACCACTCTCTTCTGAGGAAAAGGCTGTGAAAGACAAAGATGCTCCTAAGCATTTGGACGCCGACTTGGTGACCATCCCTAAGGAAGACGTGTCAATCCAAGTGGTGGGTTCTCAGGTTGGGTTGCATGTACATGCATGCGTGTGTTTTGTGCATGAACATGGTTGTGTCATCAACATCATGGTGATACATGTTCCTTTTAGTTCCCACCCAATGCATGTGCATGTGTATCCCTGGGCAGCCTGTGGCCGATTTGGAAAGCTACATGACGAGCATGGAGAAGAAACAGGAATCCATCGAAAAAATGATGCAGAAATTGGAACCATCATCTGATCCAGCAGCCAAGAAGTTTTTTGATTGCAAATGGTATGTTGCCTCTGTTTGTGCACATCTTAGATATAGCATGTGCATGTATGCATGCATCCACCTAAATTACAAGCCTTGAGCCTATGTAGGGTTAAATACCAATGCTCAAATGCATGTATATTGCCTATATATTATATTGCAACATGGTTTCCCTATAGCTGTTATATAATATGCTGTTATATATATTTCATCTCAGGCTTCATGATGCTCTTCAACCCGTTCTGAATGAGTTGAAGGACAGCTACAATACTTTTTCTACCTACATCACTGAATTGAAGATGGAGCACAAAGATGGCAAAGTTGCTAGCGCTGAACTTTCTGCGTTGCTTGTATGAAACATAGACAGCTTGAGGTTGACCCAATGGGCTTTTGGATTTAAAGGAACACTTGTATCAAACATCCCATCGCAAAACAAGCTGTGGTTTGGGCCTCTAGTCATGTGATATAATAGGAAAGAGATTGATGCATGCATGTCCTTCAACCATTACATTTTGCATCAAACCATGCAAGCCCTGGGTTCTTGATACTTGGGCCTGTGGCCTCCATGAATGGTGGCAATGATCATGATGACGATTCTGAAGAATGGCTTCAAGAGTTGATCACATACAACCGGGAGGCGCCATGCAATTGCATGCACTTCTGGTATATAGATACAAAGAAAACACAGAGTGTGGTAGAATCAACATATGCACGAATCCCCTAAACAGGCACTCTCTTATAGCCTTGGCCAGGCCAGCGTCACTAGATCACCAAATCTAAGACCAGATGATGCAGGTGGGTTTGCGAAATGCAATTCATCTCCATTATATATAATTCATGAGTTGAAAAGCATTACCATCATTATCAGTCCACATGTGCCACCATATCCCCGACAGTCCTTGCAAAGCGACATCGACGGCGCAATCACTGGAAAGATGTCCTGGATCAAGCGACGCTATCCCTTTCAAGGACCCAAAGGTGTTTCGAAGCCATCGAGCAAGATGACAAACTAGATTATGCCCTGCCAACCAGACCCAATATGCAAGCAGGCTTGATCGTGAAACACTGTTGTGAAACTATAGACAACTTGTTAGATGCCCAGAAGCCTTGCGCCTACAAAGTAGGGTACACGCATGATGCCAGCTTTCGATGGCATAATCCAAAGTATGGCTATCGATGGGAGAAAATGAAATGGGAAAAATTAATTGTCATATATGCTGCATCCGAAACAATCTCGCCCGCATTCATCGAGGGGGCATTGATACAGCGAATGAAGGGATCCTTGAATGCACACAATGTCGGAGTTGTGCAAAACCTTGCATTATATGCGATGATGATGAACTGCTGCATCAAAGTTGAATAGCATTTTCATCAAAGGACTGTATATATAATGATTGGCTTTCCTTATATATATATATATATATCTAAGGACTCTCCGGGTGCCAAAATGTGCGTGGAGGGGAATCCATCCTTTCGGGTGATGACGCAGCTGGACCCTTCTTTGTCTATGTGGTTTTCCGATCATTTAAAAAACCTCGTGCGGCGATGATGATGATGATGATGATGCACCAGCTGAGGAAAAAAAACATGCATGCTTATATGCTTGCACTGCACCGCATTCACCTACATGGCATGTGCAACAGAACATGCAGCCCATACTTCATGCATGTATATGCCCGTAGTCCCCACATGTTTCCTCATGGCACCCACCAAGAACTGAGGCTGTTGAACAAGGTGGCGGATGAAAAAAATGTGGTGCGGAAATCGTTCCTTGGACCCAACGTGATCCAATTTAACATTAATTTTTGTGAATTGATAATCTTATATAGTAAAAATGAATCCCAATATCCAATCATATACAGCATGGTGCTTATCCCCAACCCATCACGAGCTTATATCCCCAACCACACAGCATCATCATGTTCCGAGGTGTGCAGCCTTTCTCCCCTTGGATGCTCGTTTCAGGCAGGGGCATTTGTGGCGACTTAATTGCCCAAGTCACCCACCTCAAGCATTGATAAAACAACCTCCTTTCAACTATATATATTTTTTGTCCAGTCCAGGACCCATGTTGCAAAACCAATGTTTTTTCCCGATACCATCCAGCCCTTCTTCTGCCACAGGGGGTTGGTCAAAGATCTGAAGCTTGACGACAACAAGAACGTCAAGAGCAAGAACAAGGGCGGCAAGAACAAGGGCAATGGTGACGCGTCCCGTCGTGGAAAGGGTTCAAAGTCCAAGTCTAAGGGATCTTCGGGTTCAAAGGTTGACAAGCCCAAAGAGCGGAAATCCAAAGGTGCCCCTTCAAAGAAGAAAAAGGTACCAAGGACTCCGGCCACTGATGAGTCAGCCCCTGCAGCTGATCAGCCCAGTCCTGCCAAGAAGAGCAGGAAGAGTAAGGCAAAAGCCTGAGTGCAAGATGGTGACTTGAACCATGCAAGATGTTGAGTAATCTCATGAAACCTATTGATCCATATGTCTGAAAGATTTATAGGTAAATATAGCTTACTGTACTGGATTTCCCATATCATCTGAATTCAATTTGATGTGTTTTGTTCAGAATGAAAATCCAATGTGATTTGTGGTTCCACCATTTTTGATGCACTCACAATTCTGGGTTTACCATCTCCATGTGCCGAACACATGGACCAGTTCCTTTTGGGGTTATGTGTGATTGATCCATGCGCTGTGGATTACCATAGCTGGGTCAAGCTCAAGACGCAGGCCATGAAGTGCCACAATCCAGCCAGCTTAAAGTGATCGATGAAAAGAACTTTTGCGATTGGATCACCATGCAAGCATACAGCTAAGTGCAGCTATATGTTAAAACCATATATAGATATATATAGAAAACCACAGGGGTCATCACCCACCAACCCGGCATGCCAGGTCCCTCGCATAAGGCACGGCAGTTGGCATTCAAGTACGGACGAGGAGTGTCTAGGTTGCAAGCTGTTTCAGCCCATATTTTTTCTGCAAGGTTGCAACCATAGATTGAATATGTCCTTGCTTGCGTTGATCAGTGCTTTGATTATATAAGATCAATGGTTGATGGGTGAACTGTATATGGTAGTGGGGTGGCACCCCCAGCATGTTGAACTTATCAAGCTAACCTGGTGAGCTCTAGTCCCATATAAGCTTTTTCTATGCGTGACTAAAATATGCATGTTTCAACATTTATCATCAAACATTGGGGCATTAGTTTCAAGTAAAGCTGCTTGATATAGAAACTATAAAGTCTTGACCCTGTATCATGCATGATTAATCCCATTCATTCATGCACTGATATCTTCAGGAACGGTGCAGCGACATCCTTGATTATGCGGCTGCAGAAGTTCGAGACCACAGAGATGGCTTCCAGTCGTCGTTGACCAGCTGCCCGGTTCTTCATCTCTGGCTACTGCTGACCGGGGAAAAGCTGTTACTTTGATCAAAGTGTTATATACCTTTTCCTGGCCATGGTTTTATTTCCAAGTTGTCTTCTATTTTTGGGGGTGGGCTACCAAACCAGGATGGTTTTGCTTATCCTGGCATGCATGTTTTATGTAAGGGTAATGGTTATTATCATGCATGGTTTCTATTTAGTCATTCATGGGTCCATGAACAGTTAAGGAAAGTGCTGTCACTTCAGTCTTCCGGGCCAACAATTTCTACTACCCAGTAGAGGTAACAACGGAAGTTTCTCCTCCTTTGACATCATTTCCATGGATCAAGCCATCAAACTTTCTTGGGGCAATGTCAAAGATGAACGACCTAGACCACTTGCTTGGAGGGCTTTCTTTGAAAGAATCCCGTGGAAGGCTAGTCAATTTTTGGGAGAAATACCGACGGCTGTACCCACAGCATCAGCTGTGGCAACAAGTTGATTCTGGTCAGAAAGAAATTCAATCCTGCATACCAGTCCTACTGCATGGCGACGAAGGAGTCACCTACAAGAAGAATGGACTATTAGTTTTGAGTTTTCAGGGAGTTATTGGACATGGATGTGGCAAGCGAGTTGTACATGACAACTTGAGAGCACAGTCCGATGGAGTTCCATTAAACTTTTTGCGGACTGGATTCCAGACACGCCTGCTCATTTGTGTGTGTCCGAAGGACCTTTCAGTTGTGGTGTTTCCATCCAATTAGTTGCTTCTTTTTTAATATATATTGTCGTTAGGGATCATGCACGGTTTGGTTGCTAAAAAGTCCATGTTTGTCATTTGGAACCAAAAGGTACTAAAATTCAAAAAAGTCGATCTATATATGATCATCCTGGGAGATATTTTATTTAATTGCTCTTATATACCTTATAATATCGATCATGTATATGCCTATATATGTCTGCGCTATGCAGGAAGTGTATGCAGAAGATCCCCGGGTGTGGAATGCAATTTTTGAGATCGTGGTGGCGGACCTTCGGAAATGTGAAACTGAAGGGATTCCATTGGGAGGTGATCAGGGCCGTTTTTTTCCAATTATCTTGAACACCAAAGGTGACTGGAGTTACTTGGATACCTGGTTTTGAATTATAGGAATGTACAAATTCAACTTTTTGGTTCAAGGGTTTTGGCAGTTTTGGCAATATATTTATAGGTATCATGATTGATTCATCATATACTTGTTTAATCTTGTTTAACTGCACATGAGGCCATTCACTTTCAAATTTTTAAGGATTAACTATACAGCCTATACTACCAGCACTGTAAATAACAAGGATAAATGTTACAAATCCCAAACAGTCGCTACCACTGATTCAAGGTATCGGCTGGCAACTTGGAAAGATCCTACAGACGAGCTCCAAAGGGTGCAGGGGATGGTGGCGATTACGGAGTTCAGGGAGGTGGGATTTGCCACCTTTGTACCTGTGGTCAAGGGGTCGATTGGGAAGACCTGTCACTTGGTTGGGTTTTGATTTTTATCAATCATTTTGGCATTCACGGTTTTGAAGTTATAATCAAGGTTATATGGTTAATTGTTCAATTATATTCTTTGGTTGGTGTCATTTATATGTACGATTGGTCATAAAGCCTGGGTTTTGTATTGAAACACTGCGTTTTTTTTGAGACAAGTTAACCATACTCAGGGGTGCAGCAAAGGCTGCCATGGACCAAGCATTTCAAGTTGAACTTCCACTACCATGGACTAGAGAATCCCCTTTGACACGTGAGCTATTGGTGGATGGCAGTGTGAACGGAAAGACGAGGTTTTACCAATTGGATGTTTGGCACAGCATACATCTTGGCATTGGCAAAACATGGATTGGAGGTGGAGTGATGATGTTATCAACTCTGGTTCCGGGATCCAACCATGATGAGAGAATATCTGTTATCGCATCTGAGTACTTGGCATTTTGTCGCGAAGCTCGTTTGGACCCCATTATCCGGAGAATTGATTCCCGTACTTTTGGGACAACAACTGATCCTACAGGAACCTGGAGTAAAGCTGGTGTAACCTCCAGCTTTATGCTCTTCCTACAACAGTTCTGCGAGAAACGGGCTGAAGCAATTCAGTGCAATGATCGCTTCCGGGTTTTTGTTCCTTTCCTGTATGTTGGGGTTGATTTTTACTTTTTATCTGACAATTGATTTTCTGACAGATGGATCAAAAACATTGTGTGATGGTTTACATTCAAATATAGATTTGGTTCTTGTATATAGTTGTGGCACCTTAAACTTAAAAGCAATATACTCGATCCATGTTACTACATTTTTTAGGTGGATTCCAGGGATTGTTGTGCAGGGCTTTTTTTCATGCATTATATGACCAACGACTCCATGCAAACCCATGTGGTTCATTCTGCCTTGCAAGGCTGCTGGAACGGAAAAGGTCAACTTCTTTATGAGAGAGGTCTATGGAAATGATGCGCTGGTGCCAAGTGAGACAGGGTGTGTGATGGCTACTGCCCTCCAAGATTTTGTCCGGGCATATATGTTTGAAGCTCATACTGCCTATGGATTGGGGCTTTCTCACTTTCCCCTGCATCCAAAACTTCATGCATTGCACCACATAGCCCACGAGATTTTTAGAGAAGCGGAAATTTCCGATTATGTTCTCAACCCTGGGGTATTTGCATGCCCCATGGACGAGGATTTCATAGGACGCACTGCAACGATCAGCCGTTGCATAAGTCCTAGAATAATATCAAAGAGGACTTTGGAACGCTACCTCTGTCACATCCAACTGGCATGGGCAAGAAGCTGAGGAAAAAGAAGTGGAGTTAGAGGGCGGGTGGGATGATGAGAGAATGTGAAGAATGCAGTGCTGTTCCAACAAAATGATGCTTCAAGTTGTGGTTCAAGGATTCAGTTTTACCATTAATACCAACACACCAAATCATATATAGATTGGGAACCATTGGATGTGCTAATTTAGGATGTTATTTTGATCTATTTAGACCATAATAGCAGGGACGTGAATACCCGTACAGGGACGTGAATTTTTATGGGGTACGTACTGTAGACGTGAACACCCGTTCAAGGATATGAATCTTCTATTTTTATGTGAATTGTTAGCTTTTAACATCATGGCCAGGAAAAGGTATCCCAGGAGGAACGCAGGTATATATATATATATATTCATGATATTAATTGTATTATATTATTTAGATATTAGTAAATGGTTTGTCATTAGTTCTATATCCCTAGATATATGATCATTATTCAAATACATATTATGTATATATATATATACATATGTGTGTGTGTCATAGTCCGAATGATTCGCAGGTTACCCAGATACGATCACCATCCGGCATCGCCTTCTTCACGGCTGCCTTCGCCACAGTCTCCACTCGTGCATGTGCCTTCGCCTGCATCGTCGAAGATCTCTACAGATCTCTACAAAGTGGGGCCAAACGATAGCCAAAATGATTTATAAATTCAATTTCAGTATGGTTGATGATACTTTTTTTTAGATCTTAGAAGTATAGTTTTCATATGTTTTCATGGGATTTACAAACCAACATCACTGGGGGGCCCCATCGCAGCCATTTGTTGGTACTGGTTATTTCTACAGGATTATACCCTCCATAAATATGGGGTGACTTAGTACTTATCACTGTTAAAACTCGGGCCATAACTGTAGAGATATAGCCACTGAAATAGCCCGTTTCACAGGCATTTCACTGGCTTATTTTCTAACCCATTCAAGTGATATATATATATATATATATACATATACACATATAATCAACATTAATCAACCAATTCCAGGAGTTCTTTCATCCCATATCGTGGTGTTGTTTTGCTTTTGGGTGGATCGTAGTGCATCTTTCAATGTCAATTATGTTAAATCATCGAAGTCTGTGTTTTCTTCCGGATCCATGTAAAAACATTCAAGCTAGGATTTCAGTCTTTACTTTCTATTCAAAAACTGGTATTCCCGTGTATTCCCTAAGAAAAATTGAACATTTTACGAGCCTGAGAGGCCTGCCATAGGAAAACTATTGATCCAAACGGTCGATTTTCCGGAAAATCACAGCAATTTGGCCACTGGAAACCATGGAGATTCTTAACAATTCTCTAGCGGCTGCTGGTGATACCAAACAGGGGAATATAGTAATGAGATGTAATGAGGCTGTGTCACGTACATGTTTGGTGATACACCATAAAATGATATTGACTTGCATATATACAAGCAACACGTTACGTGTCAATCCAAATCCAAGTCAATACTGACACAATCAAGCGAAGCCACAGCTATATTATCAACATGTTATATAACAACCAGCGGTTAACACAAGAGACTATATCACCAAAGCAAAAGATGGGAATATCATTTCACCACACATGAAAAGTAAGTTGTGCACAAACAAAGATTGCAGAACTTTGGCCGGGAATTGTCGCGGCCATTTCCCTGTTCAGCATTATTTAGATACAAAAAGCATCTATCCTCTGTTAGTTAACATAGCCATGGAAAATGGCTCATTTATAGATGGTTTACCTATCAAAAATGGTGATTTTCCATGGCTATGTTAGTCATAACCAGATGGAAACATATTCAACCAGCTGGTTCAATTCCGTAGGAATACGTGCACAGAAATGGGTTTGTTCAAACATAGGATACTCTCCATGTAGGAATTTGACCCATAAAATCCCCTAATTTTATAGTAAACATAGGATACTTCCCAAATTGCCATCACTCGAATCCCTCGTATTTGGACCAGGAAATCATGTTCTACAGCTATGGCCCTTGACAAATAACTTGCGAACAAGAAAACACACTTGAGTGATATGGGTATGGATCAATACCTATTAATACCATTTTTAGGGGGATGAACATCCATTTACCAGCTATTTTGATGTGAACTACAGGGGTACAAGGTTTTGACACACTGCCATATATATATACATATATATATATAACCAGTTGCACGAGTTATTTCATTCCATGGCCATCACTATCAAGGGCTATAAAGTGTAGTCAAGTGGGTGCATTTTTTCTGTCACGAAAATCCCTGATGGCATAGCCCGGTCATAGCCACCAACTTTCGCTCCTTAAAAGTCTCTTCATTCACAGTGGGTGCCTGGGGCGTGAGACGAATCTCTATCCCCAGGAATCTCTTGGAAAACGTGGTGAAAAGACCATCACTGACCATGATACTATCTAGTGATGCATATGCATAATATATATATATATAATTATATAGATATATACAGTACAAACATGTATCCAGTTGTATGGTGATTTACGGGTATATAAACCTTTAAAAAAGACATAAATAAACATCAATAAACAGCAAAAACATGCAAAAACATGGAATATGTAAACCAATAAAACATGGAATTCCGAATGGAAAAAAACCAATCAAAGCTTCAACCAAAAATGTTGATGCAACAAATCCGAACGCTACTGGTCACCTGGTTTTCTCGTCCCCGAATCTGGTAGTAGCTGGAAGATCCTCCCTGACAGCACCAAACATGGCATATGGCCGAGTTTATGAAGTCTTCTTTCCGAAAATGACTGGTTAATATACTGCTTAATAGTGGTTTTTCGCCTACCATTGTGGTGAATATAGTGGTTAATAATGGTTAATATTATTGGTTATTATATGGTTAATGATGGTTAATCATAATCTGGTTGGTGGTTTTTCGCCTACCCCTCTGAAAAATGATGGAGTGAAAGTCAGTTGGGATGATGAAATTCCCGATGGAAAAATAAAAAATGTTCCAAACCGCCAATCAGATGAGATTCATCCCCATTTTCAAGGCTCAAACATGCAGCTTCAAGTGTGCCAGAGAACCATTTTGGATAGTCTCAAATCCTTGCAACGCGTGCACCTGACCATTTTGTCGCTATGCAACCAATGTAAACATACGGTTACCCAATGATGGGTTTGCAATACTTCACGAAACAGAGAACAAGGTTCTGGGACCTGAGAGGCGTTCCCAAATTTGAAGCAACGTGACAACAATTCCGTTGGAAATGTTGACACTTAAAGTGACTAGTATAACATCTTGTCTTTGTTTTTTCAGTTGTAACAAGTGACTAACATCTTGTCCCTGACAGCTTTACTTTGTGGACACATCTTGTCTTTCCGAAAGCCAACGTAGTCAACAGGGGGTCAAAGTTGTCCAAACCTGGCATGACCACGAAACCCGTATACGCCATATACCCTTGATATGCCTTGCACTTGCTGCACTTGCGTCACATGTGAACTGGCATCTTCAAAAGTCTTGAAATGGGGAGAGCCAGCCCCAGGCATTTAAGAGCACTTACATGTACAAAGTATGACATTTGTGTATACCAATATATATATATATTACAATGTGTGTCTACATGTATGCCTAGCTATATACAAATAATGTATAACCAGATTGTGTATATCTATATATATATATATATGTATATACCCTCTGGTTATCTAACATAGCCATGGAAAACCACCATGTTTAATAAGTAAACCATCTATAAAAATGGGGCATTTTCCATGGCTATGTTAAATAACCAGAGGGTATATGTAATCAATTTAACATAACTATGGAAAATCACCATTTATAGTGAATTTTCCAATTAAACATGGTGATTTTCAATAGCTATGTTAAATTACCAGAGTGTATGTCATATGTCATCATATTAATGTGGCTTTGTCTGAAAATAAGGATTGTCACCAACTCCAATGGATTACCATGTGGTTTTTTTCCTCAGACAGAGGTGTGGATAATCCGCCATTCGTAGATCTTCAGGGAAACCAGGGATTTTTAACAGATGAACATATGAGTTTACCCTAGGATAATCACCATAAATCACCATAAATCACCATAAATCACCATAAATTACCATAAATCACCATAAATCACCACTATTAATCACTATATATATATTAACCATTAACCATTATTATTATTCCCATTCACACCAAGACACGTAAGATTTCATGGTGCTGTCGACGGCGGAACCCGTCAACGTTAGGAGGTTGTCCACGCCTCTGACAAGACGCGTACCGCGACATGCGCTGAGTTGACTCATAACTTGGTTAATTACCATCTGGTAAACTAACATAGCTATGGAAAATCACCATTTTTAATGGGAAAACTCACTATAAATGGTGATTTTCAATAGCTATGTTAGTTTACCAGAGGGTATGGTTTATGGATGTTTATGGTAGATATATGGCAGTGTGTCAAAACCTCGTACCCCTGGTGAAAATCAAAATAGCTGGTAAATGGATGTTCATCCCACTAAAAATGGTATGTATAGGTATTGATCCATAGCCATATCTATAATGTGGTTAAAACAATGCCATAAACCATCCATGACTGGGAATGGTTTCTACATACCACCCATGGTGATGACTGGGGCATTGCAAATCGCATTGTTTTAACCACATCATGCTGCTTATATAACTAACATAACTATCGAAAATCCCCGTTTTTCATGGGTAAATCAACTTTTTCTATGGCCACGTTCAATGGCTATGTTTGTTCACCAGAGGGTATCTATAGAGTTATAAATGATGGTTTATAAACCAAGTTAAAACTGGCAGCACGGCCTTCTAACCGTGGGTTGAAGCAATCAATATGGGTCCCATAATGGGCATAACCTCTGGTAAACTAACATAGCTATTGAAAATGGCCGTTTATGGTGGATTTTCCCATCAAAAATGGTGATTTTCCATAGCTATGTTAAATTACCAGAGGGTATCATGTGGATAGCCAAGTCCATATGATCATAATTGTGGTCATCAATTCCCTAACGCGAATCCAAACGTAATGGGTATGAACATCCCTATATATTAATGAAACGAAGAATAACGAATCTCATTTAGGTCATAACCAACCAGTTGCAGGAGTTATTTCATCCCATTGATGTTAAATATGTTAAGGAGTTAAGGGCCATAGCTGCAGAATGCGGCCTTTCAATGTGTCATTTGGGGATCTTGGGATCAGGTGGGCCCCCAAACTTCGCTGATTCACTGAGGTGGGGCTCCAATCTCAACTTGAAAATGGCCCAGTCGAAATTTCGTTGATTTACCCATTGATGGCATGGTGGATCTTTCCATAGTTAAACTTTATTTTTAGATATGTTTTTAGTGGGTAAATCAACCTAATCAACTATTTCAATGGCCATAGCTTCAATAGCGAACTGTTTTTTTTTCCAGGCCGGGTACAATATTTCACGAAGCTTTTCAGTTCGGCCGGGGATGATTCCCCATGATCCCCACAATAATAGTGTCGCGGTGAGGTCTTAGGTGGGCCTGATTTATCCAGATCCTGGGAGTACCATCTGGTGACTAACACTTCGCGAAGTGGAAAGATCCACCACTTTTTTAATGGGAAAACCATGGGAAAACCATGGGAAAATGGTGATTTATACGGAAAGTCAGCATTTTTAAGAGGTAAATCAACTATTTCTAAATGGCAATTTCCCAGTTCGCTACGTAACAAATTACCAGAGGGTACCATACTCTCCAGCAAAGATGGCCATGGAAAGATCCACCATTTTTAAGAGGTAAACCATCTATTTCTATGGGCCATATATACCATGGCGAACTGTTAGTCATAACCAGAGGGTATCTCAAATCCCCACCTTCAGAATTTGAGGGACCCAAAAAACAAACAGCGACGAGTTTTTCGACGAACATATGCCATACCAGGGGCCGGTATTCCCGTCATCTGTTGGCTCTTTGGAGCCGACATTTGCAGATCTTTTTTTTGCGGGAATTGCAGATCTTTTTGCTGGAGATTGGACTAAACCTAATACTATCCCAGATGCTCCATGTATCGCATATTTACCTACATTTGGTTGATTTTTGGGGTAAATGTAGGTGAATATTCCATACATGGAGCATATGGCTATGTTAACAAAGTGTTAAGAATTTGAACGAACCCAAAAAAAACAAAAACCATGTATACTTGAAATTAAGAATTTGAGGGACCCTGGACTGTAAATATTTGTATTCTTATGCAACGCTCAGGTTGTATAGTATTCGCAGTGAATCTCAACCAAATCATAACTGGGGGGCCCACATTGTAACCATCATCGCTAGTTGATATCCGATTGTTATCCCATGAGTATCCTAAATTATCCCTATTAAACAATGTTCAACCGTATTATTTCCGTAGTCTCCACTGGAACAGTGACGATTTCAGGCGCCTTCTTCTAGTTCGTCGATCACATCCACGGCTGTGGTCAGCCACTGTGTCACCTGCCACTGTGGCGCCCAAAAAACGTTAGCTAAGCACCTATACAGTGTAGTACTTCAATACCTTGTTAAGTTTTATAAGCACTTCAATAAAAGTACTTACAAAATCTGATAAAACTATTATAATTGGGTTTATAACTTGGTTTGGTATATCGAAATAGTTTAAAGCGTTTGTAAACCAAGAAACGTAGGTGGGGCGGCACCACCTCGTGAGTGTGTCGATATGCATCCAAAGAAGTTGCTGGAAATATGATAATGTGACCTATCTACTGTAAACATGTCGTAAGTGCGGATAAGGTAACTGGGTGGACGTCCACAATTAGCTAGTAGATGGTAGGAAGATAACCAACAAATGCATAGCATGGTGCTTCGGCAGCATCGATCATAAAAGACCAGACTCCTCAGTTTCAATGGATCGATTTGGGAAAAAAACTACAGTCGAAAGTATGGGTTTTGCCATCCAAAAAAAACTTACTGGTGTGTTTTACGCAGGGAATGGATGGGTTGCTGGGGGTTGCTGGGATTATCATTGATAGTTAGCCAGTGGATCATTCCCGAAAATTCCCTGCGTTTAGCACCAGTAAGAAAAGGGAGTTCAAAAAAAAAAACATCATCCAATTCTGTGACAATTTTTACTGGGGTCATCTCCCAACTCTCTACAGGAGCGAGTCAACTGAGAATTTCGGCAGAACTTTGGGAGCCAACCAAAAAAAACTCAAGCCATCGGAAGAGCCCCCCAAACCCGGATTTATGGTGGGTATATGATATCTATCTATCTAATCTAATCTAGTCGAGTCTATTCTATTCTATTGGATTGTATATAATTCTATCTATAATATCTAAAGTCCCCGCTGCGCACGTCCGGTGCCCCAAAATATACCCAAAATGGTCTCCAGATTCTCTTTGGAAATGTTACATGTTTTCTATCTTACCATCTGAGAATTACATCATTTCTATGTGGCAGCGACCGATGTCACACCTCATGAGGTGACTTCAACCCATCCCAAGATACCGTGAGATATGCCTGACTGAGATACTATCTTTCTGGCGATCAAAACAAATTTCAAAAAATCGAAAAGTAACAGTCAAACCAGAATAGTGGGTTGTTTTAAGTTTTAATTAAAACCAGGATGGTTTTGCTAAAACTGCATTCATGTTCAACCCCGAACCTAGGATTTCAATCTATATATCCTATTTCGAATATTCCCGATCTAAACTTTCCCAAAACCTGGATCCACTTTATCGAAGTCAGGCAAGCTATGTTCAAAAGCTGGATCTATGTGCCGTCAAAACCTGGAAGAAACAAGATATGGTCCCTTAACCATCATTAGAGCCTCCCAGTGGCTATATTTACCCCTATGAATTTTTGGTCGGATGACCATCCCCGAACACATTGCGATCCACAAGCCATGCTTTAAGAAAGAGGCCACGGTACATTTCAAGGTGCCGCCCGAGTTATGTGAACATTGGTGTCTAAACCAGAGTAACTATATCTATATATATACACATAAATCTACCATAAAGAAGTCATAAACTAGTTGTTTATATAGCTAAAACATACTAGTAATTACTTCAGTTGTTTTAAAATTTTAGCTGAGTTGGTTTCGAAATCTTCGATAAACCCTAGTGAACCTGAAGTCATCTTCACCAACTCAGCCAACGAACTGCACTAGTGAGATCCTTTGACCATGCCCAGTGACATTGTGCATCGCGGGCGTCAATTCATTGTCCAAAGCATGCCTCTGTCATGTGTGTTGCGCGGCAGAGGACAACACACAAAATGGATATTCCAGTTATAAGTGGATATGTATCTATTTTTTACCTTTCAGTACTTCGTAGACCATATATTGTATGGGTCAAAACTGGGTATATCGCCCAATAATAAGATGGTTCATGTCAATCCCATCACCCTAGTATTAAACACCCCAATTTATGGTCCCAATGCAATGTGGAAATTCCCTACATCCACCATGGTTCTAAGGGGGTGTTTAATAATGGGGAGAAGGGATTAATAATGATTAATATATGCTCCATGGTGCTGGAATACTTACCTAATTACATAGCTGAGCTATTCTTGGGGTAACTGTTTGTAAACAAATCCAGTACCATGGGGCATTAGGGGGTATATATTTATAATCTACATATAGATACCCTCTGGTAAACTAACAATTCTATGGAATATCACCATTTTTAATGGGAAAACTCACTATTTCTATGGCCATTTTCAATAGCAAACTGTTTAATTACCAGAGGCTATGTTGTATATAGTTGTATCAGATGATTGAGGTGATGCCTGAAAATCAAATGCCTAAAACGCAACTTGTTGACTTCCCTGTGAAACAAAAAGAACGATGGAACTCTCTCCCGGCTTCATGGGCCGCATCATGTTTTCCTCCGGGTTGTGCAAAGTGAAAAGAAAGCGCACAACAAACAGTTGAAGCCCTTTAACGGGTATAAATGGTTATAAACAGGATTATCATTCCATAAATTGCTATAAATTCATCTTGGTTGTGCATGTTCATGTATGTATTTGAATATCCCAAGCAATTAAACATCATTTCATACTGTTTGTTGCTATCAAAGTGTGTCTGAAAACCCTTCAGGGCCACGGCTTCCAGGCTGGTGTGTTTACCCGGCCTGGTAAACATTAAAAAAGCTATTGAACATGGCCATTGAAATAGTGGATTTACCCATTAATAGCATGGTGATTTTCCATAGTTACGTAAACGTTTACCAGAGGGTAGAGGATGGGGTTGCTTGGGATGTTCATGGAGTTGAACTTTAGTACTCCCCACCTCTGAAGGTATATATTCCTGGAGAACAAACAAACACAGAAAAAAAAACATAATATGTAGAACTCATTGGGTAATATTAGGTACCATTTATGGGTTATCGCCCAACAGCCATGCACATCATAAACCAACCGACCAACCAGTTATATTTAGTCCCCTTGGCTCGATTGGGGGGGTCATCCGACCGTGATCTTTCCTGGGTATATCTCAACTTGAAGACAAGCTTGAACTCCGTGTACATCCAGCAAGAAATCAGGGTTTCTTTGTAGTAAGGTTCAGATTCCCTACACAACAAAGATGATTGGAACTGGGAACAAAAACACAATTTCTTGAAGTTCTTTGGTTTTTCGCCAAACTCCCGAAAAATATTAGAATTAATTGGGGTCACCAACAAATTTGATGACAGAAAGATAAAAACACCTTTGGAAACGCCAAGCGTATTTCCATCAAGATTTGGGTTTGTCCGGAAATGAAATACCTCAAAATCCAGCCGAATAAAACCTGAAGTTCCCTATGAAATACCCTCTGGTTATTTAACAGTTCGCCATGGAAGTCATGGCCCATTTATAGATGGTTTACCTGGGTTTACCTATTAAAAATGCTGATTTTCCATGGCTATGTTAGTCATAACCAGAGGGTATGTGCAATTCCAGGGGCATCTCCCCATAAAATGCGTGGTTTCATGTCCGTTGAGTTCGTCCCCATGTCCGTTGTCTGCGGAAGGGGCTCCTACATGCGATATGTTCTCCGAGTTCAAGTCCCCATTCGTATCTCAGTTGTTCTTTTTTGCAACTTTAGTCTGCGGAAATGTATGGAAATTTCATATGAAACGCCATTTGAAGATCAATTTCCGAACAAAAGCCGTAGATTTCCATATCTGGCAGTGTGTCAAAACCTTGTACCCCTGGTGAACATCAAAATAGCTGGTAAATGGATGTTCATTCCCCTAAAAATGGTATTAATAGGTATTGATCCATACCCATCTATGTCTATCTTCATTTACCAAAGGGTATCCACCCAGCTGGGACCCCTAACGTAATACTTGAGGCAACACTGCCCCAACCGCTGGCTGACCTCTCCAAAACAAACGTTTAAAAGGCCGTTTTTGGTGCGGTCAAAACCTATGGTTTTGCACTGAGTTTTATGGTATCAAACCACCAACAAAATGGGGACTCTATGGTAAAACATGGTAAAACGCCTGACTTATCTGATTTCTTCATACAATACAATCCGAGAATTGGTCAAGGGAAGAGGATACCTATGGATACCTGCATAATTCTAAGAGATCTTGCTGCAGGTTTTATGAAAAGTTTGCCAATGAATCAATTCGATGATTTCAACTCTTCAGCAGGCGTTGAGACGGAGCCTCAAAACACTTGGCAAGGCAAGGATCTAAATTGTTGGTATTCCATAGGAAGGGCCCCCAAGTGATAAGTTGGTGCATAGACCATATATAATATTATATAGTCATACATTGTATATTGTGTATATATATATATATATGTATATATGTATGTATATATATATATATATAGAGAGAGCTAATGGCACATGGTCTAGAAACCATATCCAGTATACCATATATACACCAGATATATACCATATATATATATATACCATATACTAATGGCTCCTTATACATATACATTATACATATATATATATGTATATATACACACCATATATACCATATATACTATATATACCATATATACCATCAACCAACGGTTGACATTTCATCAACCAACGAGCCACCGCGTTTTCAGCGCACGGCTGTCCGCACTGGGTCCACTGCTTGCCGAGGCCGTTCAACATCTTCGCAGTGGAGAGGTTTCCCACCAACACCATGATGTGACCTCAGTTTCCACCGACTTGCCGTGGCGGTGTCCGCGGTGTCCGGTGTCCAAATGTTCGGACTCGGTTAGTAACGGTTAGTTGGTTGCGGGGGCCACAAAAAACCAGAACTCACTTGGGTTTATGCTAGATATATCTACAGTTATGCTCAAATATATTGGGATGAAACAACAAATGGACATACAAATATATATATATATAGAGATTTGGTTATTTAACATAGCCATGGAAAATCACCATTTCAATAGGATAAAAAACTTCATCTATACATCATCTATTTCTATGGGTAATTTTCCAGTTCGCTATGTGAAACAACCAGAGGGTAAATCATATGTTATTGCCATTTTCCTCGGGTTAAATCCTATGTTATTGCCTTTTTGTGATGTTTTATGGACATATGGATGGCAAAGATAAAAAATGGGATGAAGGTCATTGGTTAGTCGAATCGGTGCTCCTAACATTTATATATATATATATATATATATATATACCCTCTGGTAAACATACAGAAAACTATGGAAAATCACAATTTTTAATGGGTAAATCCACTATTTCAATGGCCATTTTCCAGTTCGCTATGTAAACGTTTACCAGGCCGGGTATATATATATACCACGTTACAACAGACTCCAAGGCTCATCTAAGTAGTCATGGTTTTTCGGTGCGGTTCCACTTGATGGCTTCATGGGTAGACATCATATCAATGGCCATTTCAGGAAACTAAATCGGAGGTACCTACCATATATAAGGCCTATATAAGGCCTATGTAAGAGAATATCCCCACAAAATATGGCCTTATACGGTACAGTATCTGGTATCTCTATTTTAGGATCCTGAAATTCCCATTGATCATATATCATACTTTAATACAGCTTCAGTCCCAGCAAAAATGGCGTTCTAATCCATGGAGAATTACATGAATTACCAATTTTATAGCCATGAAGAACATACCATTTGGATCCATTTGGATCCAGCTGGATTTCTTGTGGGGTATATAACATTATATAACTACTGTAATTTTCAAGTGGGATACTATTCATATATATATATATGTATATGTATATTTCTATGTAGCTTTCCAGTAGTATTCAGTATATAACTACTAGTGGAATGAGGATCGGTGCAAAACACTGCGAAGGTGATGTCCCAGTTTGGAATCGCGGCATCGCTGGTTGTAAAAACACCAATTTCACTTGGGTTTATGGTAGATATATCTATAGTTCATAGTGGTTATAACATGTTATAACCTAGTTAAAACTGGAGGGTAACGTCCATGTAAAACCCAAGTCAAAGCAGGGCAACCGCCTGTACACATATGATGCACATCCGATCAGAAATCACCAACGGCCGAACGGCCGTGTTTTTCACGGTCAAACAATCTGAGCAAATAAACTCGAAGTAGGCCATCCTTGGACTAATTTCCCTTCATCATCATCATCATCATCATCATCATGATCATCATCATCATCATCATGTATCTGGCTGAATGAGAATAGTTCACTAACCTGAACACTTCGCTGAAGAGTTCGGCTCAATGGGGAATAATCCCCCCGCTACTAGCCGTCTTTCCAATGACGTCACGACTTTGTCTGAGAATAGGGTAGCCCATTCTTTCCAATGGTTCATCCCCTGTTTTGTTTCCGTACCAAAATGGTTATTTGGAGTATAGGTCAAAAATGGGTACCCCAATAATTAATAATAATTAGATGGTTAATACTCAACAGATACATACTAAAATCATCTAAAATCTGTGGTCTAGGGTAAAAAAATGGTCCCATCCCCAATCCTATACGGTAGCTGAGCCAAGGGCATGCCACAGTGGCAATGAAGAGACAACAGGTGCAGCGCGGCACCCCCTGGCGCGACGAGGTGATGAGCCCGTTTTTCATGAGGTTTTTTCAGGGTGATCAATGGGATGTAGCCTCTGGTTATGACCAACAGTTCGCCATGGTATAGATGGTCCATAGAAATAGATGGTTTACCTATTAAACATGGTGATTTTCCCTAGCAAACTGTTAAATTACCAGAGGGTAATGCTGATTTAATGGCATTTACCCGGCCTGGTAAACATACAAAAAGCTATTGAAAATGGCCATTGAAATAGCGAGTTTTCCCATTAATAGCATGGTAATTTTCCATAGTTGTGTAAACGTTTACCGGAGGGTAATGAGGTTTGATGATTTAATGGAATTGAGTCATAGCTGAGTTGACGCGATAAATTTGTTAACTTTTGGGTTGATTAGGGGTATATAATATCGGATATAAATATAGTCAATGGGTTTAGTTGACACAACTTATGACTGGGGGTCCTCACCTTGTATTTAGTTGACCAACACAATAAATGTGAAAACAGAAGATGCAAGGACGTCAGGGAAAAAGACAAGTTGGCAGTTGTGGTTTGTACCAACAGGGCAACCCTTTGAGTCTCAAAGAAACACATGTGCAAAAGTGTGGTCTAGCACCAAACATGTCGGGCAGTCATGATACCCAGACACTTCGGGATTCAATCTCATCTACTGCCACATGATCCCTGACAAGTGTTAAACACCCTACAAATTTAATCTATTTTTAGCTGGCAGCAGTTACCAATTCTCCAATTCTGCTCAATAAAATAATTATAGATATATAATTAGTATCTCCTACCATTCACCGGTTGCTTTCAGCTACCAAAAGAACGATCAAGCTTTGGATGCATCGACTGCCAGTCTCAGATGCCCCTGCCGGCCCTGCAGTTCAGATCTGGTCAGATGAAAATACGGCATTTTGGCCGTTTCATAGGGACAATGATGATTAAGCAGTGGATTTAGGGGAACCGTGGGGAACCGTGGGGAACCCCATTTGTTCCTACTTTCAGACAAAGTGATCCATGGCAAAAGATCAAAGCATCATATCCCTTCAGAAGGGCCAAGTGGACGCCCCAAAAGTACACAGGAAGTGCCCCGTGGCCCGCGCACCATATTGCTCTCCATCTTGTAAAATCTCAGCCGGAAGTCCGGGGGGCAGCATGATGGTGCAGGATGGGTAGATTCTTGTGATGGTGATGATGATGATGATGATGATGATGATGGTGATGATGATGATGATGAATTTGATGAGTTTGATGATGATGAGGAGAAGGAGGAGAAGGAGGAGGAGGAGAAGGAGGATGGTGGTGAAATGTGCATTCACATATTCTTCATTGGAAGCATATCTAGTTTTCAGATCCATGTTTGCTGATTAGCTCGCAGCCAGCCAAAGTACTGAGCCCCATTTTCTGCGGTTCATCATTAAGCAAGAAAAACCGTTTGGAACGACGACTGCGTGGGGTCTTTGCAATTCACACAAACAGATACAGAAACGGCAGTCATTCGAACTTCATGTTGTCTTTTTGGTAAATCTTCAGTTTTGCTGGTAAAATCTCCTTGACTCTGTTAATCCACCATTTTTCTTGGTAAAACCATGTAAAACCATGTAAAAGCAGTATTTGAGTTGGCAACATCTGCAAGATGTCCGGTCTTTGCTGATTCCCACATCCACCCCCACACGTTGACCCGCGATATCTTTGCCAAAGACACCACGAAGAAAAGGTTCAGTTCAGGATAACCCACACGGCTCGCCAAAAACGCGGGCCGATCTGGAGCCAAAACCATGGGTAGAACAAGGCGGATGGCTACCATTTCTATTGGGGATTGAAAACCATCAACCAATTTTGGGGAAACACGGATTTGATGATGTAGCAACCATGGCATCATGATATTAATCATAAAATCATAAATATGAAGTTTCATCATCCAATTAAGGATATTACGGTATACACTTAGTTTCCTCATGTTAGCTAAGTCGGGCGTGTTACTTCAGCCCACCTTGGCGGACGCGAAGCCGCGAATCGGAACGTCAACGAAGCAAGGATCGGTAAGGTCCAACGATCGCTATGATGTTTCGATAGTTTTCAAAACCAAAAAAAATAGTCAAATGGATGAATCAATTGAACTATTAGTTATTATTAGTTGACATTTTCCATACTATAAGTTAGATTACTTGGATTTGCGTCAGGGGTTCCCACAAAAATAGTCAATGATTAACCATGATTCCAGGCTTCGAACAGTGAGGTCGTTATAATTTACCCAGAACTATACTATATATGTACTGTTATCTTGGATTTGCTGATTCGGGGTTCCCAAAAAAACATATTCACTTAATCGATTCCCCAGTCATGGTGGATTTTCCATGGGGAAAATAATCGCCGACTAATTAAGCAATTTATATATACGCGTCAACTCGGCGATCTTTTTGGAGGCCTCACCTTAACTGTTTTGTAAATGGGATGAAATAACTGCAGCTAAGGTCAAACATATCACTTAAATTCACTTAAATGATGTGTTCTCAGCCAGTTATATCTGTTGGTAAATATTCATAAATATTCATAAATATTCCATACATGGAGCATTGGGGAATAGACAATCTGTTCAAAAAAAATCATTGTTAGGTATCCCCTAGAGTTCAGAATATTGGTAGTCAAAATTGGGTACACGGGTACCCCAAAAAAAGATGGTTGACAAAAATCTGTGGTCCTTGAGTCTAATTTTTTGGATCATTCCCCATAAACATGGTAATAACCATGGCTAGCGGTAATGAACGTATTGACCGCAAAAAATTGCCTACTTGCTATAGCCCTTCACAGTTGTAACTGGCTAAGAAAGCCTAAGAAACCTCATTTCAGTGATACCCTCTGGTAAACGTTTACATAACATTACATAACTATGTCAAATCACCATTTTTAATAGGTAAATCAACTATTTCTATGGTCATTTTCCAGTTCGCTATGTTAGTTTCGCAGGCCGGGTATGTTTCACCAGTTGAAGGAGATCTGGTTCATCCCATGGCCATGGCTTAGCCATATAATCCCATGACAGATAGTAGTAATATGTAGTAATCATTGAACATCAATTGTGATTGTATCGTCAATCATGTGTGTATAATAATAATAATAAATAACAATAATAATAATATATGTCATATACTTATATACTGATATAGCAAATGTCTATTGGTTGAACTCCCAAATGTGTTTTCACACGGGACGAACGACATCATTCCGAGCGTTCACCGGTTGCCGCTCTGGGCTGGGCCCGGTGGTTTCGCCGGTGTTTCGCCGTGTCAGCCGTGTCAAGTGCGTCAGGTGGCACGAGCAAAAGATCAGCGTTCAGGCGGAACCGGACATTTCGGAACTTGAAAGAACTGGATGAAGATACAGCATGATACAGCGGAAAATGTGGCTTACTTTAGGTTCATAACATCTATAAACCAAGAAAATTTCGGATCATTGTTTAAACTAAAACTGGGAATTATGTAGTTTATAATTGTTTAAAACCAACTATATATGTACTTGAACATTGTTGAAAGTACCCCGCCTTAGATGGTTAATCATGATTGATGTTTGTCCATTAAATAACAATTTGGCGCATTTGCAGGGTATGTATACCTTAATTTTTCAGACACTCCCCTATATCACAAAATATCTGGACATTAAAACCTTCACCAAAAAGAAACACGCCAGGTTTTAGGCATGGTCAAATATCTCATTGAAAGGGACAACTTGATCAACTCAAAGATCCTTGGGGATCTCTATTGATGATCAACTGATTCAAAGATTGGGATCCAAGTTTAAATCGCAAATGAAGAAATCATGGAATTCACGAGAAAACAATGAAAACACCAAGAAACACAACCTTGGCTTGTTGCCAGGGTTTACCGGTTCATCTCTAACAAATTAAGACAAGACCGGAAAAGCAGCCAAACTAAAATCGCATATAATGTGGGATGGTATCCCCAAAATAGTATAATCTGCTATCAAAATTCGCACCTTCTATCCATCAACTGGATGGTTATTACTCCTGGGTTAAAATTAAATAAAATGCATCACCTGAATAAAAAGAAGACCGCAAAATTCAGGTTCCAGCTTGAAATTTTGGCGTATCCCTGGGGATATTCCTGGAAAAGTTGAGCTCTGAAGCTCAAAAAAGAAACTCGCCGAAACGAATTCCAAAGACTGTACAGTCAGCGATGCCACCCATCGCCCAAACTAGGTCTCAGAGGGAAGCCAGTCGCCTGCTGGGCGAATCAACAACCATGAGATTCTCCATGACCACTTTCCATACCCTGCACAAAAAGTATACATCTATAGCAGGATATAAACAACATCCTGTATGAAAATAACATCCCTCCAGACTTTTCCTATTGAAAAAGTCCAATTTTTTGGACTAAGCCATGTGAGCAGTGGCTGCTAACCCCCTATGGATTAATGATTACAATATGATTACATGGGATCATACTCTCCAATATATTGAGGATCGTCAACTGGGGATGTAATGAGATGTATAACCCCCAAACTGAGTAAGATGATGTAAGATGGCTATTCTATAAGGATATAATAATGGCTATTTCAAATGGATATGATGGATATACAACGTGAGCTGCTTTATAAACCCATTAAGTGTAGCCATATCCCCCATAAGCCCTAGTTAACAAAGATATGTGCGTCAACTTAGCTATCCAGGAAGCCTCACCATGTATATCCTTGTATAACCAAACATATGATCTGACGTCAAAATCAATTGTTTACGCCTACGCCTGGTGCGAAAATGAAGGTAATTGTTTGTTTCGGCCCAATTGCCTTGTTCAAATCACTAATTAAAACAACATTTCACACAAACATGCAGCGGAATTGCTGTTCATCGATGTCCAAAATCAGCTTCAGACCCAGCAGCAAACATCGCTGAGGCCTGGTTGTTTCCTCCAAGACGACCAACTTTTGTGGTCCTGGAGGTTGAGTTGAAGAGAGGCTCCATGTTCTAGCCCAATGATGATTGAAGCCAGTAATGTGTACCAGACCATTCAAGTTGTGACCTCTTTCTCCCTTGGTTTGAGGTCCCTGAAATGGTCACTAAAACTAGGCCCATTCAATAGTCACAACTTGAACTGCCAGGTAGACAATCAATGATGTATCATACTAATCCATACTACTAGCTTGGGGCCCTCTAGGTAAGTCTGTTGATAACTGGATTAACTATGGTTTATGGCAAGTTACATCGACTAGCTAGATGGGATTTAAAACCAACAAACACAACTGGGGAGGCACCAACTTGTATATAGGCTCCCTTACGATTCCTTACGATTTCCAACCGGGGAACATCAACCAGCCAGTCAACTGGATGATACTTAGAAGGGGGGAACATCATCTATATGGTGGTTTCCATGGCCATGGGGGATCCCCTTTATCGCTGGATGGTTTATTTCATGGAAAATCCTAACCAAAAAATGGATGATTTATTTCGGGGTACCTCCATGACTTCGGAAACCTGCATATACCTTATTAATACCCTTGTATCAAGGTGATGCCGATGCCCCATCGTGGAAGTTCGTTTTTGGATGATCTACCCTCTGGTAACATAACTTAACGGAAAATCAATGAAAATAACAATCTCTAATGGGTAAATCAACGAACTAAAATAGACATATTTTCAATAGCTTGTGTATGTTTACCAGGCCGGGTACTTCAAATCTTCGATTTCTCTTCGATTTCTCAGTATTAGTACTGACCAATCCGGAAGTCATGGATCCACTGAATGAGTGGATTACGGTAGATTGGGCTGTATGATGGACTAACAACTTGCTGGTGCAAAACGTAGGGAATTTGAGGGAATGATCCATTTCATCACTAGTAATGTCATCATCCCAGCAACCCCCAGCAACCCCCAGCAACCCATCCATTCCCTACGTTTAGCACCAGTAAGACAAGGGTTTGGGGTTTGTCTGAGAACCATCTACACGTACCACTCTCCGACTTGATCGCTGCCACTCCTGCAGTTATTTGGGCAGCTCTCCATCGATGAGAATTCCTGGCTTGGTCTACCCTCTGGATGTACACAACGGCAATGCTTAGGAACCAAAACAACAAATGGGAAATTGTTGATGGCCAGGTTGAATTAGCAAATATATATATATGTATATATATATATATTCACTTCTATCGTCCATTTTGTCCAAAAATATCAACCAATATCAAGCGCCAATTTTAGAGACGATCATTTTCCAAATGGGAATGATCCAAGCTCCGCTCAGTGGATTCTTCGGATTGATCACTGTGCTGGTAACATCCTCATCCTATAAAACGGCGCGGCGACTTCAGCTATGGTGATGCCCCACCAGCTATAAGTGGCTATAAGTTGAGGTATAAACCAGAGTAACTACATCTAAAAGTACAAGTAAAATCTACCATAAACCCTAGTTAGTGAAGTTCTGGGGCAACTTAGCGATTTAGTTCACTGGGGCACCACCGAACGTAGAGATTCTTCAAGAAGCTTGAGCAACTCAAGGAGACGCCGCACAAGTTGAGGAGGTCCCCTCATCATTACCATCTGGTGCCATCAAACATGGTGTGCTGGAAAATCCGCAATATATATATATATTATGTATATATATATATTCAATATATAAATGATTGTCTCATTAAAACCCCATTTCTGTACAATTTTCCATGGACATGTTTGATTACCGGAGGGTATGGTTTATGGTATAGATTCTATGTAGAGTTAAATTGGTCCCCTCCTGCATTGTTGTCACTTGTGGA